AGGGAATAATAGGAAATGATGAAAATACAATGAAAATGAAACACATATGGAAAGGAAAAACAATCCTAGAAAGTTCAACACCACCCCTCTAGTTGGGTATGAATGTTTTCCATGCACAACTTGGATACCATCCTTTGAAATATTGGTCTTATGAGTCCCTTTGTGAATATGTTAGCAATTTGTTTTGATGTTCTAACATATATTAGATTTACATATTATGTTTCTATTTTTTCTTTGATAAAATATCAATCAACCTCAATGTGTTTAGTTATATCATGTTTTATAAGATTTCATAAAATAATCATTACTAACTTGTTGATGCAAAAGAGTTTCATATGATTTGATTGGTTGATTCTCAATTCGTCCAACAAAGCCTCAAATCGATAACCCTTCATATATCCCTTGAGCTTATGCCTTAAATTCTACTTCAACACTAGACCATACAACTACTTGTCGTTTCTTGCTTCTCTAGGTTACAAGATTTCACAAACAAATGTACAGTAACCAGATGTTGTTCTGCAATCTATGATAGACCCTACATAATTTGCATCAATGTAGATTTCAATAGAAGAATTCTCTCCTTTCATGAATATAATGCCTTGTCGTATTGTTGTCTTTAAACATGCCAACACTCAATATGTTGCTTGTAGGTGTGTCTCCCTTGGGTCATTCATATGCTGACTGAGTACATTCATTACAAATGTTATATCTAGATGGTATGATTTAGATGGATCAACCCCCCAATCAACCATTGATATGAATTTTTGTCCACCTGATTAGAGTATGTAACGTCTACCAAACTCAAGTTGGGATCAACCGGAGTGTCAATAGGTTTACAATCAAATTTTCTAATTTCCTAAAGTAAATCTAAAATATATTTGTGTTGTGAAAGAAATACTCATTTCTTTGAGTATACAACCTTAATTCCCAAAAAGTATTTTAGACTTCCTAGAGTTTTGATATAAAATTCTCTAGATAGATTTTGGCCAAGGCATTTAATCTCCTCAATATCTCTCATGTTATGATATATCATCTACATATACAATTAAAGTTATAACCTTGTTTGGGGCACCATGCTTAATAAAGAGAGTGTGACCCCCATTGCTTTGTAGGTACTTGAATCCCTTCATAGCTTGAGTAAATCTCTCAAACTAGGCTCAAGGTGATTTTTTCAAGCCATATAAAAATTTCTTTAACCTACAAACAACATTATTTTGATGGGTAAATGTGTAACCTAGAGGTACATTGTATATTTCTTCATCTAAATTTCTGTAAATAAATATATTTTTCACATTGAATTGACACATTTCTCATCCTAGATTTACTACCAATGCTATAAGTATCTAGATAATATTCAACTTCACAACAAGAGAACATGTCTCAGAATAATCAATTCCATAAGATTGTGAATAGCCTTTAGCCATCAACTTTGCATGTATATTTCTAATGTTCCATCAGCTTTATACTTAGGAGTATAAACCTACTTACAACCAACCACCTTTTTTCCTTAAGGTAAAGGGACTAAGTCACATGTACAATTCCTCCTCTAGTGCTTAAATTTCTTTATTCATGACATGACTCTAATCTTTATATGACAAAGCTTCTTTTGCTATCATGGGGATAATAATTATCTTCAGGTTAATGAGAAAAATATTATATAAATAATGTCAATGTATCATATGATAGGTAGTTGACCATAGAATAGAGTGGTTTCTTTATACAAATTATCTTCCCTTTGCACAAAGTAATGGGTCAATCTAGTTGCTCCTCATCATTGGTTTCAATGAATTAGTTGTTAGTGAACTGGTGGTCCTTTTCTTAGTCAGTATTATCAATTTGAGGTATGTCTCTTGTACTTGGACTAGTTTATTCTTATGATCCTCTCTATAATGTAGGTAAATTATTTATATTTGTTAGCATATTTTGTGTCTCCACTCTAAGTTGTCTCCATTGCACTCGTACTTCTTTGATTCTAAGAATGAGTGTCTCCTAAATCATGAATCTATTTTGTCCTATAACTTAGGATCAGCAATCAAGTTCTCTATCTCTTGTAGATTTCTTACCTCATAATCTCACTCCAACTCATTAAAAGTCACACTAGTTGAGATGAAGAAGTTTTTAGAAATGAGATTATAACATATAACCCTTTTGTATAGTTGAGTACCCAACAAAATATATATTTAATAGATTGTAAATCTAGTTTTCTCATTAGGTTGCCTTGAGTATGAACATAGACAATACATCTAAATACCCTTAGATGAAGGTGAGTCTTTAGTTTCACATGAGGATAAAATCTACTGAATAGTTCCATAGGACTTTGATATCTTAAATATTTAGCTAGAATTCTATTGATAAGATGAGTACTAGGCAGAACAACTTCACCCTAATATTACCTTGGAACTTGTTGAAATAAAAGAGCTCTAGTTGTATCCAATAAATGTTCAATTTTCTTCTCAACCAATTCATCTTACTAGATTATATTGACGCAAGATGACTCATGAATTATCGTTTCCTGATCAAAGTAAGAGGACATAGTCAAGTTGAAATAATTTCTTGTATTGTCTGATCTAAACCTCTTGACAATAGTTCCAAATTGACTACAAATCATTTGACAAAAAGTTTTCACTACTTGAGTGATGTATGATTTTGATTTTAGTAGGTAAACCCAAGTGAACCTAGTACAATCATCAACAAATAAGATAAACCACCTACATTTAGACAAACTAGTCATAGGTGATGGCCCCTAGATATTGTTGTGTATATGATATAAAGAAATTATATTATTTTCACCAGCACTTTCAAATGAGGAGCATTTATGTTTGGCTAATTGATAAACCTCACACACTAAAGTTTTAACATCAACACCTTCAAACATAAAAGGAAACCACATTTTTAAGAGATCAAATAAAAGATGGCCAACATAGTAGTGTTGTAATAGTATACTATTCTTTTTGTGTTCCTTGACTCCTCCACTCCAAGGTGACTACTTTATAGACATCAATGTATGATCATCTTCGTCCCAATAGAGCAAGCCATCTCTTTCACTAACATGTCTAATTTTCAACCCCGAGACCTTGTCACACAATGAACATCCATCATCCTCAAGAATGAAACGACCATTAATATATTTAACAAGTTTTTGCTATGAAATCAGATGAGCCTTTAATTTAGGCACATGTAAAATATTTCTTAAAGTGCCTAAATGATTTATTTTCAAGTTCTCAATCCCTTCAACTTGTAATCTCAATATCAGCTATAGTAACTTTTTTCTGCCCATCACATTTTGCATAATCAACAAATTTGCACATATTGAGGTCATATGGTCCATGGCACTAGAGTCAAGTATCCAAGACAAACTAGAAAACTTGTTGAATGCATATGATTTCAAAAAAGTTTATTCCATGGCACCAGAGTCAACTTGTTGAATTTTTAACACGGGCTCCTTCAAAAATGTGCTTAAAGTGGGGGGTGTGCTGTCCCTATTGGGCTGGGCCCAATCTTTCAAATTTATCACCCTTCTATTGATTATTAGGATTGAGAGGTTCCTTCATCACATATTGACCTTCTATAGTCTCTACTAGTTGGGAATTAGCCACTTATGCTCTCCCCTATTGAGGTGGTCATCCATGTAGCTTCCAACCATCTTCTTTTGTATGACACTTCTTCTTGCAATATGAACAACTAAAAGTTCTCTTTGCTATCCCACTTCTGCTATCTTCCTTATGATACAATGGTTGGGGTTTGATTGTATTTTTTTTTCCTTAATTGATTCCCCTAATTGATCAATTCCGTAGAATGAATTAACTAGCCTTGCTTGCTAGAGGTGAATGTTGTTGACTCATCCTAATATTGGTTAAACTCAATCTACTCCTCTTCCATAACAATTTGAATAGTTTCATCCAACTCATATACCTTCTCATGATGGAGAACTTGACCCTTGAGGATTTCATAGTTAGAATTCAATTCCATTAGGCATGTATACATTTTATGTTTCAATGTATACATATACTCCTCAAAACTAAGATTCTTTACTAGCCAATAGTGATCAATCTCCCTCCATATAACCTTTAATTCGCATGAATATTTCATAACATATTTACTTTCTTGCACTAAATGTGTTGCCTTAGCCACCAGGCCATAAATCTTTCAATTGTTGTGTTTCTTTAAATAGCTTTTGTGAATCTGATTTGGTAATGCCTTCACCGAATACATGAATATAAATCTCATACATCTCTAGTGTCATTGTACTTAACAGGTATGTATGAATAATAGCCTCTTCTAATTTCCATCCTCTATGTTTCAGATATGATTGCTTCAATGATTATTTTATAAGGTGAACTATCTAACTTCTCCTTAGAAGTGCCAGATCAACAAACTATTCCCATTGATGAAGATTTATCCCATTGAATCTAAGTTTCTCTAAGATATTTAGAGTATGATATAGTATCTTCCTTTCTCCAATCATCATTAGATATAATGTGAAAGTCTTTTCCTTTGTACTTTCTAAAATACCTTAGTTTACTGCTTGCAAAAGGTTTCTTTCTTCCTTGGTTTGCTCCAACACAAAATGAAAAACAAGATTTAAGAAACAAGAAACAAGAAGTATCTGATTCTATCAAAATTAGTACCACTCTGATACCATGTTGACAATTGATCTTGATTGAGATTCGTGCAACTTGGAGAATGAAAAGAATTGATTTTCACGATCCTCCTCTTCCAAAAAAATGAACTAGTCACCACTTCTTGGAGCAAGATTTCCTCACTCTGAACTTGAATTAGTCAATTATCATGGTTTCCTGCTTAAGTACGAGTTACATAAGTTAATTGACCCAGCCCAGTACATTAGTCTTTAAGTGGATATGTTAACAATCTAATGGCTCCACTTAGCACAAGGAATGACAAGAAAGGACGAAATACAATGGAAAAGAAACATATAGAAAGGAAAAACAATCCTAGAATGTTCAACAAGATCAACACAAAGCTGGTGGTTCTCAGAGCTTCTACTTGAGGAGGAAGGGCATGCTGCCAGGAAAAATGGGATCGGAGAACCTCCCAGTGAGTATTTGGGAAGAAACATGAAGATTCGCAGCCTCTGTGTAGTGAATCCCATCCCAGTTCACATGCTTGGAGGTATCATTGCACCCAGCAGCCGTCACAGCACTTCCATTCAAAACTCTTGTTTCTCCACAGGAAATCCGACTATCATAGTTCAGGGGGGGGCCTCCATACCCGCAGCAGGCCATTACAGGGTGTTCAAATCCTGTGAAGCATGAGGCAGTAGCCAACCGTGTCAATCACAACGTAGTTTACCAGAGGGCCTTCTGTGCTACAAATGCGAATATGATACAGATACGATTGATATTCCATGCAAGGGTGTAAATGGGAGAGAAGAGACTGAGATTTGGAAGTGATGGACGCAGAAAAAAGAGCTCTGATCGGTACATAAATTCTTCACAGTTTCTATTCATATTCACGAGCAGAGGGCTGAGCTAATAATCCCCAAAGGGAATGATTCGTGAAACTCAGACATGTTGCAATTAGTGAACATGCTTTACCCAAGCTACCAAGGTTCTACTAACAATCTAGCTTTTAGACTCACGATCATCCCTGCAATGTTTTCATTTTTACCCTCGGAAACACAGGGAGGACATTCCACACACGTTACCTGAAGGTCACATGTTTATTTTATGCACCAAAAAAGTTATGAGGTAAGCAAAAAATTATTAAAAGGCGCACAGGATGGTTCAGTTACGAAGAACCATGCTAAGATACAAATACAGCTGCTAAGTTCCAATCAATGAACAATTAAAAGCCGTCTAGAAACCAGACTGCCAACACAACCAACAAAATATGAGAGCAAAGAATGAAAATGGTTTATTTTCTTACCATATTGAGAAAAGTTGGCAATGAGATCTGATTTTATGGAAAACACGTCGGTGTAGCTGACATGTGCATCTGTAAGTTCACCCTGTAATTTTGCGCAAAGAGCATGGAGCTGCAAATTGAACAGCCTTGCAGCACGATTGTGAGAAAGTACACATCCAAGATTATCAAGCTGAGAAGGATCTTTACCAAACCTAGCAATATTCTGAGGTAAGCACCCAAGGGGACCGGTATTATGAATCCAAAACCGTCTTGCACCTTCATTATATAACTTCTGTAAAATAAATTAAAAATTAGTATGCAACCTAAAGCCCATTATTGAGGAATGTTACTGAACTCAAAACGACTATACATGACATATTCTATTAGCGCCATAAAAGCTACAACCAGTAAACATCAAGGAATGTTGAGCAAGACCATTCCATGCACTCTGAGAATTGTCAATTGGATGTTTAACCAAAGCTTGCCCGGACCCTGATCATATTTTTTTTAAGGCTGGTCCTAAAAATCAAGTGAAGTGACAACAAAATAGACTCCAAACCTTTAAACCAGATCCTGTGGCCTCAAAGTTAATCCAAGATTGTAAAGACCTAATCAAGTCTTGATGTAACCCATGAAATCCTATCAAGAGAAGGACAAAAACGTTTTAACCTAGGTGGAGAAAACTAACAGGATGTGTCCAAGGAACTGAAAATATATTAATTTCAGGCTCCAAATGGAGTACAAGCTCAATTTCAGCCCAATTCAAGAGGACTAGAGGCTCCAAGATGCGTGAGGACACAATTTGGCCCAAATTCAGTTCCAAATGGCCTAGTAAAAGATTTGGACACATTTTAAATAAGTCAAAATCTTAATTTCTACATTTATTATTTCTCACATTTTTTTATTTCAAATAATCCCCCTATTATGTTAAGAGCGTTCATATTCTTTAGGGGCGTCCTAACAAAATATCCCTTTTCCTTAGAGATGTTCTAATAGAACCCTATCTTTTCTAGGTTTGATATAGCAAGATTTTGGGCCTATTTAAAAGTCCCTTTGTAACCCTAAAGACATTTCAATTTATTTTAATCAATCTCACGAAATTTAACTCCAGTGAGATTATATTTCTCTATTGATAGGTTCCAACATCTTTTGTGGATTCAAGAGAATTATTTTGACCACGTGGACTCAGGATCAGAACCCTTGCAGACTCAAGGGTCAATGTTTATACATCTTTTGGACTCAGGATGAAGGATCTTCATACAAATTGTCTTTTATAGATTTATGGACAAGATTTCAACTTTGTCCAACTCAAGCAGCACCCAGTTACTCAAATCATCATCAAGTCAACATTTCTACTACATCAAGTCCATAGCAAGTAGGTTCAAGCTTCAAAAGGATGATAGGGTCGGGTATAGGGATGTGGAACTTATTTTTTATCAAATCTTGTGTCACAATCACCTAGGTGATAGTCTCAACTGAAACTTCCCCCCACTCCCTTACTTTTTCATTACCAAAAGTCGCTGGGTTTGATAATCAAACTTCATAATTCATGCGGGCTAAATGATCTCAGAATCTTCATAATTCATAGCAATCTAGTGTCCTAGTTTTCTAATGAAGAATTTATCTGTTTCGATAACCTGGTTTTCATATATGAAACAATACTTAACTGGGAAGAGCAATAATTTATCAATGTAGAAAGCTATATCAATTCAGGATTACCAGTACCATCAGGTCCGAATTTGATATTTTAAATATATTCCGATGGGCATAGATCAACAGGAAATCATTCTCTATATCAGATATCTATGTACCTAATTCTGGGAAAATGCCATCTAACCTTGAGTCCAGCTTCAAACTCGACCAGAATCGTTGGTATAGAGGCAATAACCTGATCCTCTGATTTAGATTGAAAGGCACCAGCAAGATCATTTTGCCCTATGTCCAACATGTACAGTGCTTGTCCAAAATACATTTTGTGAGGAATATACTTTTTCCATTTATTACCTGAATAAAAAAGATCATTTTTCAATCAAATAACAAAATGAATAAAAATCATTACTGTTAAGAATCGTAACGGGGGGAGGGAGGGGGGGACGGCACTAAAAGAAGAAGTCATTTGAGAGTGCTGGGGTGCTCTCGAACTTGCCCTCGACCATGATCTAAGGTTTCTCCAGAAACCCCTTCTCTGTCCCCTTTCTTTCTATCTCAATTTGATTTTCCCTTCCTAATTGTGACATTCTCCCTCGTTTCTACCACTATCTCGGCCCACTACCCTGGGACTCTATCAGATGCATTACAGGATACTGCAAATTTTAACTGAAATTAGTATAGTTCTTGATGACTTTCCCCAATATATTTATCACCTTATTGAATTTTACAATAGATGAGCAGGAGATAATGAGTATGTTTCTCCCGAAGAATAATAAGGTAGACTTGTCTGGACAGTGACTATGTTGCAGGGTAACAGTCTACACTACAATATCCTTGGTTCAATCAATTTCGCTGGAATATGAAATTGATATCAGTGTCACATTAAAAATGGATACATTTTAATACATGTTTATGTTTTACTTGTGAAGCACTAAGGTCAATGGAATTGTCGAGTGGTCAGAATTCCAGAGATTTGTGTCATTCAGAGTACTACCAAATTCTCAGTCTCCATGAAATGATTTTTCCACAAAATTTCAGAACCTCGGTGATATCAAATTTAATTTCACTAAAATTGAGGCATATCAAGTTCGTGAAAAATGGAGGTCAAAGCTAAATAATTCCAGGGGTAAGGCAGATTTCAGCCAACAACCTCGAACTCAAGCAGCCATGCATTTATTACAACAGTCAAAACCGGAGTAATCAAATAATGACTTTTTTCAGTTTAAAAAACGTAATTATAGTGTTACCGAGTGAAAAGTCACTGTTTTATTTCCACCATCTCATTGCCCATCCGTAATAATATCTAGTTTATTCCATTTTTTCCAGCTTCAGGAAAATTTAGATTTTGTTAAAGCATTGATCATGATCATTCTTGTCAAATGAATAAAAAATATAGCTCAAGTAAACTACTCCACAGGAAAGTCTAAAAAACTTTGGACTTCAATAAGAACTGTTCATTTAAAAAAAAATTGTACACCACACTAAATAGGTCATTGACGTCAGGTTCACTGATGGATGTTCTCTTGGATACATACACCCAGTCCTCCGATTTCTATGGGCAAAATGATAAGGGCCTTTATGCAGAGAACACAGATAATGGACGTCTAATCAGCAAGTTCAGTCCTTCAATAGAGTAGTTCAGCATCTTAATGCGACTGTTGCAAAAATCAGTGATGATAGGCCGCGGGATGTGTGATTTAAGATATAGAGAAAATTTCAAGGAGATAGAGCAAACCAGAAACTTTTATGTATTCGTTTCCTAATGAAACAGTTGATAGCAATGTTTGAGGCAAGAATGAGAGTAATAAAATAGACAATCAACTACGCCTGACTGCCACAATACTGGCGATAGAAAAAGCAGGCAGTAGACAAGAGTGAAGGGGAAGTTGACACATTTTTGCTAAGGACATGAATATGCGCTCGTTCAGAACATTCTTTACAACAATGTCGTGCACTTTTTGGTGCAGCACCTAGTTGTGTAGGGGTAAGACGTAGAAATTGAAAAAGCACGTACATTTGCTTCACAACCATTTATTTTTACTGCTAATATATACATGGAAAAGACCAGTCCCCAGAAAAGATAGGACAAGTGGGGTAAAATATTATTTGAGCATTAATGATGAATAATGGCTAACGTGATATGTTTTTTTTCTACCACTTATGTTATCAACATGGTTAAAAACAATGAGTCTCTCTACACAAGAGAAGTCTCACATCAATACGAATCTATATAGTCAATTATCTAATCACTAAAACGTTGAAAAATTTATCATAAACCACGGATAACAGATTGTCTCCAAAGCAAGGAAAGTGGATTTACCTTTAGCTTGTAGCTGAAGAACCCTAGCTTTGAAGCGAGAAAACTGAGCCACCTGGATCCCAAAGGAGAATGGACTGACAGATGTTGCTGTTGCAGGAAGAATAGTGGACCCTGCTGCAGCAAAATTGCATCCTCTCCGAAAAATTGGAGCCCCAACAGAGTCCAAATACGGATTAAGAAGGGGTAGGTCTATCGCATCCACTGCAAAGGACAATCATTGCTTCATATTAATTAACATGTGTGTCCCATAATTCAACCATAAACAGCAATAGGATACATTTTGCATAGAACAATAGCACAAGGCCCTTTGATGAGGAATCCTCTTAGGATAACCAATGAAACGAATGGTGATATGAGGATAACTGCAGAAGAAATAAGAAACATTGCACGTAGCAGAAAACCATCAACATTTTCTTTATCAAGATAATTAAACAAGGTTTATTGCATCCAAGCTAATTTAAACAGCTACTGTAGCAGGCATCAGAAGAGTTTAGTGACCAAGATGTTGTTTATCATTTATAAACTGCTCAAAGTAGCAGATTTTCTTTTGCATTTCTATCTTAGTGACAACAGATTTTGGAACATTACTCAGGAGGAGTTCGACATGCTGGGCCACCCACTCAATCCATTGTGTTCTTGAAGTTTTCCCATGGCAAATAAGGAAACATCAATCACACTATTAAAGTTATATAAAATGCCGCAAATCAGAATATTCCTTTCCAATATACGAGAAAAAGACTACTCTAAGTCGTGAAAATATTCACCCTGTGTTCCTCCTTTAAGATCACTGCCCAAAAACAAATGGAGGTAAATTTTTAGAATCTCATTCTTCCATTAAGCATCAACTACTGTAATTGAAGGAAAGAAACGAAGTGAGAACTGTGCAAGTCCTCAGCTGCAACAATGAGGATGGATCTTCTCCTAGTTATGTTACACAACAGTCACACATAGACCTCTCGTCCAATTTGTCTCTTCGCTTTCACCATAGCGTAGAGACATGCCAGGGGATACAAGCCACATTGGTAACAGAGGATTGCATCCCATTTTAAGTGCAATAAAGCTATACATGAAAAGGCATTTCTTATTGTAGAAAAAGCATTATTCCACAGTTGGCCTCTAAACAGGAAACTGGAAAACAAACAACAATAAAGTAGAGAAACAACAGTAATCTCCAGATATCGAGGAGCGCAGCTACACTCCCACGAAGGAGCAAGTGGATGAAGAAGTAGTGATACACTTTTAACCGCCCGTGTGAGAGATTACCATAGCAGTGTGAGAGATTACCAAGGAAATCGATGATTAACCGCCCGTCGCAAAACCTTCCCGAGGGAGCGAGGAAGTGCGTCATCCCATTCGGCAGCTCCAGACCCTCACCAAGGGCAGCGACGAGCCCGCCGGTGTCGGAGTTCGAGTCCCCGAAATTAAACACGGCCGGATAGTTGAAATCGACGGCTCTCACCGCTGCGAGCAATGAAATGAACCCAACGAGCGCAACTCCGGCGGTGGGAGCCCGTCGAGAGGTCGCCATGATCTCTAACCCCTCTGCGGCCGATGAAAATGCCTAGTCGGGCTTGCCAGATTTACCTTAAAAGAGTAGGAATGCCGCCCCGTACTTGCAGGAGAAACTTCACCCGCGAGTTGGTGAGAGAGTCCACAACCACTGCATGTTCCATGCGGGTGAAGGGGAGTGCGCACAGCCCATTGCGAGAACTTAGCAACTACGCAACAGTCATGACTTCACTGGAGAAAGAGGACCAGAAACAAGGTAGACGAGACGGAGGCCCACACTGGAATCGCCAGTGGTCTGAGAATAGAAGGAAAGAGGAGATGATGGGGCTCCCCATGCGTCGAAGCCACTCCACTTCCGATGGTCGGCGATGGCCCCGAGAGCAAGCGTCGCTTCTTCTCTGGTCACACAAATAAGCGAGTTCCTCCCGCTCGGCCTCTCCCCTTCTCTTGAGATGAGATGGAACCCTTCTCTTCCAGCATGGTTGGCTGGGGGTGGGGTCCCCAGTTCGAAGCACGTACGCCAAAAGTGGGCATTCTTTCCCGCGCAATTATTTAGTCATAATTTAAATTTCTCATGTGATCATATTCAATAATAATTTATTTTTATATTGAGAAATCCTTAAATCTCATGAGAAGGGTACAAAGACTAGACTATTATTATTATATAAACCCCTTACCTTTAACACTAATTCTATTAAATTTTAATGGGTACAATTTAATAATAGTGGCACTAGGATGATAATTTAAGCTAATTATGCAACTTGTGTGTTCTGAAAATAAAATTAAAGTATATAAAAAAATGATTTTTTTTGAAAAATATCACCTTAATTATGCATAACATAAAGATTTCGTGGGTCGACTAGATCAAAAATGACTCTCTATGTCCATATGGATGTTGGAATGCACCAACAGAGATAAAGAACCTTCAGAAAGGAAAGGAACTTAAAAATGAATTAATAAAAATGCATATTTCTCTAGGGTTACAATAAACTCTTTTATATAAATTAAATTTTAGTTACAACAAAAATAGAAAAAAGAGCATATGTTATGATCCTAGAGAAAGAGGAAAATAATTGAAAAACTTTCATAAATAAAAAGTAGGAGATTATTTGAAACCATCAAAAGTGAAAAACATGGATAAGATGAGAATTGAGATTTAGGCACATATAACATGTGACAAAATATTTATTGAGCTATTTTGAACTGAATTTGGGCCAAATACAATCTTTACCCTTCTTTGGCCACTAATTTACTTAAATTGAGCTGAAACTAGGATGCATCATTTGTTCTATCTAAGTTGATTTTAAAATATGTTTGTATTATAGTTGATCACGAAATTAAAAATTTATACTTAAAAATATCTGATTTTTGTCACTTAAGTGAAAAAATTTACATCTAGCATCAGGCAATAGTTTCTTAGCTACATCAATGAATCCCTTGTCATCACCTCACACGAGCGCATGTGTGTGGCTCTTCTACTTTCTTCAACGTATCTCACATAGAGTTACTTGCAATTTTCATTCTAGCTTCCTAATAACATCAACAAGAACCTATCCTCAAATTTATTTATTTATTTATTTATTAGCTTTTTTTTAGGGCTAGAAAGTGAATTATAACCTTCATGGGATGTTTCATGGGGATAGGGAATTAATGGCTTAAGGCATCAAGGTAGAGAGGGGTGTATGGCGCGCGAGTCGGGACGAAGATTTATACACGCCAGACGAAGCCCACGGTGACAACTGCCGAAGAGGAGGAGCGGCGGGAGTCGGATGTTCAGAGCGAGAGAGAATAATGGGAGGGAGAGGAAGAGGAGACCCAGGGATTGACAACGGCGAAGCTGATAAGAGTCGACGTAAGTTGGAGAAGAAGAACGCAAGAATGGGGAAGAGAAGGGGCGGCAAGGAGGAGAGCAGAAAGAGGAAGAAGAAGAAGGGGGAGGAGGAAGAGGGGAAGCAGAATACGGAGGAGCGAGAGGCATGTGGCATGGCGGGAGAGGGGTCGGCGGCTGCCCCCGTTGTCACTGTTAGTGTTGCCTTGCCGGGCTCTATCATTGACAACGCGCAGTCCCTCGAAATGGCAACCCTGGTAGTCGAAAATGCTCCCCTGCCTTGGACTTTTTCCTTTTCTCTTGTTTACTTGTGTGCTGCCCTTGATGTGATACTCATTGGTCCTCTGTTTTCCTTTTGTTCTTGCCCTCGCCAGCTGGCTGGTCAGATTGCTCGCGCGGTCACCATTTTCCGGATACATGAGGTCACTCTGCTCTTTGTGCCCAGACCCTCCCTCAGTTTTCTGTGATTCCTTTACGTAAGAGACTTGTCTAAATGTGTTGTACGTTCTTCTGTTTCAATGCGCAAGAGGGTGGATTCCCTCGTAGGCTGCGCTCTTACTGTCCCGAGTCCAGCCTAAAAGCAAGTACCATGGTTGCAGTGGGGAAGGGAGACAAATGATCAAAACTTTTCGTCGAGGCTGACGATAGAGAAACCATTATCATGTGTTTGGTGGCTTTCAGCTTTTGTGGATCTCATTTCAGTTTTGAGATGTCTCCAAATATCATTTTGCTGCTCCTCGTTTTTACTCTTTCCCTCACCTTTACTTTCTCATCCTTTCTACAAAGGGTTCCTGATGGGCCATCATCTACTGAGAAATCTTCTTCTTTTAGGCAGGCATGTATTGATGCCCATCTGATTCTAGTCTGACCTTTTTGTCTCAGGCATATACCTTTTTCTGCAAAACGTTGATCAATGATACATTTTTCACTGTTAACCTACATATTGGTTCGTAATCAGGGTTTTTGTTACTCATCAGGCATTGGTGGTCAAAAAATCCTTTAACATCATTTTGTCATTCATTCCATCATTGTTAATTATTGGAAGGCTCCTTTTGGTCTAGGGCAAAGTAATTGTGGTTTTAGAAATGATGTTTGTGTCATGGTGTGAAGGACTGCTTTTTAATTGACTTTTATCAATGGGCTTGGTCTTTCAGTATTTAAGACAACTGAGTTCGTGCTCTCAAGTACATACACCTTTCTGTACTAAAAGACTTTAGGTATTTAAGTTAAAGAATTTGTAAAAGGGGTTGTGACTTTGTTTATCTCATCCCGGTTCATGCTATCTAAATTGAGTGATTTCTGCTCGCTGATATATGCTCTCTTGTTTCAAGATATGCTTACTACTGAGTTGTTCAAGACACTGGCTTTCTCAGTTGTCTGGAGAAATATGTCAGGGGGACGCATGCTGGTTTTTTTTATTTATAAAATTTCTTGTCTGATCTTGACCATTGGAACACAGTAAGTCCAAGAGAGCCTATGAATGCTTGTTAAGCCTTTTTATTTTTCGAGCAGGTGATAGTTTTTGATAATAAAGCCTCGTCAGATGATGCTGTATTGGCAGAAAATTCAGATAATAATGAAAATGGCGCTGCATTTCTTGTAAAAATTTTGAATTACCTTGAGACTCCACAATATCTAAGGCGCAGTCTCTTCCCTATGCACAATAGCTTGCGGTTTGTGGTAAGCATTAACTTTATTCAAAATGATGCTTATCATAGGTTTGTTTCGTCATTGTTACAGTATGCTAATAGTAATGTAATCTGCAGGGTTTGTTACCCCCACTTGATGCTCCTCACCATGTCCGCAAACATGAATGGTCTGCTTTTCGGGAAGGTATAAGAAACTTGCTCACATGATGTAAGTAATCGAGACTATTATCAAAATAATAAACTTCTTCAGTGTGTGTGGGATACACCGAGGATGCTCTCTGGAAAGCAGTTCCCAATTGTGATAGAGATAAGTGTATAATAGGGCAAAAGATGTAAGAAGATAGTGACTGTCTTCTCTTTGGGAAAAAAATGCAGTACTACTGAAAGAATATCTTCCATGAACTTTGGCTGACCTCATACTGTATTGAAGGTTGTGATGCTCTGAGTGTGGAGAACTGCTGTATACTGCTCCCATAAAACTATCCGTCTGATTCCTCATTGTAGATACTAAGTTATTCAGGGATGATTGGTCCCTAAACAGAATTTGGGAACCATGCATACCATGATAAGTCATTCAATTCTCTCATCCATTGATGCGACATATCATTCTCATTCAGGCAATTGGCGCAGAAAGGATACACCAGCCTATAGAGCTGAAGCCAAATCCTACAGTGAATTTCTTTCACTTTATGTTATACCTTTATTCTACTTAGACCATCTTTCTTGTTTCATATCTGTCATTCTTGATGTGAAGACAAACGTATGGTTGACATTTCCATGCTTCTATACACCATTTCAATTCGTCCTTCATCAGGTATTTGGTGCAGTGTTCTGAAGAGTCTTCTCACCTGGCTCCAGCTTTCTTACTTTCTTTTCTCTTCCACCTTCTGAGTCTCCTACTGTGTATTCCTATTCCTGGTCACACTCGATTGGGAGAGTAGGCTTGCTGCAATTCTACTCAAATGCTAGAGAAGCGAATCAGATTCGCCTTACCTTTTCATCAGAGATGCTGCTATCCTCTATCTTAGTCTTCTCATGTCTTAAGCTCTTCAACCGCAAGCATGGTCCAAAGGAAATGAAGCTCAGCATCTATTTTGACTATTGAATTGGTGCTTTTCAAAGAAGAATAGGTTTTTTTTTATCTCATATTTTGGATCGTTCGTAATGAAAGTAACCTTGACATGATTGGATGATTCCTGTGGAAATATATGAATTCTGCTAATCACATGGATCTTTGTATGTTGTGTGTTCAGAACCTATGTCCAATTGAATAAGGCACTCCATTCATTATATCAGGTTCTTTAATTGGATCAAATACAAATATATAATGTGCAATACTTTTTTAATTATGTGTGCCTGTTAATCCTCAGTCCTTAAAAAGATGTGTACTTCTTAAATGTGTCGCATGCAAGAAGTATCTCGAGTGAGAATGTCTAATTCCTTGAGGCTTTTATCAACTCGAAACTAGCATTTGACTCCCCATTGAAAAAAAGGTGAACTTTTGCTTCTGTCTCTTTGATCAATGATTATGGAAAGAAACGATATCATTAGGAACTGAATATTAATTGTTATTCATCTGGTGGTATCTGTCTTTCATAAAAACTACTTTGAGCTATCTCAAGCGTTGACCACTTTGGGGAATTAATATAATTTGCTTTAATTCAGGTATAACGTTGGAAGAGAGACCATTGGATTTTTCTGGAACATTAGTTAATGTTGGATTAAGTAAGGTATGTGTTACCACTAGTCACAACTTATTTTTGGCAGAATTATTTACTCTTGAAAGAGTTAGCTAGGAAATTCGTGAGTCAAATTCCCACTGTGTTCATGATTGGGTGACAACTTTTAAAGTCCATGATCTCTTCATTTTTCCATGACTTGCCCTGTGCTTGGTTCTTACATCTTTTGATAAAATATAATCAATGATGGGAAGTAGAGCGATATGATGCTGTTGAAATGTATAATTTCAAGACATTGATGTATTTTTCAAAAGAAACAATGTCTACACTAACGAGATTAAATGGATGTTCCAGAAACGATACCTTTATGTTGCATTAACTTTTGGTAAGTAACGAACTTCTTTTTTAAATCAAGGTGCGTCGAGAAAAGAAAATGAACAATGTGAAAAAAGGAATTACCAGGTCGTTGAGTTGCCTGCATGTTGTTGGTAACATTTCTACTCAAGCTTGTCAAGAATACGAGATCTGCTATTTATGATTGAAACATATTATCATATTATAAATGAAAACTGGATGGCTTCTCACGCACAGATGATTTAGAAAACCATATGTTTTAACTGAAATGAGCTAAATTGGACCAAGAACTGGTCGAAACTGGTCTAATTTTGCCTGTTCAAGTTCTTACCTTTCGTATTATGAAAGTGTAGCGCTAATAGCCGTTAATTTTTTTATGTAGCTTTATTTTGGCTTGATTTTGTGGTTGTGGTCTTCAGGTGGTTGTGTTATTATAAGGATGACCCTTTTTGTGACTCTTTCCTTTGGCTTTATTCAAGAACCTTTTGTGCCATTTAAAGGATATGAAGTTAGCCTGCAGTGACAAATATTGTCAACTGTTGGTGAAGAAAGCAATATAAAAAAGATAGGGTGACAGGAAAATAAATGGGATGGTCATTAGCAATGAAGCCTTTCCCAGTGTCATTTTGGTTGCCATTGTGCATGCTGAGGCTAAATGCTGGTGTTTTCCTTATTTGGTGATCTAAGTAAATTGTTTTGTGTTTTTTTTCTTGATTTACTGTAACGATCGAGAGAAAAAAACTAAAAATTTGTAAAACAGGTAAAATTATGAGTTTTTTAATTTATGGGCTCGCTGTTTATCCCTTTACTACTGGTTTTGGATAATTTAGAGTTAGTTCACGGAAGTTCTGAATTTGCGTAAAATTTATATTCAAAGTTTCTGTTTTCATACAAGTAAAACATGATAAAACCTCATTGAGGTACACTGTGGCATCAGTGTCCAGATCAGGCCAACCTCAAACTTAGTCTGTTAAGGAAAAAAGGAATGGAAGAAAACGCATTTTTACAAATTAATGGCTTCTTAAATTTTTTATCAAGCTTAGCCTGTGAAGTAAAAAAAGGAATAGAAGAAAAACATATATTTGAAAATTAAATGTTTATTAAATTATTTATTATTATAAGAGAGGGTTCAATTGGTTTTAAGTCTTTGTAAAATCAACCTATTTTCTATGAGCCCCTATTTTTTGTCATTTTTTTTTCTGTTCGGATTGAGTCCTTTACATGGGCCGTTATGATAGGTTAAGTTAATTTTAATAACAAATAGGTGGATTTTTTTTAGGCGTTAAAAGAACCCAATCATCCCCCATCCCCTCCCCCCCTCCCCCCCTTCTCTCTCTCTGTCTCTGTCTCTGTCTCTCTCTCTCTCTCTCAAACACACACACACTCTCGCATCTTTTCAAGCACCCCAAAGATCCCCCATGCTGTGAGTATCCTGGGGAGATCTTTCACAAAGAAGACAGACTTTTCATAATTTATTGAATATGACTGCAGAAATAAAGTTTAATTGAATATTGGGAATATTTTTGTATTTTTCTGATGGCGAGTTCCCTTAAAGACCAAATCCACATGATGTTTCTTGGGCCTAAATGTTGACAGGAAAAATCTAAAGCCTGTAAATAATAAATGACTAAATCTTAAATGAGATAAGCGATCATTAACATATTACCCTGATCCTGTTTCCTTGACTTTCTCTCTTGCCATCTTTCTTTGTCTCTGTTTTCTGCTCCTATCATGGCAGTAGGAATTTAGAGATGATAACAGCAGGATTCTTCATATGCATAGTTGATAGTAGTACAATCCTGAGCACTAATGTCGCAAACTCTGATTGTGTATGACTACATAATTGTTTAAAGAACTATAAATCAATCAAAATATTTTTAAATAAAAAATGTTGGTGCTTAAGATCTAGTACTGAGATCCATTATATGGTGTAACTTTGTATTAGCTTTTACTCAACATTTGCCTTTTTTATTTTTCTATTTATAATCTTTGTCTTATTTTGGGAATTTATCAATTGATTTTGGGCTCGTAATTATTGCTATATGTTAAAGTGATGCTAGGCGTGATATTTCGTAATTCTAGTCTTTGGTGATTATTGTCATGAAGGAGTACTCATTTCTTCTGATTAGTTCATGATAATAATTCACTATGAATATCTCTTTTACTCTTTCAATGTAAAAAATTAGATAATTATTACAGAATGTTATGGTGGAGGAAATTCTTGAACCTGGTGTACGGGTAACTGTGGCCATGGGAACAAGTCGTACTCTTGGAACAGGTATGTGTTCTCAAATTATTCTATGATTCAGTTTGTTATTTTTTCGATAATAATATTTTCTGTTTGCTGCTTATGGCCTTGATTCTCTTTTGAATATTTTCTAGTTAAACTTTGTTTAATTTTGTGGACTTAAGTGATGCTATTTTTCGATCCTTTTAGGTTTAAAGATCCCTATCAATCTGTGTGGATTCAAGAACTCTATATTTTTCAATTCTTGTGATTCTAGGGACCTTACTTTTCAATCCTTGTGAATTTGAGATCTCCCCTTTCAATCCTTGTGGATTCAAGGATTCTGAATTTCACTCTCGTGTGAATCTAATAGTACAATTTCCTCTCTGGGCTCTATTACAATGATTGGTAATAAAGCGAGATTCCGACCCCAAGACTCACCCTTGTGAAGATGTCTCCTATTCGTGAGGTGATCGATGCTGTTGATGATGTCGTTCATCAGGTAGGATCTCTTTTAAGAGATGAATTTCGTGGGTCTGAACAGTGTGCATCACAGTTTGCAAGATAAGCATTGTATTTTGCAAAAACTATTGTGGAAGATGACTGTGTATTAATAGCGGAGGCCAGAAAGAAAATTGTGCATTGAATCTGACGAAATCCATCAGGATTGACGGAAGGGTACTTTTTATCCACAAGGATTGACACGTGTGATCCTTAAGTTCACAAAGATTGACGAAACGGTCTCTTAAATCCATAAGATTGAAATTGACATAGTGGAAGTTAGGAAGAAATCTTTAAATTTATTGGGATTGATTGAGGTCGTACTTAAACGGGTAAATATCTGAAAATAAGGTCTCATGAATTCATAAGGGGTTCCTTAAAAGAGGATGATAAAAAAAATATTTCTGATCAAAGAAAACCATTGTTTATAAACCGTGCTTCATTAAATAGGGAAAAATCAACTGTGGATCCCTTATAAGGCAGTTTATGACAGCAGCTTTATGTAAGACTTTGTAGATAACAATAAGCAAGCATTAGTCTTACAAAAAGGAAAACGTATTTTTGGCCTTATGAACTGTCTGAAAAATTTCATTGTGCTCTTCCCCGTTTTACCCGTTAGGTCTTAGTGGGCTGAGCTTTTTTAGTGTCTTCTGTTTCCTGTGAATCTGTCTTATATCAACGTCTTTAATGATTCAGTCCATAGCTGCCTATTTATGCATTGAGTTGAGGTTTTGTCCTATATGTTTTCAGTTCAAAATAAAGTAAGTTGTTAAACAAGTAAAACACATTCGAAGTTGAACACATGATTAGTCATTTCTTTTCCTGAACTTCGTTAGTTTTAGCTTTTCCATTAGTAGTGGTGTCTCACATTTGGATATGTTACTCTCTGCTTTGATTTTTAATGAAAAATTAATTCTTTACACCTCCATTGTTGACTTATTTTAAGTAGAATGTAATTCATCCATTTCAGTCCAGGTGTGTTAATTTTAGAAATTTGTCAAGGTCCATGATTGAGCTAGACGCATCCATTTCAAATGAAATAAACCGTCAAATGCACTTTGAGGACCGCAACGCTTCACTCAACTTTTGTATCCATCTGAATCTTGTCTTATCTCATCTATTGAATTAGCCAAGGAATGTTTGGCAATGGACTGACTGGTCAAAATAAGACTAGCTCATATCAGCAAGTTTTTGTTGAGAAAGTCTACTGGTTCTTATTCTGCCCTTTTGTTCTTACTTGGCTGCGAACAAGAAGGTTAGTGTCCTTGATCTGAATGACGGCCAAACCACACCTACGTTCTTTGAACCCCAAGCAGGAGATTAGCATGTATGAAATAAATCGGGCCAAGGAGAACAAGATCTTAAACTAGTCAGAAGCTTTCACTGTCCAAAAATTCCAACAGTGAAACACTTTCTTGAAATAAATGATGTTAACGTGCAAATAGAAAGAAACTGTCTCTTGAAGGACAGAATCCCTCTGTACCATTGCAAAATTGTCAACGTAAATGAAAGCCTTTAAACTAAATTATTCTTTACTCATGTCAAGTTAATTAGATGGGACATCCTCATGTTGTAACATGATGTTGGTCGTCATTTTTTGCTAAGTGATTTCGGTCCAGCCCAAAGCTTCAGAAAGCCTTGATAAAAAACGAAGGAAGAATAATGCAATATCAGGCGCAGTAATGCTGTTCCTTTTTACTGGTATTCATCACAGTTGTGCTGCTTCCAGAAAGAGAGGAATAAAACCATCTTTCTTGCATGGGGATAAGTAATTAAATTACGGTAATAAACAATACAGATAACCACCAATACTTCTATCATGCAGACTGTGTGCTCTGGCTGGAAACATTAGGCCATGGAACATTGAAGTATGCAGTCATCATTATGGTACATCAGGCGGCACAGATAAAGGGAAAAGTGACAAACTAAGCAGTCCTTCAATCAGGATCTACTGTTACTCTATGCGACCCCTTCTGGGTACTGGATTTTGCTTTTCACTTTTCTATGTTTTTTTGATATAATTTGTCCTCTAATGTTGTTTTAATAATGTTATCTGTCTCAACAGCTTAGTTGGTAATATATCGGCATTTACACGGAAGTTTTTGATTACCTCTTTTGCGCAGATCTCTCAACTCTTTTCTTAAAAAGTTCTGGTGCAAGCAAAATTTAAAGAACTTTTAGTCACTGCAAAGTGCTACATTTTACGTTTTGGTTTTAATTGGCTTCGCCTTCAGTCTTATGATGTAGCTCACTTTCTATGCCTTGCATTCAGTTTATGTATCTCAGAAGATTTTTAATTTTTATGATCTCCAATTATATTTTCTAGATGTTCCCAAGAAAATCGTTTCTCCCTTCACACCACTAGAAGAAATGGGATTGTATTGGGGTTATAAAGTACGATATGCTCCTAACATTAGTTCTGTTTTCAAGATGTGTCCGTTCCAGGTACATGTCTTAGATTTTTCTTTTCTTTTTTGAGATCAACGGGGAGACTTCACTCTTTATATGTGACGCTTATGTTTCCCTTATAACTATGAAATATTGTTTAATTTATAGGAGGGTTATGATCACATTGTTGGGACATCTGAGCATGGAGTCATTGTTGATTCATCAGAGCTTGTGATCCCTGCATTTCGGTAATAGTATTTCCATTCCTCTGTATGGTTTTTTAGTTATGTCGTCTGAAAACCTGTTTTAGGATCATTTCGTCTATAGTTGTCTCATTATTTATCCACGTCATTGTCTTTCTCAATTGAATCGTTCGTTTATGCTGGTTCATGATAGATTTTGTCCTACTTGTTTATCTCTATGTTCTGGTTAATAGCTTGCATGTCAAATACTCTCTTAAGCTTCTCCTTCATCCATTTAAATGTTCCTCATTTAGAAGGGTGGTGTTTGACTGGATACATAATGACACAACTCTTTGGTTTCTTCATTTTCTACCTCAAATTTCGTTCAATCATCTAATCAAGCCACAAAGCTTCAACCCTCTGACCAAGCTTATAGCCACGGATATGGATAGTTCTAGGGGTCACTTTAGGCCTCTTAGATCATGTAGGTGGAAAAATCATTCAACTGAATTACTAATGATGACGGTCTAGGGTTTATATCCTAACCCTAGAGGCAACATAATGGACCACAAGTTTGGCCCATTATCACTAAATCAAAGTCCAGTAGGGCATGACATAAGAAGCCCATTACATTTAACACCCCCCCTCAAGCTGGAGCATAGATATCATATGCACCAAGCTTGGTAAAAATGGCTGTCGCTCAAGGAGCATGGACTGGTTTGGTGAAAAGATATGCAAGTTGGTTTTCAGATGACACATTAACACTAGGGATGAGTTGAGCTTGAATCTTCTCTTGAATGAAATGGCAGTCAACTTTGATGTGCTTTATGTACTCATGGAAGATGTGATTAGATGCAATGTGAATGGCTGCTTGATTGTCACATCAAAGTTTAATAGGGCCAAGAGAAAGAAGTTTTGAGTTCTTTGAGGAAATGCTGAATCCAAATGAGCTCATAGCCTTATACTCGAACTCTGTACTAGATCATGAGACCACTAATTGTTTCATGCTCTTCTAAGAAATAAGATTGTAGCCAAGTAAAATACAATAACCAGTCATAGATCTCATGTTTGTATTGCCTCTAGCCCAATCTAGATCAGAAAAGCCATGTGTGTTAAGATGAGTATGATTCTTTTATAATAATCATTGGCTTAGATTTCTCTTTAGACATTGTAAAATTTGTGTAATGACTGCAAAGTGCTTTATGAGGTTGCCCATGAACTAACTTACAACACTTGGAGCAAATGAGATATCTGACTGAGTGATAGTTAAGTAGAGGAGTTTTCCAACAAGATGTTGATATCTTCTTCGATCATCTAATAATTCTCATTATGCATGAGATAAATTTAAGTGGAGATCCATAGGAGTAGTAGTTGGTTTTACTATACTTGTCTCTACAAGTGGATCAAGAGTATACTTTAATTTATTTATCACAATCCCTTACTTAGAAAGAGCAACCTCTATACCAAGAAAGAACTTGAGATTGTCTAGAACCTTAGTGTCAAATTGACTCTGTAAAAAGTTCTTGAGGTGAGATATATCAACATAATCACTCCTATTGATAACTATGTCATTGACATATACAACTAATAAGATACACCTAGTTGAGGAGTGTTGATAAAAGACTGAGTGGTCAACACCATACCCTTTGAAAACTCACTCAAAGCGTTGTTAATTAAAGTGATTGTTGAACCATGCTCAAGGAGATTGTTTCAAACCATGAAAAAACTTTTGCAATCAACAATCAAATTGGAGCCTCTATGTGCACATAATCTTGGAGGTTGTGTCATATATATCTCTTCTTGTAGAGTGTCATGAAGAAATATATTCTTTATATCAAGTTGATAAAGGGACCAAGAGAAGTGAATTGTCAAGGTAAACACAATATGGTTAGAAGTAATATTAGTAATAAGGGAGAAAGTTTTGAATAATCTTCATCCTTTACTTGAGTGAAACCTTTTGTCAATAATTGAGCTTTCAAACAATCAATTGTACTGTCAGGTCCAACTTTAACTGTGAAGACCCACTTGTAGCTAACAGTAAATTTTCTTGGAGGATGTGGGACAAGCTCTCAAGTTTGGTTCTTCTTAAGTGTATCCATCTCTTCAATCATAAGAGCATATCATTTGGGATGACCTAGTGCTTCTAAATTAGTTTTAAGAGTAAGATAGTGGATAAGGTAGATATAAAAGCTGAGTAGGTAGGAGATAAGTGATGATAAGATACAAAGTTAGAAATGAGATAGTGTTTACAAGAAAACTTTCCTTTTCGTAAGGCAATAGGGAGATTGAGATCACCTATCACAGATGTGCTTGCTTCTGGTCCCTCAAACATAGGAAGGACTGGTTGTGAAGTAGACACTTCAAGAGGTGATGAGGGAGCATTTTGTTACATGTACACCTATGTGATTGGAGGACATTTATCTCCCAACCTATCATCTAATTTCTTTGAGATCCCACTAGGACTGTCCACAAAGGTTGACTTGATGTAGAGGTAATAATTCATTTAGAGAATCAATATGCTATGACATATGGAAGATAACTGATGATTCCCTCCTCTCTTGGACAAAAAAGGGAAAATGAATAATGTATTCAAGAAAAATAGAGAAAACAATGAACAAAGGGAAATTAGTTTGAGTGAATTCCCCTCTCCCTTTCTCTTGTGTCACTTCTACCATGATATCCCCTCTTATTCACAAGAGATGTTTATACTGCTCAGCCCACTCCTTCCCTAATGTTCACTATAGAAGCTTCTAAACTATTCACTTACAACGAACATGTCTTGAGGGGTACCGTATCAATAACATCAGCAAAAATAAAGTGTTTATGAAGGACAATAACACATATCCTTTTTGATTGTGAGAGTATCTTAAGAAAATACATTTCATAGACTTAAGATCAAGTTTATCTCAACTTGTATCTAAATGATGGACAAAACAAGTACATCCAAAAACATTTGGTGATACATGATATAATGGGCTAGTAGGATAAAGAATGAAATAATGATTCTGTTAATTCATAACTGATGATGACATTTTAAGTAGGTGGTTGTAAGAACAGCATCACTCTATAACTCAAGTGGAACATTTATATGTAAAAGTAAAGTACGGGCTGTCCCAATAGTATGACGATTTTTCCTCTTAGTTATTTCATTTTTTTGAGTATGAGGACATGATGATTAATGAATGATGCCCTAGGTGGTCAAATATTATGTCAAAAATAAACTAATACTCTTTTACATTATTAGAGTGAAGTATTGTAATATTCTTTCCAAATTGATTCCAAATTTCAATGCAAAATAAGCAAAAGATAGTGAATAACTCTGATTGGTCTTTCATGAGATAGTGCTAAGTGATATGAGAATGATCATCAATAAATATAACAAAATATTAAAACCAAGTTTATAAGTGACTCGACTTGGGCCTCATACATTTGAATGGACTAAATCAAAGTTAGAGCCTATTCTTGAAAGAACTCTTGACCCAAAGTTAAAATGATGTTTACCTAATTGACATGATTTTTCTTGATTAGACAAATTAGATACCATCAATTTGAGTTTTTCAAGTAGTACATAAATGAGACATGAATCAGGGAAGAAAGTTATGACAGCTTGTAGAAATTGAGTGAGTTTACTAGTAAAAATAAGATTAAAAAGAAATTTGAGAATGTGCAAAATAAATCTGAGAGGAAGGTTGGGGTTAGGATATGAAGATTCTTTACCTATGATAGTAAAAAAACTAGGATGACTAAACTAGGATGACTAAAATAGGATGTGAAATTGTTGGATATATAATATGGTTACTCGTGCTTGAGTCAAGAACCCAATGGGGTGATTCACCCAAAGAGGATGTAGATGTGTGAGAGAAGCATGCTGTAGATGTCCCAGGTGTATCCGAAGTAGTAATGGGTATTAATACTTATTGGGCCCGTGCAGCTGCAGTAGGATTTGAAAAAGGAATTGATCGTGATTTGGAACCTGTTCTTCCACGACCTCTCTTAGTTGATATTTTTGTATTTATATCTATTTTTTTGTTCTGGCTCGGCTAGACGAGATAGGATAGCCGAGCCAATTTATAACAGCATATTAGTCCAATAAAGAAACATTCAACAAGAAAAAGGAGAGAGAGGGATTCGAACCCTCAATAGTTCTTTAGAACAAAAATAGAGAGGGTGAGCACACTCCATATCAAAGAGTGACATCTGATGTATGACTTGGGATCTTTCCTCTTCTCCTCCTGTAACAACATTAGCAGTCTTAGGAGGATGGCCATGAAGTGCACTTATTCCTTGTGTGCCCTTTTTTGTCGCAATATGTGCACTCATATTTTTGATGATTTCCAGATGCTCTACCTCCACTTCCTCCTTTCTCAAAGCGACCACCATGAGGATGCCCATGAGAGGGTTCTTGAGTAGACACTAATATTGTTTTCTCTACAAGAGGTGTGGTCTTTAGAATGCCATGATCTAGAAGAACATGAGAGACATTAATGGGCTTCAGTAAGCGTTGGCAGCTCATTCCCTACTAGTATTTGACTACGAATTCTATCATACTCAAGACAAAGCCAACTAAGACACTTGGCCACTGTTAGCTGATATCATTGTTTCTCCATCACTTGGAGATCAATAGATAAATGAAGTAATGAGTGGAGATACTGAGTAAGATGATTGATCTCACCAAAGTATTGACTCAGATCTGTGTCACCTTGTTTCAACTCATAATACTCCATAGTCACATGAGACCATACAAAAAACATCTTACCAAATGAGGTGCATTTGGCTTTAAAATAAGTCTTTAGATACCTTAATGTGTCTAGACTGGCTACATTACATGCATAGGGTGTATTACGAAGGGCAAGAGAAAACTAAGGTGTATATGAATTTGGTTGGATTTGAAGACCGGTGTAAATAGAGTATTTATGGGGGAAAGTTAAAAACACGATTATCGCCAGAATGGATTGAAACCTAAACGAGGTTTGCTCTGATGGTTTAGTACCATGCATAAAGGTTGACTCTTATGGATTTTGAGTTCCATTGCCAAAGGCTTATGGAAGGCAGTATGAAAGGTGTTTTACATTTGGGGAATTCCTAATGCTACTCCTGCTATTGCTATTGTTACTGCTGGAATTGACATCTTTCTTCAGAGGGCCACTTCTTGCGGTAAAGCTTTCCAATTAAATGAATGTGCTTGCATACTCTTGTATTCCTGTGGGAAGTGTGGGACTAATTGAATTTCATTTGTCTGCTAAGATAATTCTTCTTACTCACAGTTTGCATTCGATGCTCCTGATTCAATAATTCCTGAAAACAGGGCATTCACTGAACTAGTCTCCCTTTGGTCCCCCAGTCAGTCCACTTCTTTCTAACCACTGGGCTGTCAACAGAGTATGATTGAAGTATGATAGGAATCTAGAAATAGCCTGGAGGCCTCAAAGTTTGGTTCAGAAATGTGAAGTGGATGATAGCAAAATAATTACTACAAGAATAGCTCTTCATTCAATGAAGTATAACACGTTTTTGAACTTTCTTGAGAACCAATCCAATTACTTACCTATGGAAAAATTATGTCTGGAGGAGCACCCATTGATGACGTAGACCTCTATTATTTTGTTCGTGAGATACTGCTAGATAATTCTGATTGAAAATGGATAATTCAGAATGGTTCAATGTAAAATATGTGGGCGTTGGGATTTCGGCCTTGTACGGTATCCTCTTTGCTATAAAGCAATCCTCCAGACCTTCTTGACGGATTGCTTTGTAGCAATCCGTCAAGAAAATGCATAGAAATATAATGTCCAACTTTGGTATAATTTGGAGATTGTTTGCATTTTGATCGATTAATTGTTAATGGGTTTATGAAATAAGATCCGCATTAACCATTTTATATTGCAGTTAAGGTGAGATAAATTGATCTGCCATGTTGGTTCTTACCAATGTATATCATAAGACATGCAACTTCAATGTGAAGCATTTTTTTCATGATCACTGTGCAAATGGCTTCATTACTATCTTTTTCTGGCATTTTTTCTACTAAAAGTGATCCAATTACCGGAATGGCGTCAGGTACGCCTGTCCTAAATCGATACCTATCCTATCATAGGATATTTGTCTTTCTTTCGTTCTGGAGGTTTCGAAACCGGAAGTTGAGAAGCAAGGAATAAAGAAGGCCGAAGGGCGAGCCGTAGGCGAGCGAGGAAGATAACCCTGACAGTAGACTTGGAGTTTTTAGGGATAAAAGCATTCTTGGTGGTGCCGCAAAAGGCTCATCATCAATTTCAGCCTCACTTTGGTGGTTGGCGTTCGGTTAGTAATAGCTAAAAATCATCTTCTAGTGAATTAGAAACAGTGAAAGTCTCACCTCGCTACAATCTAATCAGCCGTGGACATTTTGTAGATAGAGATAAGAGTAATTTCATGTTTTTCTGGGAGGATTGGAGTTTTATTCTGCCTCATACTTTCGCACAATTGGACCTGGAGATTGTTGTTTAATAAGAAGGTATATGACCTTTGACTAAAGATGTTAGATAGATGTAAGCCTGTTCAAGAGAACTTTTTTATTTCACATCAATCTCTCGTCCTCTATCTCACTACAAAAATATTGGCATGATGGTTATTTTCGGTTTTTATGATTTTGTTCTTGATGAATATTAAGGTGTTTGTTCCTGATATTCTGGAAGGTGGGTTCTGGATAGAGAAATTGTTGTCCACAGGCAAATGCTGTATAGATGCCTGGTTTATCACTCTGTTGTAGTTTTGGTCCTCCTGTGAAATAGAATTCTCACATCTCCTCTTTATTCTGGTGACCTTGGTGATGCGATGCATGAAAGTTTCTAAGTATCACTTGGTCACTGTGAAAGAAAAAGGAAGATGAATTAATGTGTTTCACTTGAATTCTAAGGTAATCAATAGAGTTCAGTAGATATGAATGAATCGTGATAATCAGAATGTCGATGCCTGATCATTCATGAATGTATCATATATATATGAGGATAAACAGTAGGAAAAAGTCTCTTCTTTTCTCAAATCATAGTACAATGGCTAGTTATGTTTAATTACCCTGGCCATTAGAAAAAGAAAACCACCTACTTTGAGGAAACTGACAAAATACGACACGGACCTACAAAAAGTAACTCCTAAGTATGCGGTTTTCTCACAATAAAGAATTATCATAAATGGAGATAAATTTGTTTTGTGGTACAAGTCTAGATTGCAGGTTCAATTCTCACTGTTCTTGCACTGAGGTGCACGATATTTACCATGATACTGAGACACTTGAGACTACGCTAGTGTAAATTATCTATCACGGTAATTGGAGTATAAAAGTTAAAGTGCCTATTTTGTGGTGCCTGACGCGCAAGTCATTAGATGTGGGTTCACTGAGCTCACTGAGATGTCTTACCGAATTGCCTGTAATTGAATCCCGCGAGTATATTCCAGCTTCGTATAAACCTTGTCCAGCAGCATCTTTTATTGTTTATGTCCATCGATGAATTTGGCTTCTTTTGCTTGATTTTGACGCTTAATACTGAATGCTAACAGGCATTTATTAATTGCATTTGGTGGACTTGGTGGATTAGAAGAGTGCATTGAGGAGGATAGTGACATGAAGGTACAATTTCATTTGAAAGATGTTGGGTTTTTTGAATATATGGCACAGTTTTCATAGTAATCAGGTGTGCCTATTTACATCTGAATTTGTAGATCTAAACCTTGGTTTTTGTAAATGAAAATCTATCAGAATAAACTTCCCAAGGGTGGAAAAAAAAAAATTATTTCTTTTTCTGCAATTCATTTTTGGATGAACATTCTCTGGAACTTCACACATTCTCATCTACTGGCCGTTTGTGCTCCCTGTCTACTTTTAAAAATATAGAAACAATGCCTATTTTGCTCCATATTCGTATTGACAACTTCCGTGAAACATACTCCTACAGCTGCTGTCATTACGTGAATGTATATCTCATAATAGTTACCAAACAAATAATGTGCCAGCCTGCCCAAACGTTTTTTTTTATTCGTCATTATTCTTATTGATATCCATTAAACCCAACGTTTACTAATGGCTTCAAATAGTTATTAATATTTTGTTTGTATTCTATTTTTGACAACTGCGTTTATCGGATTGTATCTTCAGTATTGTCAAATTAAGGTCAACTAAAATTTTTCTAGTGCCCTTTGCCTTCCCACTTCTAGTCAAGTGCAATTGCATTAGTTTATGAACATGCGATGTAGCTGCTCGGCATAGCAGCCTACGGAGGGATTTCCTCATCCTCAAGCTTATGGCAGCACACATCCTTGGGCAACTAAGTGTATTGGCATGCACATGTAGATTTTTTATATCAGTTGGAACTAGATTGACAGAAATATGTTTAGTCTGCCGTAGTGAGCAATATAATTTTTTTGTAACCAGGGAAAAAATGTCTCCGAGATCTTTCATTCCTATTTGAATACATGTCCACATCAAGGAAGCAGAACAATTCGAACTGAGGTATGTTTGATCTTGATATCTTTCCCCTTCCTTTTATGTGTTTTCTCCCTATTCCATGGAATCCTAAGACTAAAATTTTCTCATTGGCAGGAAGCAATCTTCATTTCTCTTCAGTACTTTCAAGAACCAATCAAGCGGGCAGTCAATAGTTTGAAGCAACAATAATGGCGTGAGCTGTAGATGCACTTAGTGTCTGGGGAGATTCGCCAGGTTGTGTTTTGCAGATCAAACGTGAGTCAGCTTCATCATTCATCTTTCCGGGATGGCCCTTGAGATTTCTACTCCCACGAGTGATCCATGGGAAGTGAATTGACACCGGACGATGGTCCCTACCCTTTGGCAGAGCCGGGTATCTAGTGAAACATGCAGGGTTGACGCCTCTTGCAGTTCTAGAGGCTCAGACTTACTCATTGTACGGCACAAATAGTGCACATATTGGTCAATGTTGACAGAGAAACGAACAATGTTTATCGGATGATGTCATCGCCCATCATTGTGTTGCCCAAATAACGCAAATGTTGGGAAATTTTGACTAGATCAATGAAAAAAACTTGGAATTTTGAGAACTTTGTTAAGGTGGAAGCTCTTTGACTTTCTTGTGCTGAGCAAGAAACTGGTAAGATATTTTACAACAAGTGCTCCTAAAGACGAAACAGTTTTCAATTTCTCAGGTAATGTTCTTTGCTGGCTGTTCTGCAATGAATGGAAGGCCAACCAATCCATAGTTGGGTTGACTGGCTTGCCTTGCTTTATTAATCGGATAAATTGCCTATTAACATATTTTAAGCAAGTTTTTGAACGTTGGAGGACTACAACAGCACCTAAAAATCGGTTTAACTCCCATTTTTTTTAAATGAAGGTCATTAATGAGCCCTTTGGGAGGGACATCAAATGTCTGTGGACTATCTGTTCCAGAAAATATACTCTAGGATGCAGGAGCATTAGGGATGATAACATGGTACACAGCTGTTGCCAATCAATGGAAACACAGACTAGAGAATGTAACCAAAAGTTTAAATGCAGCACCAAGACCACCCATGTGGCGCATTTTTCTTAGAACTAATCTTGAATGATGAAACTGCAATGGCCGATATATTCAGTGTATACACTGCAATGATGAAACCACTGGAATTTTCTTTTTTTTCTATAGCTTGCGTTCTAAGGTCGTTTGTGTGATCAAGGTTTTGATTTTCTTAACTTTCTCAGGCCTCTTATGCAAACAAAACCACAGATTGAGCACCAGATTGCCCATAAAACTTTTCTGATCAAGCCTCACTCTTTAGAGATCTGCGAGATTAAGAACTGATTCAGATCACAAATTTACAAGAACCTGGGGAGGAATTCGAGGTTTTGAGTGACATTTCATAGAGATTTGTTGGAACCATACAAGATAGCTTTGTCATTACTGTCACATAGCTGATTTGCCATTGCGATAGGCACGTTTTCAAGCATACATTACAAGTTCAGGCTTGGAATATTTGTTTTTGGGATACACCATGAAGAGCATTGTAAAATTGGAGAATTATTGAGTGCATGTCCAGGAATTTCCAAACAATGAAAAACAAGGATTCACATGGGAGGATTATATTTTGTGCTTGGAAATAGGTTGGAATCGTTTGGCTGTGGAGTAGAGACTATGGTGGATGAAAGGAAATTCCATTCTATTCTCTCAAAGGTAACAGATCTCCAATTATTATCACATACATCACACACGGCTGATAACGAGTGAGATGAAGAATTAAGAGGAAGAACAACACGAACAGCGAACAAGCCGCAGAAGGCTCTTAAATGATGGGAATTCCATAAAGGAGGGAAGTAGAAGAGATTTACCAATGCACGGAAGGCATGCGGATCAATTGACTGTTTGGAGTGCGGTTAAGTAGAAGGGGCGAGCTCGGCTCATGCCCGAGAGGCTCCTCCTCCTGTCTTCGGTGCCTGGGTCAGTCTCTCCCGCACGCAATGACCAGTGCAACTCGAAGTTTGAAAGGTCGTGCACCCCAGCTGAGAATATGCAAACCCTCACGGGCACCTCCACAGTCGACATCGGCTCTAAGACCAGGTGACTGGAGCTCGATCTGCACCAAGCAAAAGGCTGCCCGTCGCTTCCTGACTGCGGCATCTTGGGACGTGCTCCCTCCAGAGCAGAGGTGAGGGGATCACTCGCCAGAGGAACATCTTGCCAGCCTCCTTGGCCACGATTGGAAGACGCAAAGTCGTCGCTCGATTCGCCCAACAGTGCCGGCATGCCGTCAGGAATCACAACCTTCACGGAGGCGGCTGTTGTGGAAGAGTTGTGTAGTCTCATCACAAGATCAGCCTCACAGAAGGACGAACCAAAGTCGTGGGTTATGGCGTGAGGGCCACACAGCAGCCACAATACTGGGTCCTTGCTCGCAGTTCTAAACACAGGCATTGAAAGAGAAAGTTAAAGGACAAGCGAGAAGACAAGATTTAGGCATCAAGTGACTTTGTATCACACTAGGAAACGAGCTTGCCTGCAGTGACAGGAGTGATGAGAAAATAGCTGAGGGAGCTCATCTGGATCGGAATTAACCAGCTGTGAGATCAAGATGAAGTCGGCAGTACTCGGACATCCCTGGTCCATGAGAATAACATTTAGTTAAAGAAACAGAGATCGGAAAGAAGAGAGAGAAACAATTGATTGCCTAGTTAAGATGAGATAAGCTCAGCTACGGTTTTGAGATGGCTCCACCATAGACAACCTTGAAATCCTACCCTGATCATTGTTCCCTGGTGACTACTAAGCCCTGAAATCTATGTTCCTAGCACTCGCTTAAAACTGCGAGATTGAAGGCCTCTACTGATGTGGAATAAGTTAGGTCTCCTCAGTATTTGATAAATGAAAAATCGCAGGGTGAAGTTCTAAAGTTCCCTTGTGTATTCTTGGCTATCTATTGAATGGAGCGTCTTCTTTCTCATTTCCTATGTTGTTCCCCTTTCTTTCCTTTCCTCATCACCTTTGGTTCTTCCTTTGTGACAGACTTTCTTCGGTCCGAAACGGCTAAACAGATATGAGACCAATCTTTTGTCAATGTTAAATTCCTCCTGGAAATCGAATGGGAACTTGGCAAGTGCCGGCATTTATTTTCCTGTTGAAAATACAAATCAGCCGAATTATTAAATGATGATTGAAGCACTGGGTTGGGAAGACCCTTTAGTGTTATTTAACGTTCTCTTGTTTCAAGACCCACGGTAGCAATCCACATCCCTCGTCACCAGCTACCGTGGCCATTACGTAGAGCAAATGATCAACTTCTAATTACCTCGAACTAAAGTAATATTAAATGATGACGATGTCAGCAAATCAAACCAATCTTTTCATCATTCCAGTAAGGATTAGAAATAGAAAAGAATTACAAGCCAACCACTCAGAGGCCGATGCTGTGTGAAAGGCAATATTTATAACACAACAGGGGCCGAACCAGTAGTATGGAACAGCATATAAAAAGAACAAAATTTCCTCCTTCCTAGGCGGGGAAGACCCTTTCTTTAGTCTTTTTTAAATGCAAGCAAGTTTCATGGACTGACTCATAAGTATGCAAAGGATATTTCAAAGGCTGTGCCCAACTGGAATATAATAATTTTCTTTCTGAAGGGTTGCCATTTTTTTGTCGTGGATGGTACTTGCTTAGTGCTTTTGTCATATAGAAGTTAGTGAATAAATCCGTTGAAAGACCTTTTATTGTGCTCCAGTCCGATCACGTACACTTTGGGGTAATCATTACTTTTGATACATCCTTAGGATTGTATTTCTGTGATTCTATTGAGCACATGCCCTAAATGATAAAGAGATTTTTTAGATACTGTCCCTATTGAGCACATGTTCTAAGTGACACTTTCAATTCAATGGTGTTTATAAAGTCCTATCTTATCAAAAGCTAGTCGTATTAAAAAGGAGAAGAAACCTTTCGCAAACATCTTGCAAACCTATCCTATATTTTGCCATTCATAGAGATGCCCAAGGAAAATAGTCTATGTGAGAGATCAAACCACAGGTACATCAAAGCTTTGGCACCAATACTTCATATCTAAAAGAAAGTAAACTGCTCACAAACGGAGTAAACATCTGACCTGACCAGAATTTTCTTGATGACGCCTTTCATGATGGTGAAAATCGATTAGAGGTGATTTAAAAGTATCAAGTAGTCCTTTGGCAGTGTCCTCAGACCCTACTCGGGAATCACTTCCTTGGATGGGCAATAGATTGATTTCACTGACCCCCTAAACGAACATGCATAATAGAATGTGTAAGATAGGAGACAACATATAATAAGAAAAACGAACAAAAATACTCCCATCTCCAAAGCTGCATCTACAATTTGGAATTCGAGATGTGCGAAGAAAACATGAAAACACTTTCAATATGAATAAAAGTCAAAATAACGCATGAATCAGTTCTTATCTAGTGTGCAGAAAAAAAGAACTTGTTTTCATACATTTAATTGATCTTTAAGTCTGAAAGTTAACCATAAAATTCATAGATGTTAAGAAAGAGTATGCTGCGCAATACTAAGAATTTTTTTGTGACTAGCACATAATGTAGAAGATCCTATATGCATTTAACCTTTGTAAAGCAAAATGTGGCATTTCAAACCTTCAGCTTAAAGAAACAGACCAACGATTGCCCTGCAGGTAATAATTGGGAGAGATGGCCGGATGCATATGATGACAGTGTTGAAATATCCCAGTCAGAACTAACAACCGACAGTTGACGAAGCCAGAAATTCTCTGTATGTGTGCGATTCACAATATCCATGCGCAGAAGAAACTCTTCAAATTTTGTAGGGTAAGGAGTGATCGACATTGATATGTTCAAGGATGGCAATACCTGTTATAAAATCCAATTAACTTAATGTGATAACATGTAAAAATAGACAAAAGCGGATATCATTAGTTGCATCCATGTTAATAAAAAAGAAGCATACGAATTTAAGAGAAAGTATCCTTTGAAGAAAAAAAATCCATTCGGTTCAATGGCAACCAAGGTAGAAATGGTCAAAATTCTGGAAGGATTATCAAAGAGGTATAAAGTCTTCTATTAGTTTTCAAAATAAAGTCAAATACTGTATAAAAATGTAAAATAATATCAATAGTGAAAATACTTCAGACAGTGTGAAGAAGCGAAAGAAAGAGTGAACTTTATATAGAGTTGGGTTTTAATGGTCCATTAAGATCTTATTAACATCAATTTTAATGCGGCAAAAAATATTAATCATATATAGGAGAGGTTGTTGTGTCTGAAATTATATTATATAAGACTTGTATTAATGAACCCAAAATACATTTTTAATCGTATTTCTCTGAAATCTTATTAATCATAGTTGCTGATCTGTTAGATAGATTCGCACAAGGATAAAGACCAAGTCCAAAAGTGTCGACACCTGAGAGGTAAGGGATGACAAGTGTAGAAGCAGTCATTATTTATACGAGTCAACTAAGCAGAAATTATAGACACAAGTCTTTCATTGTGTATGCATCATAAATTCTATCAAGCATTCAAAAGGTTGTGTTTTATATAGTCCTTTGAACAAAACTAATTGAGCAAGGCTAGAAGGTTGGGAAGTTAATTTAATAACGACAACAGATTGTATAAGGTCTGACAGATACCTTAGTATGTGTCAATTTAAAAGAAACCTACTGGATAATGCACAATGGGAGAGTCGAGTAAGCCTGGAATTTGACAAAAACAACATAAAAGTAGTGTCTCATTTATAATTACATAGTGTCTCGAGATAAACATTTCTATTGCTCTTGGTTTATACTTCTCAATCATCATTTATTACTAATCCACAGAGAACATAATTTAGTAGGTATTTTGACATAAACCCCAGAAAATAATTGGAATCTCTGCAGGCTTCTAAGACTGCAATAAATTTGATCATGGGACTTTCTGTAAACAGGATGTCTTGAAACAACTAATTTCCCTTTTCCTTTTTAAAAAATCCATTGCGCATACACACTGCCATAAAATTTCAAAGTTATTCTTGATCAAGGGAATCAAAATATTTTGTTTTAAACCATCGAAAACTGACTGAAAATTTCTGCCTTCTTGTTGAGTCATAGCGATGACATGAACCCAGCATACTGAGTAAAAAGGAATAGAACGAGCACAGCTGTTCTGATCACTGAATGCCAGATCTTGGAGGATTCCTAAAAATTTCATTCAGGAAAGACATTACGGTCAACATAAAGGTTATCTAAGCGTTACCAAGAAATTATAACGAAGTATGTTGGATAAGGGAAGATAACTTAAAGACTGTAACAGCATAACTGCTCATTTGACAAATTTGAGCAATCAGTATGAAAAAAATATTAACATCCAATGATGCTGCAAAGATTTAGGAAATTTGAATAGAACCACGAGAAGATCAGAAAAATGGCACAGTTTATCTAAGAGTATGTAAAACTAGTAAATGATACATTACTAAAATAATTTTTCGAGCATGTTAATATAGTAGCATTACTGGCAATAAGTAATCCGTCACTTCGCAGTATATGCCATTACCTCAATGTGATAGTGCATCCGAAGTGTGCGGTAGGTCATGTCACCGGAATGATTTTCCATTTCATAATACACTGATATATACTGTGATAGATTTCCAGCAACTCCAGCATGAAGCCAAAGAGGCCAGTGGAAAATTGTCCCTCCCTGAATTTTAGTACCCTAAAATATGAAAAGGTAAATGAATATGATGAAAATTCAGATTTAATAGAACAGGAACACTGAGTCTCACGTTTGGGAACGAAAACGAGCCATTGGATTTCTCATATGAGTTAAACGCTATCTTTTCTTGGATGTCACTGGATTCAGAACGAATCTGTTTTTCTAGACAAGCTGGAAAATTCAGTTCCAAGTCTCCCAAACTTTCTGGTATTAAGAATCTTGGATGACTAATCTTCATTTTCAAGTTCTGCAAAATAGTGTAAGTATCATGAAAGAAACATGAAATAAGAAAAAAATTATCAATGTAAACATACCTTCACAGAGTACTCTGAGTGATTTTTCAGTTCAAGCATGACAAGCCGTAAATCACCAGCATAAGTCTTATGAGGCATCTTATGAATACATCCTTCCAGTTTGGGTAGACCCTGGACGTAAAGAAACAAGAGTCAGACCATGTTTTGCAATAAAACGAGAACGAAGAAAAAGAAACAAATGAAATATGAACCTTGACAACAACAAAGCATAGGGTAGAACCGAAATGATCCTCATTGCTCCTTGGTTTTCCACGTTTCCTTTTTATATCTGTGTTAAAGATGTGCGATCCCACAATTGAATCTGAAAATACCCACCTGACTCCAACGATCTTTAGTAAGCCTTGGATTCTGGGAGTAACATCAAGTTCTACCTGACAGCATAAAAGACAGGTCCACAGATATGAATTCGCCATAATGAAACATTGTTAAATAACACGTGAATGAAGTCTTCCCGATCCTATTCCAATGCCTGCTTTATAATATAACGATGAATATATAATTATTTAGCAAAATCATTTGCCCCACTCCTTGATGATCAACTAAATGCCAGAGACAACAAACCTACATGAGTAGAAATGTCATAGAAGAAACAATTTCCTCAACTCAAAAGGGTTCATTAATCATGATTTTCCCTCTCTTAGCCAATTGGAATATGCAATATATTCGACCATCAGAATAAGAAAATAGGAACTAGGGGGAATAGTTGCTTTAATATATCCACACACCATGAGGGTTGTAACAAACAAAAAGGTTTAACAAAACAAACTTTCTAAATTGTATTGATTCCAAAAGCTGCAAAGTAACAGCGGATGCAGCCATTGACAAACAGTTTCAAAGATTGAAGACTAGTTAGCATTTAATAATAACATATTCCTTTTAACACGGCCACAACCGAATTTTGCAAACCAGAACAAGCGAGTTCAGAACAGAATCTAGGATACATTAATTCAATCTCTAGTGCTTGTTACAGCTTTTGCTTTATTGCTACCTACGAACAACAAAGAAGATAAGAATACTCTTAGGAAACTTCTCAAAATTGGAGCCCATAAATTATCGATTGATTTCTTGCATTGAAATCTGAGCTTGGAGACGATTTAACATTGGAAAGAATTAAACGTACTTCTGTTTGAAACAAAGGTTAAACATAGGATCAAGTGGAATGGGCTGCAAGCTCACTTTGCACTTCCATTATCAAGAACAAGATAAACAGATTATGAACAAGATAATTATGCTTCAAACCCCTGTCTAGTCTGACGAAGCCACCTTGAAGCTTTGTAGTTGTTGAAAGTTCTAAGTTGTAAGGAAATAATATAAAGGACTGAGAGTATTTTGGGACAGTTGTCTAGGGTTCCTCTCTGTATTAGAGGTGTTAGAGGTGAATGAATCTTGTGGCGATTGTCTGCCATTCTCGCCTCTATCCTCCATGACAAAGGTCATTCCCCCTGTGCCTATGTTTTCCAATAGCAGTTACAGATGAAAGTCTGGAACAGATACAAGGATGAATCTTAGGAGAAGCACAAGAAAGGATAAGACTCCACACTTACAGGACTAAGAAAAAAAGATGTGAGAAATCTTCCTCTTGCCATTAACCAGCATGGGATGTTAGAAACAAAGAAATTCAAGGCTAAAGAGGATGGGTTAAATTTATTATCAAATAAGAAGCTTCTGACATTCATCACATGAAGGAATTACTTTCCTGTGGCACAAGCATTTATGGGCTGGGTCATCTACAAGGAATGTTAGTTTATTTTACATAGAAATATAAGGGAGCAATCATCAGTTCTCACATTGTTAGTTTATTCTCACATTTCAGACAATGTATAAACAATCTTCCGTTCATTTCCAGTCTCACGAATTTAACTGAGAAATGCTTCGATCTCTGTGATCCCTTTGATGATTGCCGCTCCTCACAGGAGGTATAGGCTTTGGCGTCGGAGACTGCTGCTTGCAATGAAGGGAAAGAGGACGGATTTTTAACTACAAACGAAATGAAAACACGGATGTTACGTCACTTCCTGTCAAAATTTGTTATTTGCCTTTACACTGCATACATTATTAAGTACCCTTAAAAATATTAGCCAAGAAAATCACTCTAAAAAATATTCGTTTGTTCCAAAAGGGGTGCTCTGTATGATCCTCACCGATAATTATTGAGCCTTTTAAGAAAGTTCTCATAGTAACCTTTTTCAACAGCTATGAATGAGAGATTGAAGAAAAATGTGAATATATCGGCTATTTAGAACCAAGGAAATGCAGATTGTTACGTTCAGACTTACTCCTCTGGTCTCACCACCTCCTAAAATAAAATTTTCTCTTGATAAAACGTACGATGCATAGACGTTCTCCAGCTCCCTGCACAGACCAATCCAAAGACGATGCTCAAAGAAGGGAATAGACAATATTACAGGCATCCATAGGAGATAATTATATGGAGATTTACAGAGTGAAATGCTGCAGCAAAAACGGGCTGGTACCTATAATCAGTAGAGTCACTATGAACATCTCCCTCAGCCCCAAATGGTGATGCATTTTCATCTGAAATATATGAACATTATGGATATTATTACGTCTTGTCCAGTAAACCGATTTCAAAAGCATTTTCGGAGATAAACTTACTGAGTTCTGTTCCATCAGGCCTTGGAGAAAGCTCACATATAAGAGAAACATCAGACAAAGATATGGATATTTGGAGAGGATTTTTAAACTCCAAGTAAACTTTTATTGGTTCTGCAAAGACAAAAATGCTCAGAATAATGAAAGACTTTTCTACACATACCACTCTGGTTCCATGGTAAGGTAATCTGCATTGGTCTATTGAACTGGAAATATCAGTTCCTTTTCCATAAAATCAAAGAACTAGAATAACATTTAAACTGTAACATAAAAATTCCTGAAAATAAAATAAGTAAACTCTGTCAGTAATGTGCAGTGTCTATTGTGGAAAAGAGAAACGTATAATTAAGAGTTTGTTTCCGTTGGTCAAATTCATACGTTGGTTTTGTTGTTGGTCAGCCTAAGTTGGTTACGTTGTTGGTCAGTTTCCTGGGTTGGTTAGGCTGCTGGTAAATTTCCTAGTTCGGTTGAGTATTCAAAAAACCGTGGTATTCAACCTAGGTTTTCTTCCTTTTTTGAGGCGTGGGTAATTGTATATAAGAACCAACCGTTCTATGAATTGGTGAGACAAAAATTTCCCAACTATTTATCTTCATTTCATTTGCATCACGGTATCAGAACCTTAGGCTTGTAAAAATATGGAATTTTTTCCATAGTCTTCATCCTCCGCATCCTCTGCTCTCTGTCAACCTGGAGGCAGCAACCAAGATCTTCATCTGTATCTGATCTTGTTCCAATTCGAGGAAGAATCGTCTGCCCTCGATGTATCCTGTTTTGGCAGTCATTCTTGGATATCTCAGTGATATGTGGAACAGGCCGGGTCCCCTTTTTCAGACTCGCGGATCAGCAGATATACTTGGGGAGCTCTAGGTTTTTTGCATTCGTGTCAACAGGGGTTCACGACTGTTTAGGATTTATCTTCATCGTCCTTTTCCAGATTTCAGACTGCCGTCTGTACCATCTCATGCCTTACGGAAGTTGGAGGCATAAAGATGACTGCTACAACACAATCCAAAGAGTTCGTACCATTTCAACAATGCAGAGAGTTGCAGAGGGGCTGGATGGAAAAAATTACCTAAAGTAGTCCCAACTACTTCGCACTGTGCTGAAAGGAAAATGGAAGATCAACCATCTCACAGGTACAATGCTGAAACCAGGGGATCCTCGGTTCAAGGCGTGGGATAAAGCAGATTCCATGACTATGGCATAGTTATGGAATTCTATGACACCTGAGATAGCAACACACGTATGCTCTTGGCTACGGACTAAGGATATCTGGGATGTAATCCAACAGACTTATTAAAGCCAGAGACACGGCTCAAGTCTGTGGATTTAAGGTGAAGACAATTGCTGCAAAACAGGGATGCAAAACAGTTGTGGAATATGGTAATCAGTTGAACGTGTTATGGCAAGAACTAAAGCATTATATGGTGACTAAAACCAAACGTCCTGAGGATGCAGCTATTCTGAAGGATTTCATTGATCAAGATAGAGTGGCACTGATTTAATGCAGTAGTGGCACTGATTCGAGGAGAGAAAATCAGGGAAGGCTTGGCACTGGAACCAAAAAGCAAAGACAGCTCGATGGTGCCAATAATTCAGCCACAAATGTGGAGGGAGCACAAGCTGCTATAGTGACAAAACTGGACAATTGAATGCCCAGAATCGTGACTATAAGGATATTTGTGGTGCACTCATCGTAGGCAGCCACGTCATACTCGTGAACGATGTTGGAAGCTCATATAAATTGAGAACTATTAGTAGTTAATTACAGAACACTGCCTTACACAAGCATCTAAATTGAGATCTTTTCAAATGAGTTAAGCTAGAAAATCTGTAGCATTTTCAGTATTGTGGGCTCACCTAGGTGAAATACAGAATTGTCTAATTAGCATAAAATTCTATAGGACTTCTTTTAAGGATAATGGTGTCGGGATGTGTCAAATATATTGTCTAGTTTTTTGTAGGTCTAGAAACTTCCAGGGGTATGATACAAATACCAGGCCCCGCTTCCTTTGTAAGTTACCTGTTAGCGCACCAGATCAGATTCAAATCTTCTATAGATAATAAACAACATTTTCCTCCAAAGTGGACAGTAAACACGACAGAGTGAGATCGATATGTTCACTAAAAACCATATTAAGTTGGGATAGCAAAAAAAGAGGACTTAACAGTATTGAGCAATTAAGTACATGCACTGTATAATTGCAGAAAATATGCACACAATTGCTGAAACGGTAAACAGACGCATAAGTTGTTATACGCTTATGCTTCCCTGCCTAAAGCATTAAAGATGTGACTTAAAACCAAAAATCATACAAGCAACTTGAAGGTCTAGCATTATTTTCAGGCAATAAATTAAAGAATATTGACAACTTGTTAGAGATTAAAATGCAAGCGATAGATCCAATCAGCAGCTGCATAATGGTCCTTACCTCCGATCACACAAATGGAGGCCTCATTTGACTTCTTCAAGGCATTTAAATTTTTATAGGATTCCAACCAGTTTGATTTTGCAGCATATGTTGATGGGACCATATCCTCCTCCAAAGTTTTCCACAAGCTTTCTTCTACGTGAACCTAGTGAAGAAAAATGAAAGCCCAGTAAATTTTAGCAAGTTTAAGCAAGTTGTGATGCTAAAGGCAATGAAAGGAGAGCTTCATAAATCATGTCATACGAGTGGAATAGTTGAAGCATCATTCCAATCTCAAAGAAAAACGTATCCACCAATAGCAGAGCTTAAACCCATACCAATAAACTTGGAAAAAAAAAATTAAGATCGTTAAACTCAGAAATGAAAAACTATCCAATGATGCAGCATAGGTGAAAAGCCAGATTGAATTAGTCAATATTTCATAGTTTAATGAGATTTAGCAAAAATATGAATTGGCTCTTATGCCAGTTAAATAATTGAAATACAGCAGAAAACAAAGTGGGCAGAGTATGGGTACCCAATGTTCAGTGAGAAAAGCATGCATGATCACTGCTTCACCAGAGACTTGTACAAGAATGGCATTCAACATTCTAGAATAAACTTGCATGTTTTTGATACTCAACACTCCACGATACAAGGAGTCTCGGCATACAGGTACTATCAACTCCAAGCCACTTTTCGATAATTCTATTCATACAGGTACTAAAACAGTTTCTACACTGAAAAGTAAAAGTATCAGAAACTGTTTCCATAGCCTTACTGCCATTCCTCGAGTTCAAAGCCTCATTAACAGTCCGATCAAGAAAGATTGAGCAAACAAAATCCAGTTTACCATCACTAAAACTATTTTCTACGTCAGGAAAAAAATCATTAACCTTTTCACCGTACTCAAAATTTGAAATGCATTCTGTGATAAGACTACAACAAGTCAAATGTTTCTTTAAAGATGTCTTTTGCAGTTTAACCACATCACTATCACCATGACTATTAAAAGTGGATGCTGATGTCCCTAATAGCACATACACAGCCAGAAGAAGACAGTGTGGCGGGCAGCACACAGCACTCAAACCCCCTTGCTCCACCACCTCTGCCATGCCCGGGGGGGGGGGCGCATACCAGAATCCCGTATGACAAAGCACAGACAAGAACCACTGTATGATAGCATGCGCACAGCATTAGTTGCTGGTTGCCGTGGAAAGCATAGAGGAGAATATAATAGGAAAGAATAGTAACATTTAGTTTTACAGGCTTAGGCGGACATTTTGAACCTATGTAATACACGGAGTTTTCTTCTGAAAAAGTATGAAATTTCACGATTTAGAAGTTGTCAATTTCCAAAAACAGGATATGATCAAACTTGTGCACTGTTGTAGTGGTGGGAAAGTAAAAGTCATATAGACAATGTTCACCTTCATACCTCATTAACTTAATCCATAATACAGCACTTTATAACTATAGAACTGTGTGCTCAGTATAATCTAAAAGTAATACCATACTTGTTCTCCAATTTCAATTTTCATTATAAGACCTAGAACCAATTTCAATTCACTCCCCAACTTAGGGGAACTTCGGTTTTTCCTAATCCCTCTTATCTCTTCTTTGTGTTGCCATATGCCATAAGCTCATTTTCCCACTCATTAGGATCTCTTTCCCAAGCTTTCAGCTTTGTGAATTTCACTACATTTAGAACCATACCTTAGAGTCTTGAAATTGGCAACAAAATACACAAGCACAACTCCTTATTATAAGAAGCCAGAGTTCTATGAAGATCCCAAAGAATTTACCAACAAAAAGTAATACCAGCTAAGACTATGTCATCATCAAGTAACGCAAGTAACAAAGTCACCTCTCCTATAATCATCTCACTCTCTCTGCTAATGAAATTTGCACCACATAGGCACTAGCTATAAAATGGTATCTCTTATTCTTTTAATAATAGTTTCAAATACACAATTCCCTCGTACACGCCCTGAAAGCTTATTGTTACAAGTAAACTTTTAATTGGCATTTTAACTGCAAAGAAACATCAAGTAACTGTCATTAACACAAGACCCTTAAACAACAAAGTTGTACACTATGACATATTTTCAGAGCTTTATGAGAATTCCATGACAACTATATACATGACTCAGCAATCCTACATTACTTATGTACAACAAGGTGCCCAATTACAAAACTTGTCTTCGCTATGGCCATGGATTCAGGGAAAATATCTTTGATCCACAAAGTTTCCCAATCCACTAACAGAAAAATAGTTCAGTGCCAAGTTAACCCTCAACGTAGCTTCTCAAAATAAGCAATCAGCATTGAATGTTATATTCACTGAGATCATATTATCCATGTTTTAATAAAAGCCTCATTTAGTAAGTCAAACTATCGCCCACAAAGTTTTAACCTATTAAGCTCTTCATTCAATTTCCCGCACCGAATTGCATCTCCCTCTCCATTCAACTATTAATCTTCCAATCATTATTGTTCAAAGCGAACATATTTATCAGAGCAAACAGGGAATACATTGGAATAAAAATATCACAACAGGCATAACATTGCAAAAGAAAAAACTCCCTTTTCCTAATTATGGGGAAAATATATGCCTTAGCTATTGTCTTAAAACCATTAAACATAAAAAAAAAATTCAAAAATATCCTGCTTAATCTCAGGGGGTTTCAGGAAGGGCCTCAGTGTATAATTTCCTGACTGAGACACATGCCATGTCTGTGGATCTCCAGAGTCCCCACAATCTAGTTAGTCTGAGTCACACAGAAACAGTGGGAGATTAAATGGAGTTCATGAATTGTGGAGGATGTAAAGAAGTTCAACAGTAAAAATAGCGAAATAGACGGCCTTCTAGAAAATAGTCCCATGGAGATCATGCAACGTACTACTACACTTTTGTTCAAGTATTATAGCATTATGTCAAAATGCAGATGCTCAAAGATGTGATGAAGCTATTCCCAGACACAATGGATAGAATAATTGTATAAATGGCACAAATATTTCAGTCAAAGTACATACAGGTTAAATCATACATAGAGACATAGAAGATGGAGGTTCAACTTACAGAAGCTGATGATGCATACGTCCGATGATCCTCAAATGTTATTTTTAAGGAAGGCATATTAATAAGTGGCAGTTGAAGCTTGTTTACTTCTGTTTTACTCCCAGTACTCTGTGATGCCAAATTAATTCCAGTAAAAATGTAATGATAATGTTTTTTGGAAGAAGCTAAGAAGAAACATAAGTGAGATATACATACTACCTGAACAATACGAAGAAAGTCATTAAGAAATAGCTTTTGAGTTGCTGCAGATTGATGAGAACATGCAAGAACTTCGACCATATGATCAATTGCAACATCAAGCATACCAATCAATGCATACCACCTGTATCAAACAAACTTTTGAGAAAAGACACCATGAAAAAGGAATATGCCAAGGTACAACTGATATGAACAGAGAAATTACCTTCCAATATTAAAATGAACATGATCATTAATGTAACTCCAAGAATTTTCTTTATAGACGGAGAGAGCACCTGTGTATGTTCTAATGGCATGCTTTTTCTGAATTGAGAAAAAAATAAACTTTTAGCTTTAATCTAAAATATTCTACTATTTTCTAAGAACTATTCTCCTGTGCACTTTATATACCTGTTCAGAAATGTAATAGCGATTACCAGCCAGAACAAGATGAAATGCATATTTGCGCAGCATTGGTGGATCTGAAAGTAGATAACAGTAGGATGCCTGCTCAAGCATGACAGCAGCATGCAAAGAAGGTTCCTGAAAGGACGGCAGAGAAAACCAAGAGTAAATAAATGAGAAGTCCCGCATGTACATGTAGCTTCAAACTTACCTCAATTGAAATGCGAAAATATACAGCAGCTGCCTCTTTATACTGGCCCCTCTCTTTAAACATTTCAGCCCACCATAGTCCACACCTTGTAGCATATCTCAAACCAGATGATCCAATTCTCTGTAAAAGAATTTTACATAGAAAAAAATTATTTATGTTTAAACCCTATAATAAATTTATAAACATGCCACTAAACTACAACGTCTCATTTGAAATGGAGAATAAAGAACAGAGTTCTTTAATCGATTCAAATCCCAAGGAAACAAACAAATTAGGGATCTAAATAGATGATTAAAAAAACATCTTCAATAATGGAGAGCTCAATGGGATGTCAACAAGGTTACCAAAATACGAGAAAGTTAACTGCAGGCCACTTATCAACCTCCAGTGCGGCCCTGTTTCTCAATATTTTAAACATTTTCTTTGATCCCCTATGCAACAACAATTATCATGGAGATTAAGTGGCTACTAAACAGAAGTCCAGCACAGTGTTGTTCCACAGGCTTGACCTGGACATCACATTTTAAATGGTCACTGTCATAGATGCTACGATGAAATAAATTCATCTCGTACCTAATCTTGCACAAGGAATTGAGCACCCTGACATAACTTTCTCTATAAGAAAAAAGGTACAATAACAAAGTGTCGGAAGATACAAATCAGATCAGACTCTGATCCCTTCCATCTTGTTTTGTAGTCAAAGACATGAAATATTCATATTTTTTCCAAATAATCAGTTTGACTGGATTTATATTTTTCCAAATTGATTACATTTTCCAAAAATCTGATTGGATACATGAACAAAAGCTGCATCACCAGTTATGGCCTGCCTCAATTATATTGCATAGTCCATCACCTTTCTAAATCGTAAGCCAATAAGACAAATGACTGATTCTAAAAATGAAAATTGCACTCTGTGCAGAACTAAAAGTCAATTCCTTTCTTCTAAGAAACCCACTGTTGTCTTGCATTGTGCAACAGTGTTAAAATATAGGTAATCAAATGGACCATGAGGAGACCAGAGAAGAGGATCTTCCTATCAATACAATCTCAGATAAATACAAGTAGAGGTAACTAAAAAATAATCAGTGGTGTCAAATTATCCTATTCACCTTTTTGTTTGATGCCATGCTAGGAGAAGGGGTGATACACGTACCTCATATGAATGAAAAGCGTTTTCCATGCTATATTCAGCCTCTTTCTTTGATTGATCCAACATAAACAAGGAAAGTCCCACCATTTCCTGCATGAAAATCCAAATAGAAAAGGTGATTGCCGTTTTATCATCGATTTGTGAAGATGAGACATGAGGAGATAACGGATAGAATGTGGGAATGACGGTGTAAAATAAGGCAGTAGATGCTTATAATAAGAGATCTTACATGCCTCAACAGATCTATGAGAATTTTAGGAATATTTGGTAAAATGCACTTTTCGTAATTGGAATTGACCACAAAATCATTAAACGAGAACGAGAAAAGAAGGTCCTAGTCTCTCATCTGGGAGCTCTGAAAACGAATACCCCATATATCAGTATGTCCTTTCCATCTCTGCAGTTTTAAATAGAGGATACATACACCCCTCCTGTAGTAAATCTCCATGTAAGAAAACATTATGGGATGAAGTTGGTGCAAAGTCCATGGAAAATAATTAGCAAGAGACAAAATAATCCTGACTAACTTTAGCTCGCCTAATAACTCAAAAATTCTCTTTGTAACCAATTTCATATCTGTCTAAACTCCCAAGCCAGAAGCCTTGCCTTATACCATGATGTAATACTATCAGCATTTTACCCAACCCAATTGTTCCTTCATATAGAATAGTGCTCCCAAGAATCACTCTTCTAGAAAGCACTCACTTCTTCACTCGTTTGTTGACACCCAACATGGATTGCATTACAGCATTGCTATAGGATGCAGGTACAGAATTACACTATAAATTACAAACACGTTTACCAATTGAAAAAAGTAGTAGGAAGATGAATGCCATAGGCACAATTTAAGAAGGGGGGAGCATGCGCTATCTTGATGAGATGACTCGGTATTATATACGGCTTGGTAATCAGAAGGAAGCCCTTTCCTAGTGTTCTTCCTCCTAGTGTCAGTAGTTACTTGTTAGTTTCCTTTACACTAGTGTGACAGATACAATCATGAGAGCCTATTTGTGATACCTCTACAAAACAACAGCTTCATTTCCATCAAGGACAAAAGGAACATGTGTGAAGGAAGCACCAGATGACAAATGGAGAAGAGGCTATAAATGAATACCAATGAATTCTCTTCTTAAGGACGAGACTATCCTAGAGTAAAGACAACATCCTTCAAATGAATATATTTTTGAGATACTGTAGCAAAGAACTTATATCCTTTTTTGTAGTGAGGACACCCAAGGAAACACGTCACTAACAACTCCCAGGACTAGATAAGCTAAGACGTATTGTGACACTCCTTGCACTGAACACCAGGTAACACATGCACAATGGATGGAACTAAGATGCCCAAATACAAAATGTTGTAGAGAGAAGAATGAATGTGCAGAAACTAATTGAGTCATAAGAGACTCAATCATAAGAATCTCAGAGAACATCATGTCATAATAAAACTACTCGTAAGAATTGCTTCGATGAGACATCTATAATTAATGATGTAGAAAAAGTTGCGAAAATAGAAAATCAGGCCTTGGATCCACAAGGCACGAAATATGAAGTGGGGAAGAATGAAAATCAACCCTTGAATCCACATGGTACGACTTTTCCCTTTCCTAGAATGCATAAGGATTAATTTAGATAATTCCTTGAATCCACAAGGATAAGAAAAAACGTCCCTCGAATCTACAAGGTTCACTTGAATCCCAAAACTCTCAGAAATCTCACAGAGAGAATGAGAATTACTAATTTTCATCTCCTATAGAGTCCTAAAAAATTGGATCAGTTACGAAAAAAAATAAAAACGACTTCAAAGCACAACAGTTACTAAAACTGAAAACTGATTCCTTATCCACAATTTATGTGCGCTTAGTTTCATTTTGTGCCTTTCAATCTTTCTAGTCATTTTTTAACTTTTCAGCCACCTGCGTCCCAAATTTCGGGCCTTTCTCCTTTTTTCAAGGAGTGTCCTACATCAATTAAAGACACAAACAAGACAAGAATAAACAGTGGGGAATTGTTTTTGTCATAACAATTCATAGAACGATTGCTGGTTAATATACTTGCCCCAGCCTCAAAAAAAGGAAAACTACCTAGGTTGAATCCCAGGATTTGTAGGGTACCCAACCAAATTAAGAATCTGACCAAAAATAGGGAACTGACCAAATCAGGAAACTGACCAACAACCTAACCCTTATATGATTTTTCCCACACTATCTCTCAAGCTGGTGAATAGGATTCTCCATTCTCAGCTTTGATACAATACTCAGAAATACCGAATTACTTATTCCCTTGGTAAGTACATCCACAAGTTGGCCACGTGTAGAGACAGTGTACAAATATATCTGCTCTCCAACTTCTCATTGATGAAGTGTCTGTCAATCTTAATGTGTTTTGGTCAATCGTGTTGCACAGGGTTATGAACTGCTGATTGCAGGCATGTTATCAAACTAGAATCTCATTGGTCCATCCCACTTAATATTCAAATCTTCTAAGATAATCTTCAACCAAACAGACCCGACTCATTGTTCAGAATACAGCCTCTGCACTAGATTGTACCACCACATTCGGTTTGTTAAGTCTTAATCCACAGGTTGATCTCATAGCAACCAATGACCTTACATAATCAGCATTTGAATATGCCTCAAGTGCCAAGCCTATGTCTTTCTTGAATGAAATACCTTTTTTTGGTGTCCTTCTGAGATGCTGTAGTACCACGTGAGATGCCCCCAAATGGACTTTCTTTAGTTCTTTTCGCCATCAATAAAGGGCTTTAGTCATCTCGATTCGTCACATCATCGTCTTAACCAAGGAAAAATTTAGAAAAGAAAGTAGGATAACCCATCATATGGTCACTAGTTACAAAGTCAGCCCAAAGGTCACCAATAGGACTAGTGGCACTGAAGGAACCGAGGTGGTCCCACGACATTGTAAAATAATCCTCTGCAGGCCACAAACAGCATACAATAAAACTCCTAAACATTAGCCTCAAGATTATAAGCTAGAACAATGTGTTCTTTAATTTCTTGTCCACACATGAACGTAATGGGCTTTTTTAGTCAACATACCTCCCAACCACTGTCTACATTGTGATTCTCAAGGTCACAATGTGTAAACAGCTTGTCATCTTCACGTTTCTACTTCCCCTTATGTTTTCCCCTTTTTGTTTTCCTTACAAATCCAGTTAGAGAGTGAATAAAAGTCATTTTCAACAATGCTTCCAGAAGTATGATTTTTCCTCCTTGCTAGCTAGAAGCAAACGTGTTGCCACCAAATAGTCCCTTGGGAAGCCAAATCTAGCAGCACAAAAATAAAGAAAGAGGAAGAGATTGATGGCTTAGTGGATAATGTTCATGTTGGAATAAGACTCTTACAGAAAGAAATACCACTCTCATATAGGGTAAGAGGGGATAAAATAGGAGATGTAATTAAAGAAAAATATATATGTGTGTGCAATCAAAAAGACTCTCTATGCCTCATCAGCATCTCACATCATACTGAGACGAAATTAATAGCATAGCAACCCAAAAGCGAAGATTTCTCCTCGAATCTCACTCATTCTCTTTTCACAAGCACCAACGTAAAATCTTGAAAGTTATACCACTTTCCCCCTAAGCAAGGGTCTGTTTCGCAGTTCCAAGACATACGATAGAAAGCCCATCCAAATCTTCTGAATGATTGACAATCCAATCAATTAATTGTCATATTCCTTGCAATGCATGTCATTCATCACAATTCAACACATACATTATCCATCTAATGTATCACACTCACAGACCAAAACATACGATAGAAAGCCCCTCAGGTCATATATTCTTGAACTAGTAACAACCTTCCATCCTCACATGAGGTTTCCCCTTTCCACAATCCCGACATTGGATTTGATCTCTATTTACAACTGCCAACTCTTGTTCTTCACCATGCTGGCTCATCCAACATCATGATTTCAGTGGCCCGAGCTACATCACTAAAATGCTCATCTGTATTCAAAATAGCCTGTTAACTGTCTCGATGTAAATGTGTACATATCAAGACAAGACACCAAATGGTGTTGTCCATAATAGCGAGATCCTCATAGTGAGATCTTATTGTGCAAACTGAATGGAAGATGGGATCTTTATGAGGGTACACAGAAGAGCATGGAAGTTAAAGCAATGGCTTAAAAGATTACAAAGGCTTATATGGTACCTGAAAATAAAAGTGTGAGAGCCAAAAGGTGGCCAGAAAATATTTAAGAGGAAATTAAAACTATACAGAATTCGCATTATTTATTGTATCGAATGAGCACTTCTCCTCAAAGATCATCGTTTCTGTTCACCCTATCTCATATTAGCATAACCATGACAAACGACCATAAGCAATAGTATCAAGTAACACCCTGAAAAAAGGGAAAATACGCAATGACAAGATAAAAAAAACAGGTAAGCATTTTTCCAAAAAAATATACAGTGATCAAAATCTACCTGTGCACCTGCATAATGCTTCCAGGCTTTATCAAGCTTATAATCAGTAGAGAGTAACCGATAATTGGACAATGCAAGTTCATAGTCGCACAGCATGAATGCATAGTCACCCAAGAGTCTTATCTGAGACTCTGTGGAGTTAAATGTATACCTTGAACGAAAAACAGATAAAGTATGATTAGCAAAATAACGCCAAATTCATATTTTATATTCTAACTTGTTTTTCCTTCCGAAATGAACTTTGTGCTTGAACTTTTATCTGAAATTGATTCCCTAAGTCCTTTTTTTTAAGAACTCCTGAATCATATACACTGAATTTTATATGTAATTTTTTCATACAAAAATAAAAAGATTATATTTCAAGGAAAGAATAGGTAGTGCATGTGAAGCAAGCAGGAATAATGTGAGCAAATGACCTGATTGAAAAGGTCACAAGCAGACTAAATGATTTTCTTTATTCTGATTAATCATTTATTGTGTAAGATTAACACTTCTAAAAGCAAAATGTATTATTTCATTCTGTCATTCTTATTTCATAAAGGTAAAGAAAAAACACCAAAGCAAATCTTACATAGGGCCTTTAGGAGCCTCTGGCGTATCTTCCTTCCCTTTCCTCCACCACAAATTTTTTATTTGGTTCCTAAAACCCTTCCTAATTGCAGAAACCTATAGCAACAACCCAGTTAAAAAGGACAGTAGAAAAATGGTACAAAAAGTAACAGAATAATTAAGTTAATAAATCCATAAGATAAATTAAGTACCTGTTGGTTAAGCTCACGTACTTTATGCTCCATGTGAGGAATTATATGTTTGGAACATAGATCTTGCATGAAATCTCGAATCTAATTACACCATATATGCAACATCAGCTATTTCTCTTATAAAACTGTAGGAACTTCCACAGGACGTTTCTAAAAAAAATTCTGATTCAAAACATATTTCCGTGATTCTTACGAGAAATAAAATGCCCAATGAAGAAAAGCCAACTAGAAAGACACGTGCATGACTTCTAATATTGATGGGGGTACCTGATTAAGATCATCACTGGTAAGGAAACAAGCATTATCCTGTTTCAATGATACTCCATTTTTCTGTATTAAAAGAAAGTACATTAGTAAGTATAGAAAATTAAAAAAAAAAGTATTGAGTCGAATTCCACTATAACATTAAAGAATTCCCAACTCACGTAGTGAAACCACGGACTGTGGTCCCCTTCCCAAATTCCATCTGGAGAAGAATTAATGCAAAGCAATCGAGAGTCTTTCAATCCAAAAGTGCTCTTCATCTCTGCTAAAATGCTGCTCGCCCTACCAAAAGATGATACATTAACATCACAAAATCAATGTAATGAGTGTCTTTCGGATGCACAATGTTTCCAGCAGGTTTCTGATGCAAGAAGTTACATTTTCTATAAAATAACAGTCACCATGGCCTTTTAGATATCCACAGAAAGCAACTATACAAGCAAGGATTTTTTTTTGTTAACTGTGTTCTATATAGTGTTTCACAGCTCAGTATCATTTTAAACAGAAATTCAGGTGCTACATTATATGCTTCAGGCATGGATTCTTTAAAGGCTGGGTCTTGGTGTCTCCTCTTTGAGACACAACACTATCTATAATAATATATTACATTTTCCAGTGAATTACTAATTTCGGCCTTTATCAAATCCAGAAACAAATCCATCTTTGACTTTTATCGTAAATCAAATTTTACTTTTTATATTTTTCAGAATTACTATTCAAAATATTCTTCACATCCGTCAAGAACAACAAATAATGAAAATGAACATATTTGAAAATAAATAGTTTCCCGCCAAGAGATAATATAAATATCGTCAAAACCACAGTGATTAATAAACTAATATTTTTCAGAAAAAATGTGGGTTTGGCAGAAACATACCTAGGATGTATTCAAAGTCTTTTTCACCATGAATGTAACATTACAAGGAATACAGACTCTTCAACACAGTGATTTGGGATGATCAAAGAAGCGATTAACATATTTTTCAAGTTATACAATGCCCCCAACATTTCAATCTCCCCAACATTTCAATCTCCCCATTGACCTGTTCTGGCCCTCCTAGTGCCATGAGATGTTATCATCCAGAAAAGCCTTTGTTTCTGATATTTGATAGTTTTCCTTGCAGTATCTAGCAATTTAAACAGGATGGTAGGTCACTGATTATTAGAAAAACCATTAGAGAAAATCACAAAAATTTCCAGGGAAAAAATACGCTTTTTGATAATTTTAACAGCTCTTGAATGAATTCTAATTAAATCGTCTTCTAGTTGCTTTGACTACTAATTTTCTTGGATGAAGTGCTTCATCCAACATTTCATAGGCTTTTACTTCTATTTTTCGATCAGGTATATTCAGTATTTGGCACCCTACTTCCATATTTCGAAATATTAATATATTTCCGCTAGCTTGTTGTATGCATCGCAGTAAAGTGACCACTATTTTTGACACTCATAGTACAATTAGCAACGTCCAATTTATCAAATGGTAAGTGTTGAACTCTCTAGGATTGTTTTTCCTTTCTATCTGTTTCTTTTCACTGTACTTTCGTCCTCTGTCATTCCCTATGTTAAGTGGATCCATTAGACTTAAAGACTAATGTAATGGGCCTGGCCCATTAACTCATGTAACCTGTACTTAAGCGGGAAACCAAGATAATTGATGTAAGATTATGGGATTGTGGAAATTCTGCACCAAGAAGTGGTGACTGATTCATCTTCCCAAAAGAGGAGGATCGTGAAGATCGAATCCTTTCATTCTCTGAGTTGCAAGAATCTCAATCAAGATCAATTCTCAACATGGTATCAGAGCGGTGCTGATTCTGGTAGGATCAGATACTTCTTGTTTCTTGTTTTTGAATCTTATTTTTCTTGTTTCTGTGTTGGAGCAACACCAAGGAAGAAAGAAATCTTCCGCAAGCAGTGAACTGAGGCATTCTGAGAAGTGCAAAGGAAAAAGGCTTTCAGAATGTATTCAAGGGAAGGCTCTTCGTCATCCATAGAACTCATATCATCTCCAGTGATGACTAGAGAAAAAGAGACTATATCATACTCTCCCAAATATCTCAGAGAAACTTAGATTCAATGAGATAAATCTTCATCACTAGGAGCAGTTTGTTGATCTGACGCTTCTTGGAAGAGGCTTAACAGATCACCTTATATAAGAACCATTGAAGCAGTCAGATCCGAAATATAGAGGATGAAAATCAAAAGAGGCTATTATCCATACATGGCTGCTAAGTACAAAGACACCATAGATGTATGAGAATTTCTGTTCATTCACTCGGCGAAGGAATTGTGGGATCAAATTCACAAAAGCTGTTCAAAGAAACATAACGATTGGAGGATTTATGGCTTGGTGTCTAAGGCAACACATTTAGTGCAAGGAAGTAAATCAATTATGAAATATTCGTGTGAATTAAAGGCTACATGAAGGTATTGACCATTATTGGCCAGCAAAGAATCCTAGTTTTGAGGAGTGCATGTATACATTGAAACATAGATGTACACATTTTTAATGGGACTGAACTCTGATTATGAAAGCCTCAAGGGTCAAATTCTCCATCGTGAGAAGGTACCTGATCTGGATGAAGCTAGCTAGATTATTATGGAAGAAGAGTAGATTGAGCCTAATCAATAATGGGAAGAATGAGTAAATAGCCATCGCCTCCAGCAAGCAAGATCAGGGGAATCAATTAGAGAAAAAGGAGGGAAATCAAAACCCAATCTCTGCATCACAAGGAAGATACTAGAAGTGGGATAACAAAGAAAACCTTTGGTGTTCATATTGCAAAAAAAAGCATCATACAAGAGAAAAGTGCTTGAAGTTACATGGACGACCACCTCAAGAGGGGAGGACATATGTGACTACTTCTCAACCAGCAAAGACTATAGAAGGTCAATCTGCGATAAAGGAACCTCCCAGTTCTAGTAATCAGCAAAAGGGTAATGAATTTGAAAGACTGAGGGAGGAAGTAGAGAAACTCAAGATATGCTGAGCTCTACGTCCTTGGTTCAGTCAGAGGAGAATAATTTTTTCTCAAAATCATATGCATTTAACAGTTTTTCTAAATTGTCCTAGATACTTGACTCTGGCGCCACAGACCACATGACCTCAAATATGTGCAAATTGTTGATTATACGAAAAGTGATGGGCAGAGGAAAGTTATTACTGCTGGTGGTGAGATTCTACCGGTCGAAGGGATTGGGCACTTTAAGAAATGTTTTACATGTGCCTAAACTAAAGGCTCATTTGATTTCACCACAGAAACTTGTTAAAGATATTAAGTGTCGTTTCATTCTTGAGGACAATGGATGTTCACTGTGTGACAAGGTCTCAAGGCTAAAGATTGGACATGTTAAGGAGGAGGCTTGCTCTACTGGGAAGAGGATGAACGTGCAACGATGTCTGTACAGCAGTCACCTTGGAGTGGAGTCAGTGAACACAAAAAGAATAGTATATTGTTACAACACTGTCGTGTTGGACATCCTTCCTTTTATCTCCTAAAAACATGGTTTCCTTCTATATTTGAAGGTGTTGATGTAAAAACTCTAGTGTGCGGTTGGCCAAACACAAATGCTCCTCATTTGGAAATGTTGGTGAGCATAGTACAATCCTTTTATATCATATACACAGTGATATTTGGAGGCCAACGCCTATGACTAGCTTGTCTGGATGCAGGTGGTTTATCTTATTTGTTGATGACTGTACTAGGCTTACTTGGGTTTACCTCCTAAAATCAAAATCAGACGCCGCCCAAGTGGTGAAATCTTTTTGTGAAATGATCTATAATCAATTCAAAATTGTTGTCAAGAAGTTTAGATCAAATAATGCTAGAGACTATTCAATTCGGCTGTGTCTTACTTTGATCAGAAAGTGATAATTCATGAGTCATCTTGTGTCAATACACCCCAACAAAATGAAGTGGCTGAGAGAAAAATCGAACACTTACTGATACAGCTATATCTCTTTTGTTTCAACAAAAAGTTCCAAGGCAATAGTGGGGTGAAGCTGTCCTCACTAGCACTCATCTTATTAATAGGATACCAGCGAAAACACTAGAATATCAAAGTCCTATGGAACTGTTGAGTAAATTCTATCATCATGTGAAACTAAAGACTCATCTTCGTCCAAGGATATTTGGATGTACTGTTTATAGGCATAGTGGGAAAACCTGATCCACAATCTATAAAGTGTATATTTGTTGGGTACTCAACTACATAAAAGGGTTATAAGTGTTGTAATCCTGCTTCTAAAAAATTCTTTATTTCAGCTAGTGTGACTTTTAAGGAGTTGGAACCATATTATGAGATGAAAAATCCAAAAGAGTTAGAGAACTCGATTGCTGCGACTGAGTTACAGGACATAAATGAATTCGTAATTCAGGAGACACCCATTCCTAGAACCAAAGAAATGTAAGTGTATAGGAGACGACCTAGAGTGGAGACACAAAATATATCAACTGAGATGAATGATTTACCTGCACTGCAGAAAGAACCAGTAGAAGCAATTAGTCCAAGTATAAGAGACACATCTCAAATTTATAATACTCATCAAGAAGAGGATCATCAGTTCACTGAAGCCATTGATGAGGAGCAACTAGATTGGCCCATTGCTCTATGCAAAGGAAAGAGAAGTTGAATAAATAAATCACTCTATCCTATGGTCAACTAGTTATCATATGATAGGTTAACACCATTGTACAAGACTTTGCTCATGAAGATGAAGACTATTATCATCCCCAAGATAGTAGAAGAGGCCCTGTCACACAAAGAATGGAGTCATGCCATGGATGAAGACATTGATGCACTAGAGAAGAACTGTACATGAGACTTAGTCCCTTTGCCTTCAGGAAAAAAGGTGGTTGGCTGCAAGTGGGTATATGCTCCTAAGTATAAACCTAATGGAACATTGGAAAGATACAAGGCAAGGTTGGTAGCTAAAGGCTATTTACAATCTAATGGAATTGATTATTTTGAGAAATTTGCTCCTGTTGCAAAGTTAAATACCATCCCGATACTTATAGCATCGACAGTAAATTTAGGATGGGAAATGCATCAGCTTGATGTGAAAAATGTATTTCTTCACGAAAATTTGGAGGAAGAAGTATATATGAATGTACCTCTAGGTTACACATTTACCCATCAAAATAATGTTGTTTGTATGTTGAAGAAATCTCTATAGAGTTTAAAACAATCACCCCGAGTCTGGTTTGAGAGATTCACTCAAGCCATGAAAGGATTTGGGTACATAAAAAGCAATGGGGATCACACTCTCTTCATTAAGCATGGTGCCCAAAACAAGGTTACAGCCTTAATTGTGTATGTAGATGATATCATCATAACAGGAGATGATACTGAGGAGACTAAATGCCTTGGCCAAAATCTATCTAGAGGAATTTGATATCAAATCCCTAGGAAGGTTAAAATATTTATTGGGAATTGAGGTTGCATATTCAAAAGAAGGTGTATTTCTTTCACAACACAAGTATATTCTTGATTTACTTCAAGAGACTGGAAAATTGGAGTGTAAACCTGACACTCCACTTGATCCCACCTTAAGTTTGGGAGAAGGTAAAGACTCTAATCAGGTGGATAAAAGCTCATATCAACAGTTGATTGGGAGGTTGAGGTACCTAAATCATACCTGTCCAGATATAAATTTGCAGTGAATGTACTCAGTTAGCATATGAATGATCCAAGGGAGATACACCTACAGGCAACATATCAAGTGTTGGCATATCTAAAGACAATAACAAGGCAGGACATTCTATTCAAAAAAGGAGGGAAACAATCTATTGAAATCTACACCGATGTTGATTATGCAAGGTCTGTTATAGATCGCAGATCAACATCGGGCTATTGTACATTTGATTGTAGAAATCTTGTGACATGGAGAAGCAAAAAGCAACAAGTAGTTGCATGATCTAGTGTTGAAGCAGAATTCAGGGCATTGGCCCAAGAGATATGTGAAGGCTTATGGATTCGCGGTTTGCTTGACGAATTGAGAGTTAACCAGTCAAATCATATGAAATTGTTTTGTGACAACAAGTCAACAATAGCTATTGCTCAAAATCCTATACAACATGACAGGACTAAACATATTGAAGTGGATCGACATTTTATCAAAGAAAAAGTAGAAACAGGAGGTGTAGATCTGATATATGTTGGGACATTAGAACAGGTTGCTGACATATTCACAAAGGGACTCACAAGACCAATATTTCAAAGGATGGTGTCCAAGTTGTATATGGAAAACATCTATACCCAACTTGAGAGGAGGTGTTGAACTCTCTAGGATTGTTTTCCCTTTCTATCTATTTCCTTTCACTGTATTTTCGTCCTTCTATGTCCTTCCCTATGTTAAGTGGATCCATTAAATTGTTAACGGATCCACTTAAAGACTAATATAATGGGCCTGGCCCATTAACTCATGTAGCCTGTACTTAAGCGGGAAACCAAGATAATTGAGATTTTGAGATTGCGGAAATTATGTTCCAAGAAGTGGTGACTGATTCATCTTCCTGGAAGAGGAGGATCGTGAAGATAGAATCCTTCCATTCTCCAAGTTGCAAGAATCTCAATCAAGATCAATTCTCGACAGTAAGTGAACCAGAATATAGTGTTGCAAAAAAATAAAAATCGTTCTGTTACCATCTAAGATAATTTTTTGGAAAGAAAATGAATGCTATGATGGCATGATCACAATATTCACCCAGTTAGCTTTCAGCTAAGTTTTTCCAATAAACATGCCAAGTCCATATGATTTGTATTTCATGAATGACATATAAATCTCAGAAAGTTAAATGAGTCTTACATTCAAAGATAAAGTGAAAAATCAAATCGAACGCCCATTTCTCTAGAGTAATCTAAACACAGATTAAAAGCTATGACTTATTTTTCCCTTTCCTTGACAAACTAATTTCCTTCTTGAGAATCCAACAACTCTTCAAATCATGAAATTTTCAACAGATACACCACATATAAAGATCGATTGCCCTTTTTTTGACAGCTAAACGCACAATTAGTCCACAAAAAATCTACAATGTGAAAGAAAAAAAACTGTCTACAACAAGATGATGGTTAGATCTATAGGATTCAAGATATAACTTCTGCAAGTTGGAGAAGAAAACACAATAATTAGAAAGATATTATACTTCTCTAGATTGCCACTTTGGTTGTCATGGAGTAGGAGGTAGTGTTTCAATATCTTCGAATCCATTGTACCATCCTTTAGAAGAGAGGGCAACTGTTCCATATTGAACAGATCGACAAATCTGCTTATTGGCTGATCATCATTTGTTGAAACAACCAAGAGGCCTGAAGTTGAGGTTAGTTCCAATATTTAAAAAGCATGAAGTAAAGAAAGCAACGTAGCAGAATAATAAAATGGATGGAAGTCTCTAACATCAGGAAAAGGTGAAAAGAAGCAAGCAGCTTACAGGCAACAGGATGGTCAAAAGTTTCATGCTCTGAGAAGGATAGTGTATGTAAAAGCTCCCTATTAAATGTCTGAAACCATGGTGGCACAGATTCAGAATCATGTCCTGCCAAATAAATATTCCTAACCAAGTTAGAAAATGTTTTCCTCATCTACAGCAACTTAAAAACGAAAATACACGCTAATGACGAACAAATGAGACACTGACATCATCATCAGCCAAGTTCTTTTCATAATCGAAGCGTAAAAGTGTGTTGCAGAAACTGTGCCTCCAAAGAAACAACTTTGTGAAAATGTTGTTTTAAGGTTTTTTACAAAATAAAAATGTTTTGAAATTTTGAAAGACAAAAATAACTTTAAAACTACAGTGACCAAAGGAAATTTAGCCATTAGGTGCGATGGTGAACAAAATTAAATTGTAAATTATGGGTGAACTTTAAGAAATTCCATACATCATTTTTTTTTACTTTTAGAAGGATAGTATCACAGAGTCAATTAGTGAAAAAAACAAGAAAAGGGATAAAGGCAGTATGTACACAATCAACTATCAAAGCAGTATACCCCCATGAACGAGAACAGAAACTAAGTCACAAGCTGGTACGTCACTCTTTAAGTTCAAGGCTCTCAAAATGGAAAAGTCACCTGTAAAAAGACACTGCCCAAAAATTCATCTGTAAAGAAACACTAGAAAAAGCTCCGTCCACTGTATTTTTTTTGAACTTCAAGATGCCAACCTTGGCTAAAATGTTTTATTAGATAACAAAGTGGTATCACTGATTCCAGTTGACAATTTGCAAAAAGCATGGTCATTAGGACTGGACTCATAAGACATTCCTCGATAAAGATTTATTCAAACAAGGTAGCATCAGTTACAAGAAAGAAAAAGTATCATAACTTGGACAAGAATACAAATAGAACAAATGATAACTTTCAGACAGTATGGACGAGAGGAACAACCTTGTACGAAAACACAAAAGCATGTTGAAGTCCCAAGGGATACTACTACTAGCTCATTCTACTAAATGAGCTGAACCAATGAGAAAATCATACGTGACTACTAAATTTTAAAAGAAATAACTAATGATGATGTCACAATAACAAATTCACGTCCCATCAAGCCATATATGCTATTTTTGACTATCAGCATAGAGTATTGTTCGCAGCAGTAAAACCTATTGTAAGTCAACAGGGCTCAACCAAGTTTCCTGTCACAACCTATCAGCATAGAGTATGCACATGCCTATCAGCATAGGCATGTGCATGTGACACAACCAAAGTCGGATCTATTCATTTTCAGCAAGCCATCACATCAAAACAAATAGCACTTCATGTAATAGAACCTGATGCAATCTGTCACTCATTATAAATCTTTAAGACAGTGAAAAATTGTTTACTCACAGAACCTTTTTTTTAAAACTTACATGCAATGAGCATTTATAAAACAAAAATCAAAATAAACACTCACTGTGTGCGAAACTGATAGTCAATTCAAGAGGTCATAAAAATAATTCATTGGGCAAACCTATGGATAATTCACGAACCGAAACCTATCATTGAACAAACAAATCCTTTCATACTCCATTACGAGATGTCAAAAAAAATTTCCGTAATGCATCATGAGGCATTGTTTCCAAACATAGAGGACAGAGAGCATGGAACAGAAACCCAATTTCAAAGCATATATTGTGATCCAAATTTTCGAAGCAAGAACCAATGCTGTTAGTTATTTACTTTAAGAAAGGTCTCTGTTAAGGAAGCTTTTGAAGAAGTTTATTGTAAGGTGAATCGGCTGTCCTTTATTCGGATTTTAAAGATAATAAGTTTGGATGACAGATAGTGTGTAGGATTAAATTTCGCATCACTCCACATTCTGATTCAGGGCAGTATTTGGGTGGGAATCAAGAGTTGCAGACTCAAACATTCTCTTGCACACCAATTTCAAAACCAAAGCACGCAGATACGACAAGTAAGATGCATATCCCGTCAAACAAAGGATATTTCAACAAAAACATAAACCTGAAAGCATGATGATAATTCAATGGAAGAAATTAAACTATTGATTCTGATGGCATCAAGGTGAGTTTTTCTGCCAGCGGAAATACCTTCGTAATGCAAACCATCAGTCTGTGATTTAGAGAAAGGTATCTCACTTCTGTCGGTCACAACTTGCTTTAATAAATTTTCTGCAACCTGCTTGGACCATCACTAATCATTATTCACATAACAGTAAAGTACATTACAAAAAAAAAGTAAAAAGAGGTTATTATTGATGATAAATTCGTTGATAAAAGGACAATAGAAAATATGAATAAGAACGACTGGGCAATTGCATTACAAAAAGGGAGAGACAGTATCTAAGAAGACCGGAGAGAATATGAACAGAAGTTATATAACAGGAGAGAAGTAAATGAAAACGAGCCAAAAGTTTCTCTCTCATTCGAGACGTGAGAGAAGGCTCCACTTTCTTTTCGGCATAAACTACCTACACCAACTACAGAGGGCTCATAATCTGCCAATGATAGTGAAAAGTAAACTATATTTAATGGACGTGCTGTTACCTAGGCTGGTCACATATTGCAAGTCTACAGTCAGTCTAATTTCCAGATTAAGATCAACTGTTGCATGTATAAGAACAAAACCAACAGATCTTTCTAACTTGTATGGAGAATATCTTCACTAACATTGCGAAAATGCAACAAACCAGGAACCATGTAGAGAGAGATTTGATGGTGTAGGTGTAACCACTGAGGAATCTGGCTCTATGACTGCATATGTATCCAGATCTACATGTGACATACTTCCCCTCGTCTACCTTAGCTTGTAGACATTGGACGAATACCCTCTCCTTAATTTTGAAACATTCACTTGGCAACAGAAGGCAAAATATTATTCAGGCAAGTCAACTTTTTAAACGTGACAAAAGAGGACCACTGCTGTTATTTTCCGTCCACAAGTAGGCATTTTTCATTGTAGCCTTGTAGAGAAAAAAGCCTCGCTCCTTGTCCACATTAGCAAGAAAGACATTGCCATCTTTGGCAGCCTTCACAGGGATTTAAGAACCTGAATATAGGTATTTTCTCCATTTAACTCAAACAACACTGAGTTATAAAAGAAGATCCTGTTTATCACAAGTTTTCAAATAAGAAATACATGAAATAATAACCATGATAATGATACATGTACCACTTCTGCCTTTATTGAGACTGAATTTTAGCTGAGCTTCCCAGGTTCCTTTTGAATAATTTTCTCCACTTCCTCTCACTGTGGACATTAAGTTAGATCAGCCCTCACAAACTGAGGGAAGAGATGCCCGAAGGGTAGCTTGATCATGGTAGTCTTTAGGAATCTATCCCCTGACGTGATCAACAGTCTAATAAGACAAACTACATATCAGAATTTCTATGATATCTTATTTTTAAGGAAGTGATTCGATTTCATCAGTATAATAATAATTTAGGAACTTCAAGAGCTGCTTGAAATGGCCCTAAACAACTAAATTCTATATTCACATTGATCAGATTATTTAGTTCAAAATTTTCTGACATAATTTTATAAAAATTTAAATAAAAATAATCAAATCCTATGTATTCTTTTGTTTATCTGATGCCAATTTTGAGTTTGCTTTAATTTATATAAATTAAAATTTTCCAAATTGAAAATATTTAAAACATAATTTATCTGTGATGGAATATTTTCCTTAAAATAACCAGTATAAATCCTTCTTACACGGGTAACACCACCAAATAGTAGATCCTTGCATTTTTCAAAAGAGGCTTTATGACATGAATCTTTCTGGGTAGAGAATTCAAATTTTGGATCTTTTTAATACGGAAAATGCACCCAATATTAGTTCTTGCATTTTCTGAATGGCCTTTCGTAGCATGTAAATTTTACTTGGCGGTTGATATGTTAGTCAAAATTGCGGAAACGATCAATGGCATATTACCATTCCACAGAAGTTCACACTGAACCACCTTTCGGACTTCCCCATTGCATAATTTCATTCCTGGGAAGGTGAAATTGTGTATAGCTAGTGAACATCACAATTTTACTGATTTCAATCGTTGCAAATGTTTGCATCAGACGAACCAAGGAAAAGGAAAAGATTTATCACTAAAAGAACAGAAAAAGGTCATTAAGAGTAAAGTAAACAAGTGCAAATCAAAGCAATGTATGACAGTAATCAGCAGGGATACGCATTCTGCGTCAAGTATTTTGAATCAATCCGTGAGAGTAATTCGTGCGTGAAATCGTGTTACCGAATATCCAGCTTTGAGAAAGGAATATGAGGCCATAAATCATAGAGAACAGAGATCTGTAGCCAGATCATTCTCTCATTTTCTTTCACATATTACTCCAAATTGAACATAAACATTTATACAGCCAGTGGAAACAGATGGAGAGAGAGAGGCTCGAGGAAAGAACATGGAGCTGAATGGATGCAGAGATCGGGTTTCCGGCGCACCTCAGAACTATGTTTGCGCACGTCGGAAGCATAAAATACCCGTAGAATGAACTCCTGCAGTCTGTAGGGCTGGTCGCTGGCCGTGCGCACGGGTACTGAAAGGAAATTGAAATCGCCGAAGAAGATTAGACGTTTTGGACGGCGAAGATGATAGACGTGTCGATGAAGATCCATAATTTATTTCAAGCTGGACGGCAACACACCGTCAATGTTCTCAAAGAAACAGAAGGGGCGGAGCATCTGCACGAAGTCCAACCCGTTCTTGCGACAGGCTTGCTCAGCGAGCGGGGTGGAGAGTACCATGACCACAGGCGCGATCTCCTCCACCAGGATCCGCCCGAGCGGAGAATCAGCAGCGGAGGCCATCATCGCATGATCCATTATTCTCCGTCGGCCCCCCCCTCCCCCCCTGCGAGGTGACGTTCCCGCAGAGGACGCAGCGGAAGGCGGGCCTCACAAAGGGAGCACACTGTCGGACGTCTTGCGATGGCCGCCGAGCTCTCGCAGAAGCACAGTCATTCCGGGCGGAGCTGGATCCGATGGGGCGTCCCTGACGATGACCTCGAGCGAAGATCGTCTGGGACTCCTCCCATCTCCTCGGAGCTGACGATTGATGGGAGAACACCGAACGTAAAAAGCCTCGAAAGGAAACGATCTCCGCGCATGTAAACGCCGTTTCGACCTTTTTATCAATCCCAGCCTCACTCTCTCTCCTCCCCCTCCCATGAGACGGCGGCAGCACGTGACCTTTGTCTCTAACAGTCGACATCTTAGGCTCTATAAATAGATCTTTGGAAGAGCTTTCAGATCATCTCATCTCATCCCACCTTTCTTTCAACCCACTAGAAAAAATCCTCTTTGCAAACTAGGGAAGCTAATCTTTCAGCATCTTCAGTTCTCAGGACTTTACTTCTTACATAAATCTACTATATATGGAGTGCTTTTTAATGAGGGTTGAGATACAAGCTAGTGTCTTGATATGTAACATGCATAGGTAAGCTCATCCATTTAATATCACTAATGATTTTTATGCAATGCCTCTTAATGATTTTCATCCATTGGTAAGACGAGGAAAGAGAGGTAAACTAGTACTTGGGTATCTAGCACAGTGAAATAAACCCATAAAGCTATCATGTCTAGTATTTTGAGATTGAGTGAAGATAGGGTAGGAACCTTTGGTAAGTGGAAATAGGGCAGAAAAGGTTGACCAATCATAAGTGTTGGTGTGTCAACTCAGCTGAGTCAATATAATGTGTCAACTTAATGGGTTGACCGAAATTAACATGTCAGCCAGAGCTTGTTTGTGACAACCCAAGTCTATGTTGACCCCAGATAATTTAGCTTGGCCCACCAAGTCTAGAACTAGGATAAGCAACCTAAAAATTAAAAAAAAGTGAAAAGGATGTGAACAACATATATATACTCATCTTAATATTCTATCTGCCCACCTAGGGACCAGCAAAACCTTAATTATTAATGAGAGGAGCCATGATTTTAATTGGTTATGTTGAGAGCATAACCAATAATATGATTTTGCCATAATAAAATATCAAAGGTCATAATGTAATCAAATAATGTTAGTGTTATTAGCTACCATCTTGACTTACTAAGAAATCCACAATGAAGGAACATTAAAGGGATCTTTTAAGATATGAAATGCTGTCCAAGAGGAGGTTGATTGCAATCAAGTGATATGTTATTGTCCTTCAAAACACATTACTAGATAGATATAGTAATATCGGTTGATGAGTAACTTAATAGTGGTTTTGATATTAGCTGGATAGTAATAGATAAAATAGTAATTTTACTTGTGCCCATCATCTCTAAGACATTAAAGATGAGACTTTTCTACTTTAAACATTCTCAAAATTATACAGAAAAATGAATTTAAATAACTATTACTTGAAGATGTTATTTAGAATCTCTAGACGTTTTATTACTCAATCACGTGGTCATGCTCCACAAGAGGAGTTCACCTACCTCATGCAAAGAAATTTATGAAAATATAAAACAGAAAAATAATATATTTAGCTAAAAATATAGTCTTAGACCATTTCTTGCTTTGAAAGAGTTAAATATTTACCATTATAAAAGAGATAAGTCTAAATTAAAACCAAAGAAGTCTACAAGAAAATAGATATTTGACTTGGGAAAAAAAGATTCAAGAGGGTACACAAAAAGGGCAACATTTCTAAATCAACAGTTCTTATTGTTGAGTCCAAGAGAACCAAATAAGGAACTTAGAGATGTGGTGCAACGTTCTCTTTGAGCTGTTGTAGAAACTATAAAAAATATAATTACATCAAGGAAATCTTTGAAGTAAGAAACAATATACCAAATGTTATACTCAATTAAATTAAAATAAAGTAAATAGTATTTTATTATGAAAGTATATTTAAGATGGTTCGTTGATAAGTCTAAGTTGAAGCTAGACGACTTTCCTTTAAATAAACATGTAGGTGTCAAGTTCCATCAAGCTAGTGCCCGTTTCTATAATTTAGGCATCTGAACATGACTTTAGACTCAATGTTGGAAAGCCAGGGCTCCCATGTTTTGGATGCTGTAAAAATGTGGGTTTCTTAACCTTCACTTGGGATTGTACAAAATGGGCAGAAGCAGTAAGCATGGAAGCATTTATGGGAGCACCAAACTCAACAACTATGGCTTTTATGAGGTCCATGTACATGAGCATTGTGCAACAATAGGTTTCAGACAATATGATTAGATGATGAAAATAACCATGGAGAGAAAGTTGCCATTTGATACAGCAGTCTCCTATTGTATTATAATCTAATGGTGTTGAGGGCGTTGAAACACCAACTCCACACTTCAGGCTGCCTGGGAGTTCTAAGTGGTGCCTTCCTCTAATAGCATAACACTAGAGTGCTGGGGGGTTTAGGGACTCTCTCTCTCTCTCTCTCTCTCTCTCTCTCTCTCATCCAAAGACAGATCCTGAGGAAAAATGAGATGATCTTCAGTTGTGTACAACAGCATTCATAAGTATAGAATCTGCTGCTAATGAACAAATTTGCATTAAAAAAAGGTCGCGCCATGACATATTTTGCTCACATCACTCATGAGAGAAGAGGACTCTGATGACTATGGCTGACCCAACACATTATAAAATCGCTCGCAGGACCTTTGTAATTGGCATCATCGTCACTGACAACAGCTTCACATCTCAGAGAATCTCAGACAGCTGCTGGACAACATCTGCAATTCAAGTAAATCAGTAGTTATCACACTTTTTTTTTTCTATAAGGAGGCTGCCGCAGTACAGAGAATGCATCACCATACACCATACCTTGAAGAATGGAGGGCGTGGTCTGAAACTCATGCCAGATACCTTGGTAGTAAGCGAGGTCCAAATTGAGGAACTGGGCGGCTAGGAATGCAGCCCCTGCAGCTATATGATGAGGCTTGAATTGGAGCCAAAGTGAGCTTCTTAATCTGAAAAATAATACAGAGTTTGAATGCTGAATGATAGACTCCGCTACACTCTAATTCATTAACCAAGAATGCTCATGAGAAATCGTAAATAAACCATCCATCAGAAGGCAGAACGTATCATAGTGCCAAAACATTACCATTGGGAACTTATAGGCTGGGAGAGAAAAATTACACAGAGATACAGAAAAGCAAACAAGCCACTGAGTGTTTCTTTCCTTACCAACTAGCAAATAAGATGCCCAGTGGAATATAAATCTTTCTGCCTCAAGTGCTGACAAGGAGAGAAAACTAGAAGTAGGCTGAGCTCTTTGGATTGCATCTGATTATTTAGTCATCTTCAGGACCCATCATGCTTGGTGCACATTGAAATCCAGAAAATAAAGTACAAAGCGAAACAGTAGAGATACAGACCGTCATATGTCAAGTAGACGCGATAGGAACCCTCCAAAATCATACCTATGACTGGTCCTCAGTCCAGCTATTGACTCTTTAAGGAAATATCAACACAGGCAAGCATCATAAAGATGTCAAGCAAATTGGCAATCAAGATCCAAAGACTCAAAGAGTCCTCTTCTGAATAGGGGAAGTTCTCAGCGTCCACATTTAAATCAGCAATGCTGTGACCCCATACTTCATCATAGAGGTTGTTTATCAGCCGAAGGCCAATTATGTCCATTAAAATGTATAATCAACACGTGTGGGGTGATCTAGGTTTGTTGAATGCCGCTAATCTGACGCAAGTCAGAGAACAAAGAAAATTTCGGAAAGGCCAGGAATCCTTTGCCATCGACGACCTTTTTGAAGATGAGGAATCTCCAGTGACGTTGTGACGTAAACACCCCCACCCAAAAAAAAAAAAAAAAAAAGGGCATTTGCGAGAGATGCCTGGATGCTCATTACAGCCAATCCCCTTAAGCAATTCATGGGCATTGAAAAAAGGGGACCCAGGTCAACAACTCCAAAGAAGATGGCCTCTCTTTACCATCCTCATGCTGCAAATAAATACAAACATCTTGAGGTAATATAGGTGTGACACCGTGACCACACATTTACAATAATTCAAGTATATTGAGACATCTCTATCACCCACTTGTCTGAACTTTCCCGGGATTCATTCCACATTCAAGTAGATGGTGGACGGAGTTAAAAAAAAAAAATGGAAAGACAAAGTGCATAGATGCACGAAATAAAAGGTATATGAAGTGAAACGAACGATGAAGAGATTTCTTTTTTAAAAAAATTTAGGTGAGAAATGAGTAAAAAGGTAGTACTGAAAAAAGTTAACCATTTTTGGAGAGTAATCAGTATATGAAGCCAAGTCCGAGGAAATCAATTTGGTATCAATAAATGGTAATGTCCCTTTCTTTTCTTTTTCCTTTTTCTTTCGGGGGAGGTGGGGAGGTGGAGATTGATCTATTTCCTTGGAGCAAAGGCAGATGTGGATGAGACACTACCAGACATGTCGTGGATAGTTAATAGTTGATTCAAGATTAAAAACACTAAATTATTTCTTACTGATTGGTAATATATGTTACTCATGGTGAACGGATATTTGCTTGATTCTGCCAATAATAGTTGAAATCACAGAAAGCCATAAAGATTTGATCTTGATCAAATAATCAACAGCAAAAACAGGTAAAACCATTGTTGGGGAATAATAAGAAATGTAGGACACAAAACCGGGAAATTAAAAGGAAAATAAAAAAGGGTTTGATAAAAATAGTTCACATTGAAGGAAAAAGTGTGAAACAGGTAAACTTAGGAAAAAAAAATTAAAAATGATAAAAAGAAAAAATCAAAATTACTTATGCATACACAAATAGACTACCAAGAAGGCAGTACTAGATGGTATCGGAAAAAACTAGTTAGCGATCTTGACTCCCAAATCTCATTAAAATGTATCAAAATAAACCACTTGCAACTTCAGCAATAAAACAATGCTTTCCATGAACAGCATTATCTATCCTCCAGCTAAGAATATCACATAGGAGAGCACAAGATTCTCGTGAAGATCCTGCAATTTATCCCAACCAAAAATATCAATATCCCGTGAAGAAACAATTCTCTAGAGAAGAAATAACACAAAATTTGACACAGGAAGATCATACTCAAACCCGTTTATCAGCGGCAGATATGGAGAGATGAAATGGGAATTGATGAACCACTGGAAACTTATGAAAAAGGCTGTCAATTTAAAATCTAAAAACTTGCGCTTGTACAAATGAACGGCCATGAATCACAATCAAATTTGGTGTCGATCGTAGAGTCATATACTTGGGCCAGCTCCAACTAATCATACATGGGCCATTTAAATATCAACTAGAATCCATAATTTGGAGAAAGTTCATACTGAATGCCTTTCTGTCCAGGGTCTTTCCTTTGATAAAATGAAGACCTCAAAATATGTTACCAAGCTGAACAAAAATCTTCCCAAAAAAATCACGATAAAGAAAAGAACGGGCATCTCTATAATATCAGTTATGTAAGCATCACTGAAACCAAGATGCTCACCCTTCATTTATTAAGTTCAAAGCCAAATTCAGCAGAACCGATTGGGAAAGCCCTAATTTGTGGAGGACAGATTTAAGAGGCGTATAAGGATGTTGGACATCAAGTTCAAAGTTTAAGGTTGTCAGTATCATGTGCTCTGCACCAATGACAGACTCTCGATATTGTTCAAACCAGTCCTGCCAAAACAAACAAAAGAAAGCAGATCAAAATCCATAAAATTTCTGCTCATATTTATTTTCAATGCAATAGATACTTTAGAAAATAATTTGATGACGTGAGTTAATTAGCAAAAGAAGTCTGGAGAGTGAACTTATTTACATGAAACTACTCTCCTCACATCTCTCTACCAACTAAGCCAAGGCCAAGACCTTAAGGAAAAGGGATAATTAGAAAAATAATGTTTTTGGACACTCTAAAATTCCCGTGATCCATTAAAAATGACACATTAAAACAATGGCCTACACAAAGGCTCAGACCATTCAGTGGCACATTTTGCACAATGAATGATATTTGTGGAAAAAATGAGCACATCAACATTTGCATCAGACTAGAAATTTCGCATCACAACTAACATTCTATCTACAAACAGTTATTAAGTGATGAATGGATAGTGTATTCACAAGGGTGCCTGTCTGTATTTTAATCTGTTACATTTACACAGTGTTCAGGCGCACAAACTATTTTTATAAAAAGTGATTTTCACAAGCATTATATGCTATGGAAAGTAGTGAAGAACTTTAATCAGCCATTATGCCAAAAATGAATCCCCATTTTGCCTAAAAGAATAAGTCCATTTTGGCTAAACAAGCTTAAAAAAAAAATGAATAAAAGTGACTCCAAAGGCATACTCACAATAGGGAGTAAACATTGAAAAACAGCAGGATTATGTTTTTCACATATTTCCCAGGATACCCTGAGTACAGTGTTTAAAGGGCATGGTGTCTCCTCCGACTTTGCTGCAAGGAATAGAGCTGCTGTTGCAATCAACTGCAGATTGAACTAAATTAGTAGTCGAAAATAATTTAATTCTAAATTGGAATGCTATGCAGATAACATGTCAAAAAAATATCCACAAACAGGCACTTGACATTAAAAACAACGCATGCCTTTACAAAATAAGAGACATTAACTTTTATAAAACCATAGAGATAAAAGAATTAAAAGAAATCATACTTAACATAAGCCAATTATTTCAGGTTTTTGAAATCCAGAAAAACTTAAAGATACATATATTTTAATAGAAAGGGGCAAGAATCTGAAAAACATGTCCTAAAATAATGTTTTAATACTTTTTCCGACACTAGATAACTTCACTGAATGACAAACGACAGCAGATTTGAAGGCAATAAAAAAAACACTTAATCAACTCAGGATCCAAGTTTTTCGTTCATTCTGGTTTAAGCCACTCCCTGAGAGTGGATAATTTCACATTTCGTTAAATATTAAAAAGAGTATTCAGGTTATGACTGATGAAAATTTTGTAATATTTTCACAGTCAAGACCAAGGAGATTAGATTGCCTCCTAAAATCAAGTAATTAAGACCTTCATCATTACAAACCGAAAGTCACCCTCACAATTCAGAGCATAAGCTACATCTCTAAGGAAAATGAATACTCTTCGTCCTAATCATCCGAAGAGTAACATGAATGATAAGACATGACACTGTCATGAAGTACGGCTAGTTTACTTAGAATCATAAGCTACATCTCTAAGGAAAATGTATATCTAAATGAAAAGCAATCTAGCCGACCCTCCCTCCAACCTATGAAATCCTCTTCTATATTCACCTTCAAATGACGGCCACAAACAGTGGCCGAGCACATACAATTTTCCCACAAGCACTGCTTGATGAAAGGAATTTTTGTGTCCCAAGTCTTTTCAGCAACCACATCTCAATGAAACTAACGAAATGTCATGTTGAGGCTAGATTAACATTTGCAGGTAAAAATTGTGGTATTTAAAATTGCACACCAGCTACACAGAACTGAGGTTGGGGAAGTCAGAATGGAAGGGGGGAGGGGGGTGTTGGTTTCATCCCCCACGGATGCTGACAATGTTGATAGATCGTTTTTGGAAGGATCACAGCAGCATCAGGGGTGACGCAGGAGAGGAGAACAAAAAAGATATGTCATGCAGAGTTGGGAGCTGGAAAGATTCTCAGACAACAGTAGTATCTGATCTTTCTACCCTACTTTGGAATTTGGGGCCTCTATTCTGGTCCAGCTCGACACTGGGTACATGTCAACCTTCCCAACGATCTGCAAGGTGACATCAAGGTCCTGCCCTTTTTAACTGTGCAGAAATCTTGGGATCTCCAGAATTTATTTAAGAGTGACAGGCTGAAAGGCAAGGTGCGGTCGGTGAAGACTACAGTTTCTTCAGCTAGACATGGTTCTGGAATTCGGTGCCAATGCTCATGTGCCTGTCCGAGCAAAGAATCATCATCACCAATGCTCACCGCCATTGCCAGCAAGTAACTGATGGGAGCTGGGCCGACAAAAGCCCGATGCCTTATTCCCAATGATTGCCCTGCTCCCAAATATCTCTCGAGAATATGACAGAAACTTATAATATCACCAAAGCAGAAATCTCTTGTGTTCTTCAGCATATCACGAGATGTTGGAGCAGTGCTCTGCCTATGAAACCTTGCAGAAATACATTATTGTGATGTAAATATTTACAAGCAATCGTAAAACCGTAATAATAGGTTAATAATATCCATTTAAACTGCACAAAAATTAGAAAAGGACAGAGAGTTAAGACTGCAATTCGACGACTAAGAAATTCAAAGTATGAAGAGAATAAAAATAAAAAGGAAGGAAGATAAGAAATAAGGACTCGGAACTCACAAATCTGTCGTGACAAGCATGAGATCTGCGAACAAAAAAACGGTGGCAGAGCACCATTGCAGTTCCAATCGTCGTTTGAGGCCTGTACAATCAAGAAAAGCAGAAGCCACAGCTACCCAATTAGGTACTTAAATACGATAAACAGATGGACAACTTTCAGATTGAGATGGAGAAAATAAAAACGCGGCCAACTTAAAGATAGAGATGAACAAAATAAATATACGGCAAACTTAGAGATAGAGATAAAGAAAATAAACATACGGCCAACTTAAAGATAGAGATAGAGAAAATAAATAGACGGGCAACGTACAGATTGAGATAAAGAAAGTAAACAGACGGACAATGTACAGATTGAGATAACGAGAGTACACAGAAGGGCAACTTACAGATTGAGTTGGATGCCTAAGTTCTGGAGGAATGCACAGTATGAGTAGCGGAGATGCGTCTCTCGCAGATGATTGATACCATCCTTCCTAGAAGGAGAGCAATGTTCAAGCTCGTCCCTCGACATAAATACCACAGTGTCCTCCAAATTCGCCTGACTTCTTGTGGAAGGCGCATCGAGATCCGTGTTGAAGAATCGGCAATCTGGGTCGCGTTTGGCAGCTACCCAACCTGCCGTAGTCACATGCAGAAAGGAACTATTGCTGGTAGAAGGGCCATCGCTGCAGTGGCGGACGGCGGCGCCAGGGTTCCAGTGCTGACTGCCACCGTCGAAGTCTTTCTCCCACATGGGCTTCCTCCTCAGCAAAGCAGGTGCCAGAGAGACGCTTTCGCCACCGGCAAAACGGCCCTGCCGATAACTGACGGCGGATAGGTCTTGCGCACAAGAATAGACAGAGCAGCTGCCATCCCCGGGATGTATGCTGCCGTCGTTTATCCAACTCTTAGAGCAATTGGATCTGAAGCCCCACAAACTCCCGCCACCACCGACACCCCCCTGCCGGCGCCGCTGCGTGTGCATAGAATGCACCCGCGATGACATGTTCGAATCCCGCGGGGCACCAATTCCAAGGTTTCCAGAGCCCACACTTTTCCTTCCCCAGACAGAGAGAGAGAGAGCGAGCGAGAGATTTCCTCCTAGGGGAAAACTGGTGACAGCTTATCAGAGAAGGGAGAGCGCCAACACGTCCACGGATCGGATCAAGAAATCCCCTCCCGCTGGGGTTGGGATGATGGAGCGGGGATTCCGTCAATTGCCTCCTTGGGAGGAACAGGGAAGGAAGCCCCAAGGATGAGAGCCAAGCGAAGCCGTGTCGGAGATGGAAGAAGATGACTTAATTTATGCGGGCAAGGTAGGCAGGCCGGCCTTTTACCCCAACTCCGCCTCGAAGGAGAAAAAAAAATATCATCTTGAAACCGCTTTGTTCCCTCAACTCTCTCTCTCTCTCTCTCTCTCTCTCTCTCTTCTTCGCAATCTCTCTCCGGCGGCTTGATCAGCGCCTTGTGTATACACGCCTACCTCACAAGTCAGGTCCAATTGGATGCTAGGTGGGATGGGGCCCAGAGATGGGCCCATATCCTGTGCTTTCCTCGCCGGCCTCGTCGGTTACTTATAATCAATCCCACGTGGAGTGGAATCTCTCCTAACTAGTTCTGTTGACGTCAAGAGTCAACACCGGAGACAGATTTTTTTTCGTCGGCCTCATAAATTACTGCAGTCTGGTTTCCTGACAAAGGGCGTTGACCAGGATACCCTCATAGTTCAAGCCATGCCAACTCCAGGTCATGTGGTTGACAAATGAGCCAGGCATGGGTTGATAACTACTTGCTTTCAGGCCTTTTAATCCTCGGCCCCACTTCTAATAACATGCTGCACCAGTTAGGGTGGGCCTTATCTTTCCATCCTACTTAATTTTTTAAAGAGAACTTCTAAATTAGACTTGAGAATCCATTGATATGCCATAAATATTTTTTTCTATAATTTAATATTTTTAATTCTGTCAATTCCCAAATCATATAAATCTTCTAAGTTATAATCTACTAATCAAACACCATGATGGCATGCGAGATATGACTAACATAATTCATTCAAAAAGGAGTTAAAAAGCATCATGTTACCTCAAAATAGAAAGTTTAGTATTCTTACAATCCATAAAGTTGGTAGACTAGCCCTTGAATTGAGGCAAGAAATGTTACTACCATCTTTGGGTCCAATTGATCATGGTATCTAACTAGTTAGTTGATTGGATTGAAGTATTAACAATTAATTAAACATTTGAATAGCTAGAAACCGTAAAATATTATCTTTAAAGGTTTGAACATCCTCTAAGAAAAACCATGATTATTACATTACATATGTATCCAAAGTTTATCAGTTCAATGAAGTTATAATCATCTATTATCATCGAATAAAATGAATAATATACCAAAAGAAAACAATATTTTTTCAGCCATAGCTTATTCAAATCTCCTCAAAGAAATCATGAATGTCAAATAGACTCATGAAACTATAATGCAAATATGTAACATCATAACGTCAATGTCATATGATAATTTAAAATTATTTTCAAATAAAAATTAATTATATTCAATATATAATGAGTTGTGGTATGATGATTTCAATTCATCAATAAATTCAATATCAAGAATGATTAACAATAGTCTTTTAGTATCATAAATATCTCGTATATTGATTAGTTTTTACACCCATATTTTACTTCAAGAATGATAGACAATAGTCTTTGTTTGTAGGTTAAGTAGCACTTACTCAATGATCCAAACTGTTAGAAATATTTTTCAGTTCAAGATCTTGGATGTTCAGACTACAGTCCAATGTCTTATCATCCATAGGAACCAAGAATCAAATCATCAATCATTTACAAATAAGATATTTGACCAAAAGAAAGTAAAAAGGTCAATTGACATAGTCATTTGGGTGGCAAGAGAATAACATCAATAAGTAATTAAAACACTTCAAAAAAAAAGTAAAATCTTACACAAATGGTATTTTGAGATTTGTAAATGAGTTAGATATTAAATTAAAAGTAACATGACTATGAAATGAGAAAGTACATACATGAAATCGAAAGAAAAATACAGATTATGTGCTTTAAATGATCATATCCCATCATATGACTATCACTCATATGGGGGCATTTATCATGCAACAAAAAAATGAAAGAAAGTATCAAACTTGTTGAGAAGTCGAACAAACAAGTTAGAACTCTCTCTTCTCCTATCTGTCACCTAGAAGGTCTTGAGAGCATAAAAGAAAGCTGATTTAATAAAAACCTACATATCAAAAGGCAGGAAATGTGACATCTTTCAATCCTTGGTTGTCACCCAAAGCCTTCAGGAATCATGATTAAATTTCCTAGCTAAAACATACAACAAACTAAAAGAGAAAGGAAGATTCCCATGACAAAACTCTAAGTTGATAAAGTAAAGATTAAGGGTGATTAATCTCTCCCTCCTCTCCTCTATTCATAAAATGTTTGGGGATATATAGGCCCCAATTGGTACAAATATTTAAGTAGAATTCAACAAAAAGATTGTTTTGGTGTGCAAAGGTAGTGTAATATATTTTCTCTAATAGGATTTTAACCCTGCCTTAAACACAATGGTTAATACTTTGATCAAGCTTTGAGAAGTTTCATGAGATATCTTGGTGTTTGTTTTCCTTAAATGTTGCTAATTAGGATGATAAAAAATTCAATTTATAAAACTGATTTTATAACAAGACAAAAAGTTCAAAGACTTAATTATTGAGGAAAGTCAAGTTGATCAACGGGGAATTATCTGACTTAGGATGAATCTAATGATTAATTTTATTGATTTACTTTAAGGAAAAAGTAGGTGAGAAGATAAGAAGAGAGTTGACTCGGGCAAACTAAGAGAGAGAGAGAGAGAGAACTCTCTCTTGATGATCTTTTAATCACCAAAAGAGGGGAAATAAATTAGAAAAGAAATGGTGGCAAAGTGTTATAGTGGATTGAATATAGATAAAATTTAAATCTCTACTCTACTCTTACTCTCTCCTAATCTCACCCCTCTTCTCTACCTTAAGGTTTCAAAGGATCAAAAGATGATTAAGGGATAACATAAAGACCTAACAGCCACTTCAAATATAGCATGCTCCTAGATCAATTGTGTGTCCCTCACAAGATCAATAAGAAGTTAAACCTTATTTACTCTTCTTCTAAGTCTAGTCTACCTCTTATTTGCTCTACTTTCAATTGTGGTCAAGCTTGATGGCTCAAGGGTTCAACCAAGACTGAAAGAAGACAAAGTGAAGGTGGAAATGATGATATCTCCTTCTAGGTCAACCTATTATCCTCCTAGGGATCAAAACGAGAAGGCGATCCTATTATTACTCCCTAGAATCACTCGGTCTTGCTATGAGCTTCCACAAGAGTAGACAATATCATAAAATAAAATTTTATTCATCAAAATAAAATGTAATGCATAATGAAGGAATCAAATACATGAAAGATGCCTTCTATATGTCATTTGGAGTACTCCAACTGATCCCTCCTTGGAATTCTTGGATTGACTCAATGTTAAAGTTTTTTGAGATCTCTTCTTCTGCTTCTTAGGCTCACCTCTTCAATGCACAAAATGCCCTTTCTTTCTCCTTCTTTGAGACTTTATACAACTCCTCTAAGCTTAAATCTCAACCCTTAGATCCTCTTCAAGCATGAACAACTGAAGGATCTCCCACCCACACCTTGGAAGACCAAGAGGTAAGAAAGAGAAGGAGAGAGAATTAGGCAATTATCACCAGAAGTATATCAAATTCAATAATAGAGCATAAAACATACATGAAAATAACACACATATATTAATATATACATGCAATGTAATGCTAGTTGATTAGTGGTTGCCCTCTATTTTTATCCTTAAAAGTTTGGTATGAATTGAATTTCAAAACTCTTTCTTAAACACTTATATACTTGGCTATTAATATCAATGGTTGTAGGGGCAAATGTGAAAAGAAGAAATAGATGGACATATTAAGAAAAGGAGGGTGCAACATTTGAGGGACATCTTGATTTCCTTCCCCTTTCAACCCTAGGTGCAGTTCCTATGTCGAGCTGGTCATCTTGTCCTTCTCCCTTTTTGGTAATTTTTGCAACCTCAACATACCTCTTTCATCCCCCCCCCCCCCCTCTCATCGATGAGTGACAATGTTGGTGGCTTCAAGTTGAAAGTCACTAGAGGTCTTTGCACATGAAGCCTTGGAGCAGCCAAGTTGTGAAGATCACCCTTGCCTAGTGAAGCAAACCAAGGTCAGTCAAGCTCTTCACCTATGTGTGGTGTCGTCCCTCCACACAAATGTCATATTAAGAGGGAGTAGTTAGAAGTTTATTTTTGTTTTAATTCTACTTATTGCACTATAAGAGAACTTTGATTTCAATTCAATGTAATTTTTGCTTTCTTGATCTCTATGCCTCTTTTAGTTCAGTGAGTTGATTCTATCAATTTCTTGAAGGATCTAAGGAATCCCACCACTAGACATCTATGACCAATTCACGTAGACTGATGAAACTTTGAGAGTGTTTTTCCTTTCAACAGACTAGGATTTATGGATAATTTGCCTAATTTAATATGTGGATTATGTTAATAACAACGATCATCAAGAGACAACAATCAACATTGGCTTAATTCATCCCCCTTGACGAAGTATATAGTGAGCATTACTAATAGAATTAACAAAACACAGGTGTGGATGCTGTGATTTGAAATCCTCCTTGAGTTCAACCTAATTTTCCACTAACTTTCCATCAAAACTAAACTCCAAAAATCAATTTATAAATGTAACAACAATTTTTGGTGATCTTAATAACAACAATTTTAGATCGATCAATTTTGGTGCCATTTCTAGGGAGGATTTTTTTCTTAAATTGGCAATTTACATCTATGAATCTTAATTTCAGAATTTAAATTGAGTTGACTTTTATTGTTCTTTCTTAGTCATTCAAATAATAATAATAGAAAAATTAATAATAATATCAAACTATGCACAGTATAGTATTTCATTTAATTTATATACTTGTTAATTTTGTTAATTCTTGTTTACTCTATGATTTAAATTTTTAAAAGACCAAAAATATTTTCCTTGTACTATTTTTGAATTTTATTTCATGTAAGGTATTTTTGGTCCATTTATATTTATTTTTTTGCTTTATTTTTCAATTTATTTTAGCACAACATTGAATTCTTACTTTCAGCTGCATTTTTACCATTTTAAAAAATAGAATGTAGCAAGTGAATTTTTGCTTGAATTTTTATTTAACGTGCTGTCCTTCTTTATTATTTTCATATAAATCATATACCATATTGATCATAGAAAACTATGGATGGGAGGAAAAGTAAAAAACGTGTAATTGGAGTGACTGGGGGGATAGAGGTCAAAGTTCTAGGGAAGAATCAAAACCCAAGCCCTGCCCAACTAATATGGTAAGCTTAGAGATATCCCAAAATATAGATAATCCACTTCCGTATAAGCCCATGTATGACCATTACACACCAAATTTCTATCACCCATCATCACAAATTAGAATACCATTAGCACGTGATGTGTAGTTTAATATCAAGCATGGCATGATTTAGGTGCTTCCCACATTTCATTGCTTATCAAATAAAGAGCTGCATGAGCACATAGAATCTTTTTCTTATGATCTGGTGCATTTTTCTAATATCCCACAGGAGGCTCTTCGAATGAAGTTGTTTCCTTTTTCCTTACATGACAAAGCTTCAGATTGACTGATCTCATTAAATCAGGAGTTGACCTCTTTGCAGGAAATCAAACAAGTCTTTTTGAGTAAGTTTTATCCTGTAGGTAAAACACATGCCATGAGGAAACTAATTTTGAATTTTTCGTAGAAATCACGAGAGACCTTCCATGAAGCATGAAAAAGGTTTAAGGACTTGTTGAAGAAATGTCCACATCATGGCTGATAAGTCTTCATTATCATGAGTTAATAATTAGTAAATAATATAGTTTTAGCCTTAACTCATGATAAATAGACTTATATTTGTGTTAAAGTGTGAAAAGTGGTTTTTAGTTGATTAATGTGAATTTTTGGGTAATTATGTGATTTTACACGATTTTATATGATTTTTATAGTCTTGCTTTTGTAATAAATGAAGAAAAAGAAATAAAAAAATAAAAATAAGACAAAACGAGGGGGACCCGCTGGCCAGCCAGGCCCGTAAGCGGGTCGGAAGCTCAGCCGGGGAGTAGCGGGGGAGTAGCCGCAAGCAGGGGCTCGAGCGGCTTGAACTGATAGGGGGACATGTGCGCCACTCCCCTTCCACGTCACCGGTGGCCAGCCGGCTGTGGGGCAAGGAGTGGTCGTACACGCGAGAGAAGGGACTTTGCTTAGAAATCTAACATTACTATATATTCGCCCGAAAAATCGGCGCACAACCGATGTGGGACTAAACCCGCGTCACACCTTCCTTAAAAGAGGCGGGCGACTGGCACAGGTTCGAGTCCTTTCAGAGTCAAAAGTCATATATTTTTATCTGATTATCGTGACTTTCCTGCAGATTGCCGGTGAAGGATTAAACAACAAGAATTGTTGGATCATCGACAAAAATCTTGTCAACGCGATTCGTGGAGCATTGCTACTAAAATTGCTGAACGATTCACGATAAAAGGATCACTAATCCATCGAGTAAATCATCTCCGATTGATCGACAAATAAGCCGTCGTTGGGAAGAGGATGATCCGCCGGGGGACAAGTTGCCACCTCCTAAGAGCATACCAGATGCAATGAAGAGCCTCCTCTTGCTGCGCGGACTTGAGGATGAAGCTCCCTGACACGCGCCCCACCTCCATCCAGCTCTTCTCCGTCGGGTGACAGCCGCCGGAGAGCCGCAAAGTCGTCGTTTTTCCGCTCCGTCGGGTGACAGCCGCCGAAGACGACTCGACGACCCATTTCATTAATCTCTAGACTTTGCGAGAAGATCTAGAGATTGCCCACGTCGTCTTTGTCCAAAGAGAGTCTTCGAGGCCGTGGACATTACACGACGATCCTCCCAAACGCTCAGGATTTCGGTGCATCGCCGACGCATCACCGTCGTGACGTCAGAACTCTATTTTTCTGCTTTCAACTTACTTTGCACTTCATTTAGTGATAATTTTTGTGATTTTAATTTACCAAAATATACTTTGTTCTATTATAATTATTCTGGCTTTTACAGATCTTAATTTGATTAATTAAATCGTCTATAATCGCTTACACAAGAATCACTAGGTGGAACTCTATTTCCGCTCGATTCGCATTCGCCAAGCGCTGACGTCATCCTGACGTCCGCACCCTTATTTCCCTTTTTCGTGAATTTTAAATATATTTCCTTTTCATTTCCTAGTATAAAATTCATAGAAAATCGTATTCATTGAGAAAAATTCTGAATAATTACTAGATATTATATTACATCCTTGTGATTGACCTGGAAAATTACCGCTATTTTTGGAAGTTTTATTGAATTATAATTGATAGATTTATTTAGAAATACTTCTAAATATCTAAAAATTGATATTTTCTAGTTTTATAAATTTTAGATTTACGTGATTTAATATAGAATGACTAAGTCACGTCAATGAGATAGCTAAATGGTAAATTAATTGAGTTTTTTTATTACACAATTTTAGAAAAAAATAAAAATTTAGTATATGTAACTTGTGGTAGGACATTTATGAGTAAGGCTAAGGAAGAGATGTATCAATTGTATAAAACACTTAGTGAATATTCTGCTGATAGTGAATCCTTTGCCCTTTATGATCGTAGCATGGGAGAATAGAAGAGAGGGGTTCATGAAGTTAGAAATTAAGAGGAAAAGGAGTGGAGAGTAGAGGTGAATAAAGTCCACCAAAAGATTAGTCAATTGTGTGATCAACTCTTCCTAAATTCTGAGCAAAATCAACTTGTAGCTGGTTCGAAAGGATCATAATGCCAAACCCCATACACAAGGTGTATGGTGTGTGGCAGTAATGATCATTATGATCATTAGTGCCCACAATTACATTTAGTGGATATGGGTACACTAGAGCAAGTTAATACTTCTCAAGAATATAGTTGGAGAACTCATCCAAAATTTTCTCGAAAAAACCTAAACAACTAGAACCCACCTGTGTCATCTCCAATTTTTTCCTCATCCCAACTAGTAGCTGCACCTCCCCATTATATGATTGAGTTAGAAACAACTTTATTTTTATTGACCACCTCATAACTACTCATGGATTTAGGCTAGCATTTCAATCATCAAGAAATGCCAATTTGAACCAACTTCTTAAATGTCCAAATTTGAATCAATAGATGATAAATATTGATCCATCATAGTCCAACATCTGCTGCAATGTTGCAACAAATGATGAATCAGATGATGCAAATGATGCAACATCAAATTTAGGAAATAAACATTGTAGTCAAAACAAACTCAAATGAAAATGCACACAATCTGCTACAGATGCAGCAGAAAATTGATTAGATACAACACCAGCTTCATCAAAATATACATAAATTAGAAAAGGAGATAGGAAAATTAGCAGTTGCTAATCCTAGAAGAGAAGAAGGACAACTGCTTAGCTAGACCATTAGTAACCCTTGTAATCAGTCAATTAATTTTTCAAGGCAGCAAACTTCTACATCTCAACATTTTGAAAATGTGGAAGCCGTGACAATTTTGAGGAATGGAAAAGTCCTCAAAGATCCATTTGAAGGGAAAGTTCAGACCCACCCCATACTAAATCTTGAGGATGACTGCGACAGCCTATTCTCATATGGGGAAAGAAAATTGGGACACTCAAGGCTTGAGGGACCAGTAGACCTTGAGAAACTAAAAACAATTGACCCAAAAGGCCAAGCCAAAGTGGTGCCATTTTCTAAGGCACTCGAGCCCAAATTGACAGCGAGAGCAAAACCTAATAAAGAGTTAATGAAAATATTCCAACAAGTTCAGATCATTATTCCCTTGGTGGATGAGATCAAACACATTCCTACTTATGCAATGCTTTTGAAAAACTGATGCACACCATATAGATCACCTTGAAGGATGACACTTTCAGAGAAAGTTATTGCAGTGATCTCTCATTCTTTGCCAAAGCAACACAAAGATCCCAGGGCTCCATTCATTACATGTTGAATTAGGAAAATTACATTTTTTAATGCTTTGGTTGATTTGGGTGCGAGTGTGAATTTACTCCCTATTGAGGTCTTTCATAGATTTTCGATGGGAGAGATGAAGAGGACTCTTGTGGTTCTCTAGCTAGCTGACAAGTCAGTGAAAATACTGTAGTGAAAATACTCTTGTGCTAAAGGATGTAATCGTTGATGTATAGGGTAGCTATTTTCCTACTGATTTTTTGATTTTAGATATGCCGATTAGAGATGATTTATGCCATGCATCAATTATATTAGGTAGGCCTTTCCTTGCCACAACCAAGGCATATATAGATTGTGAGAATGGAATTATCAATATTAAATATGAAGATCAACACATTGAACTTAATATATTTTGGAGTTCAAAATTTATGATGAAGGAAAAGGATGAATATGAGGAAGTTAATAGCGTAGAGACATGCATAGAAGAGATCAATTGGGTGCAGCATACGGAAGAACATATAGTGGGGCTTGAAATAGCTTGCACATACATCAGTCATAGCTCCATAAAGTCTCTAGAAATTAGTACAAAGTTAATACAGCCATCATTAAAATACCTTCCTAAATTAGAGTTAAAACTTTTACCTAATTTGATGAAATATATATTTCTTGGGCTTAACTAAACCTTATCTCTTATTATTGCAACAACTTTGACTATGGAGCAAAAAGATAAGATTATGGAGGTTTTAAAGAAATGTGAAGGAGCAATTGGTTGGACAGTAGCAGATTTATAAGGGGTAAATTCTAATATCTACATCTATCAAATTTATTTAGAGGAAAATGTAAAATCTACTAAAGAAATGTAAAAGAGATTGAACCCAAAAATGAGAGGTAGTCAAAATAGAGATTTTAAAGTGGATTGACGCAAGAATAATTTATCTAATTTCTAATAGTCCATGGGTGAGTCCAACACGTGGTTCTAAAAAAGTTAGGTTAGACAATCACCAAGACGTAGAAAGGTGAAGAATTACCAACGAGATCAACCACAAGTTGAAGGGTCTACATTGACTATTGAAAACTTAATGTAGTGATGAATGAAGATCACTTCCCTCTCTCATTTTCCAGACTAGATCTTAGAGACATTAGCAGGACAACAATATTTTTGCTTTTTAAATGGGTACTCAAGCTATAATCAAATAGTCATTTATCCCAAAGATCAAGAAAAAACTACTTTTACATGTTCCTTTGGTACATATGCATTCAAGAAAAAGCCCTTTAGATTATCTAATGCACCTACTATATTCCAATGCTGCATGATGTCTATCTTTTTTTATAAGATTGGTGATTTTCTCAAAAAATTATGGATGATTTTTCAATTTTCAAATCGTCATTTGAACACTACTTGAATATTTTGACTAAGGTACTGAAACAATGTGAAAAAAATAATCTTGTATTAAGTTGGGAGAAAAGCCATTTTATGGTCAAAGAGGGTGTTGCCTTAAGTCACATTATAAGTGAGAGAGGGATTGAGGTGGAAATAACAAAGATTGATGCTATTGTCAATCTACCTCCACCATAATCAGTTAAATAAATTCATGCGTTCCTTGGACATGTTGGATTTTATCGACATTTCATAAAATATTTTTGTATGATTGCTCGACTATTAACAACATTATTGGAAGAAGACATCCCATTTGATTTTGATGAATTTTGCATTGAATCTTTTTGACTCTTAAAACAACACTAACGAAAGCACGAGTCATCCAAACACCAGATTGGTCCAGACTGTTTGAGGTCATGTGATACATCTAATTCTACTATTGACGTAGTCTTAAGACAATAGATACATAATCAACCCGTGGTGATTTATTGTGCTAGAAAAACCATAACCGTTGTGCAACTCAATTACACCACCATGGAGGAGCTATTAGTTATGAAATTTAGGTCATACATTACAAGATCAAAAGTAATAGTTTATTCTAACCATGTAATATTGCAATATTTATTAACTAAAAAAGAGGTTAAGCCAAGACTATTACAACGGATTTTGTTATTACAATAACTTGACTTGGAGATTAAGAATAAAAAGAACTCTAAAAATATTGTCATTGATCATTTATTTTGAATTGTGCAGTTTGATAAATCTATGTTGCAAGACGTATTTCTAGATGCACAACTTTTATCAATTTAACAAGTGAGAAACTTGACATGGTATGCAAATATGGTCAATTATCTTGCCATTAGAAAAATACCTTTAGGCTGAAGAAAAGAAGAATGAGATCGATTCTTCTTCTAAGTAAATTTTTTTTTTTTAGATGATCTTGATTTATTTCATTTAGGAGAAGCTCAAATTTTACGAGGTTGTGTTCCAGAAGAGAAGGAAGGTAAAATCTTACAATTTTTTCATTATTTACCTTGCAGGGGTCATTTTGCAGGCCAGAAAACAACGATGAAAGTATTGTAGAGTGGGTTTTACCAGCCATCTTTATTTCAAGACTCACATGCCTTTAGTAAACATTGTACCAAATTTCAAGCCATGACAAATATAAAGAAGAAACATTCCATGCCTTTACAATTCATTTTAGAAGTTCAAATATTTGATGTATGGGACATTGATTTTATGGGACCCCTTCCTTCGTCATTTGGTTTTGAATATATATTGCTTGTAGTGGATTATGCATCCAAGTGGGTAGAGGCTATCCCCACTCAGACTAATCACTATAACATGGTCACATAGTTTGTTTGCAGTCACATTCTTGCTAGATTTGGATACCCTCGAGTGATAATCAGTGATGGTGGCTTGAATTTTATTAACATTCATTTTCGAAATCTCTTATGAAAATATTGTGTTCAGCATAGAGTGACTACAACATATCATCCCAAGACAAAATGGACATGCTGAATTAAGTTACTTTATGAAAAGGCCTATCATCTACATGTATAAATGGAGCATAGAGCCTACTGGGCCATCAAACAACTGAATATGGATCTTTCTAAAGTTGGCGATAAGTATTCTTTAGATTTACAGGAGCTAGATGAATTATGCAATGAAGCATATGAAAGTGTCAAGATCTACAAGGCCAAGACTAAGGAATTTCCTGGCAAACACATAACTAGAAGACAATTATCACCCAGTCAAAATGTATAGTTATACAATTTGAAACTTAAGCTTTTCTTTAGAAAATTGAGGAGCCGATGGGATGGACCATACATTTTAGAAGACCTAAATGTATATAGAGTTGCCACAATTAGAGACCCAAAATCTGATTGTTGCTTTAAGGTGAATAGACACCAAATTAAAGCTTACTTAGAACATGATGAAAGGGAGGTAGGGGACAAGATTGACCTACTGCCCACCCCCTAATTAGTAGCACTATTTGACTGAAGACATAAAACTCATCATTGTTAGGGATGCAACCCTACAAGCATAGATTATTATGATACAAAATTTTCAAGTTATAATTAATAGTTTCTTTTAGTGTACCTAATTTCTACAAATAAGTCATTTCGTTTAGATCTTGATTAATTATGGTGCAGCAACAATCATCTTTTGAAAGCATGCATGTGAGTTTTGTCAATTCAATTCAGTTGTCACCATTCTTTATACCCATGCACTTCTTCTGAAGTTTTATTTGTTTAACTTTGAATGACATCCATATGTGATATTCTCATTGAGGACAATGAATTGAACTGAGGGGGGGTGAAGAAAATGGTGGATACTGACGAGACTAAATCGTATGGTCGTTGAATGCACACGATTCAGTGTCAAAACAAAGTCCTAATCTTACTAATTTATCATTAATCAAAGTAATTAATTAGTATAATGGTAATTAAGGGTCGAATCCACGGAGAATTAGGGAAATTTGAGAGATATCTTTGAAATTCGGTCAAATCGGACGATGAAATTAGGTTAGAAATTGGGCAATTTAATATATTAAGAAAGATAATTCAATTTAGAATCCACGGAATCAAAAATCAGGTGATTTGGATGAGAATTCGAAGAGTAATCAAAGTTTGAAGTTAAGAGAAATTTTCGTATCGCGAAATGATTAAAAACAGAAATTAAAACTAAATTAAACTTATTCTACAATACTTAAAGTAAAATTAACACTAAATGATGAAATATTAAGATGAAAAAAAATAATCTAACCCAAATTAGCCTTCGAAATGATCCAATTAATCGCCGGATGCAAGGCTTTTCATTCCGAATTTTCGAAGACGAAAGAGGAGTTCAAGACTTGATTTCTTCCAATTATTTCAATCAAACATTGAAATTAAACATCCAACAGAAGCGGAAATGAGTTGCGAACACAATGCAAAAGATGACGCGCGAATTGGAGCTCTAAACAAAGAGAATTTGAAGATTGATCGCGGGCCGTTTTTCCGTCGCGAAGAACGGATTTTATAAAATTCGGAAATGATCGTGGCCGTCCGATCTGATGGAATTGATCGCGATGGACGATCGCGATGAGACGCCTCTTCACGAATCGTCACGACGATTCGACGATCGTCCGATCGTGATCGTGCGGTTAAGATGTGATTGGATGTCCATCTGATGTGAATAATCTGGACCGTTATAACTCTCGATCAGACGGTCGCGATTTATTCACTTAAGTGAGTATTTAGGCACGTGGTTGATCTCTGATCGCGTGGACCTCGATTCCACGTGATCTACGCACGCTATTTGTCGCGATGTCGATCGGACGCATGAGATCACGCCACGCGTCCTGCACATAAGAAAACTAAGGGACTTTAGTCCCACACGGGAAAAACAAAGGAGTATATTCGGGTATATAAGATATGACGATTAAGAGGGATTAATACTTTGTCTTCCGATAATCGGAAGACCTATATACTTTATTAAATAATTATATATAGTAAATATAAATACGCCACGTGTCACATCAGCACCACACAGGCGCCCGCGTGCTGTCCACGTGGCAGAGCCACGTGGCCCCGAGTACCACGTCGCATCCACGTGTACACGCGTGACATATAACCCCTTTTTGCGATTTTTTAATTAATTTAAAACATTTAAAAATCGAAAATAAATATAAATAAATTCAGAAAAAATCCAAAAAATTCTATAAAATTGTAAAAATCATAAATTTCAAAATATGACTCCAAATTAATTCAAATTTGTTTTGTTGGATTCAAAATTGAATAATCTATCATTATAAAAGGTCAAATTATTAAAATAAGAATAGAATAAATTTTAATTAATTTTATACATTTATGTATTATATAAAATAAATTTATATAAATACATAAATGTTAATAAATATCTTTTCTCTCATATTTTCACTCTTAAAACATGATTATGATCATAAATATAATTAGGATTAAAGATTGTAATGTGTAATTATTTATAATAATCCATAATTTGGTGTATTTTAAGATCATAACATGAATTTACACAAAATGATAGAAATATACTTAAAATATGATAACATGCATATATTTGTAATGATTAATGCCTTAATTTGCATTAATAATTATATAATTACATGCATAAATAGCATGTTATCAGATACTATAGTGACAATTGTGAAGAGAAAGGAGACAATACATAAAGGTATCATTAAGGAAGGTATTACAAGAAAAAAAATATGGTAGCTAGAGAAAAAAAAATGGTAAGATACTATAATGCTTATATACTTGGTTGTTAATATCTATGGTTGTAGGGGCAAATGTGGAAAGAAGAAATGGATGGACATATTAAGCAAAGGAGAGTGTGGCATTTGGGGGACTTTTTAATTTCCTTCCCCTTTCAACCCTAGGTGCAGTTCCTATCTCGAGCTCATCTTCTCATCCTTCCCCCTTTTTGGTGTCATCAGCAACCTCGACAAACCTCCTTCATCCTCCCCCCTCTCACTAGCAAGCGATTGTGCCATTGGCTTTGAGTTAAAAGTCTTGAGGTCTTTGCATGGGAAGCCCTAGAGCAGCCAAGTCATGAAGATCACCCTTGCTTGGCGTAGTAGACCAAGGTCCGTCAAGCTCTCCACTTGTATGTGCCTTCGTCCCTCCTCACGGATGTTAGATTAAGAGGGAGTAGCTAGAAGTTTATTTCTGTTTTCATTCTACTTCAATGTAATTTCTGCTTTCATGAGTTCTATGCCTCTTTTTAGTTCAATGAGTTGATTCTATCAATTTGCTAAAGGATCTGAGGAATCCTGTCACTAGACATCTGTGACCAGTTCACGTAGTCTAGTGAAACTTTGAGAGTATTTTTCCTCTCAATGTGCAATTAACCTGACTAGGATTTAAAGATAAGTTTTCTAATTTAATATGTGGTTTCTATTAATAACAACGATCATCAAAAGACAACAATCAACATTGGCTTGAATTCATCCCCCTTGACGAAATATATAACAAGCATCACCAACAGAATTAACAAAGAATTGGTGTGGATGCCGTGATTTCAAATCCTCCCTGATTTTGACCTAGTTTTCCACTAACTTTCTAAGAAAACTAACCTATAAAAATCTATTTATAAATGTAAAAATGATGATTTTAATAAAAAAAAATTTAGATCAATCAATATCCATATGGTAATTCCATATAAATTTCCTCTTCTAACTATCTCTGTAAACATACATCTTCAACATCAAATTGTTGAAAATACCACTCAAAGACACTTGCCAATTAAATAGGTATCATGATTGTATTAGTTTTTTTTATTGGTGTAAAGGTTTCAATGTAATGAACTCCATAATAAGTCTATGTACCATTTAGCAACCAACAAGGCTTTGTATTTTTCTATGGACCCATTTGCATGATACTTAATTATATATGTCTATTAACATCAAATAACTTTCTTCCCTATTGGCAGATGCATAAGCTCTCAAGTATCATTTTTCTCTAAAGCTTTCATCTCCTCATTCATAGCTTGTCTTCACTTCTCATAGGTTAAAGCCTCAAAAATAGTCTTTGGGACTGATGTAGAATTTATGTTAGATATAAAGGTTTTATGTGAAGGCATTTATCCATCATAGGATAAAAAAGTGCAATGGGATATAAAGATCTTTGAGTACATTTTCTTACCCCTTTCTAAAGGAAGATATGCAAGTCTTCATCAACAAGTAAGCTGGTGGTATGAGATGCCTCATTTGACTCATTCTAGGATGACTCTTAAACATGTGTGGATTTTGGAGTATTTTCCTTTTTTTCTAGAATATATTTGGCCAACTCTTCCTCTTTCAAGTTATTCATTAAGAATAGGTTCAAGGAAAGGTGGTTGATGGGGGGGCACCATTATAAATAAATCTTAGGTGGGAAGTAAAAAAGTAATTTCAAATTCTCTAAAATTGAATCTTCTCATGATGATTCAATGTACTATAGTATGCTTCCTCCTCATTGAAGGTAACATCTATTGAAATAGTTTTTTTTTGTTGTTGGAGGATAATAGCAATGATATTTTTGTGTTTGAGTATCGTCAAAAAATACATTAAGAGATCTGGGATCTAATTTATCTATATGTTATTCATGGATATGAATAAAGGCTATACACCCACATATTTTTTATATGATGTTTGCTTTTAAATAGAATATGAGGATACAAGAAAGATAACATGTCAATTGGAAGATAAAGGCTATACACCCACATACTTTTGAATTTTTAGGCCATTTATCCTATTCAAATCATTGTGTAGTTTTGATGAAAATAAAATAATATTGGAATATAATTCACACTCAAACTAGAAGTAGTCAAACAAGGGTCAGCAAATATAAAAGTTTGTATTCTTGGTGTGAGAGTACTTAGAGGGCCTACGACATTAAACTATTTTTACACATGTCTCAACATACTTATGCAGATCTTTATGTCAACACAAAAATAGAGTTGAATATGAATCTGTATAAAAATCAAAAAAATAGTCAAAATTTTCTGAAACTCAAATTCATGCCCCTCTTTTGGTGTTCCAATTTGGCCTATTATTCTATTCGAAATAAATTCTGTTTATAATATAAAAAAATAATTTATCAAGTTAATATGTACTAAATCTTAATTATCATGAGTTAATAATTTATTAATAATATATTTTAAACATTAACTCATGATAAATAGATTCTATTTATGTTAAATTGAGAAATGATTTTTAATTGGTTAGTGTAAATTTTTAGTTAATTATGTGATTTTATGTGAATTTATATCATTTTTATAATTATATTTTTTGAGATAAAGTGAAGAGAAATAAAAAAATAAGTAGGGCTCCTAGCCAACTGGGCTCACAAGTGGGTCAAAAGGCACATCCAAGTGGAGCCATGAGTGACTAAGGAATGGTCAGCGGGGCACGTGTGCATCACTCCCTTTTCTCGTCACTAGTGGCCAGCCAGATGTGGGACAAAGAGTGCTTGTACACACTTATGATGATGATATTGAAGAAAAAAATGTATTGCAATATATCTATCTCAAAAATTAGAAAATAGCCAACATGGGACTAAACCCACACCAGCACTCATAAGTTTTTATTTTTGTATACCTATAATGCCCTTGATCTATGAGAAAGATTTACCTTCAAGATGTCACTAGGTAAAAGTATGAGTGTACCTGATTACTTCTCTCTCACGCAAGTAGATGATCGACAAAGGTTCAAATCCCACTAGAGTTAAGACTTATATTTTTATTTTATTAAATTGAAATTTTTCTACATAGTGTTAGTCAACAATTAAGCCACCATAATTGTTCAATCATTAGCAAAAATGTCATCAATGCAATTTGTGGTGCATCTTACCAACTACTAAAGGATTTTAGAGAAAAAGATTATAAATTTAATGAGTAAATCATCTCTAAATGATTAATGAACCAATTATCGTCTAGTAGAAGACGATTTGCCCGAAGACGAGTTGTCACCTCCTAAGAGTGTACCAAATGTAATGAGTAACCTCCTTTTACAACGTGAACTTGAGGATGAAGCTTCATAAGATGTTCTCCACCTCTATTTAACTTATCTTTATCAAGTGATAGTCATTAAAGATCCGAAAATTATCATTTTTTTGTTCTATTAAGTGACAACCACCGGAGATTGAGTGATTTGTAAACTCATTTTATTGATTTCTAGATCTTACAAGAGGATCTAGAGATTGTTACATCATCTATATCTAAAGAGAGACTTTGAAGCCATGGACATTATATCACAATCCTTTCAAATATACAAAATTTTGACGATTGCTGCTACGAAGTTAGAACTCTACCTTTCTTGTTCTAAACTTATTTTTTTATTTAATTTAATAAAACTTTATTGATTTCAAGTTTAAATCTTCTTAATTCAATTATAATTCTTCTAACATTTAAAAATCTTAATTTGATTAATTAAATCATTTGTAATTATTTACGTAAGAATCGTCAAGTAAAACTTTGTTTCCACTCGAATCACATTCGTCAAGGCACTAATGACATCCTGACATCTGCACCTAAATTTCTCTTTTTTGTGAATTTTTAAATATATTTTATCTTTATCATTTAGTATAAAAATCATAACAAAACATATTCTAAGAGAAAATTCTGAAATCTTACCCAATATTAGCTCACATCACTATGATTGACTTGAATAAAATTATAATTTATTTATTTGTTCTAAAATATTTTTAAAAACCTAAAAATTAATATTTTTAAGTCATCTCATTATGCAATGATTAGGTCATCTCATTATGTCAAGTGATGTATTTTCAAGTTTTTTGTATCCTACAAATAAGAAACTTGTAAAGTTTTATATAATATTAGTTATTAATTACAAAAGTTCTTAACAAAGGCTTTTCACTAGAAGCATGAGCTAGTATGACACTTAACTATTAAACTCAAAAGCCAATAATTTGACTCATTGATAGGTACATTATGAATGTTTGGAATCCATATTATGGAAAGAGGTATTTTTTTTTCTAATTCAAATTGAGAGGTGGTATCAAATTGGTTTATTTATTACATTAAAAATATATAATTAGCACATATGACATAGTTATAAACTAAAAACAAGATAAGGTGATGGATAAAGGAAATAAATTATAATATCTAGAAACCAACATCCTCCTAAGAACAAGCATGATTCATTGATGTTTTTTCTAATCAAATTAGAGTCATAATATTTCGAACACTAAAATATATTTCCTGAAAATTACTTTGAAATTTGACACATTAGCATAGAGTAAGTGGCATGACATGTTGACTATTGGTCAAGTACAATATAAAACCTATCATACTTGTGTAAGATGTTATGTTAGCCTCCTCTCTAGCATCATAATCATCTAATATCCAATTCAATGACCATTTGACATATGGTATTTAATGCTTTTGCTAAAATCTATTTGGACAAGCCATTATCAATTATCATTGTTATAAAATTATTCATGAGTGTCATATTATTTCCTTAAACTATTCCACTTCTTTGAGGTGTGCTAGCATGATAAATTCTGGGATAAACTCTTTCCTTCACAACATTTAGTGAAAAAGCTACACCAAGTAAGAAGTGTAGAACGATTAGTTCATAAGGACCACCATTGTATAACCATTCATCAATTTTTGTTTCTAAAGTTTTCCTCCGTGATAACTTATATTTTCCTGTACATTAGTGTTCATTATGAATCCCCTTGATAAACTTTATAAAATACACAAGCTTTATCTTTCTGTACTAAAAACTAAACACAAGTAAATCTAAAAGATTATATGTGATAATAAATCCAATGTGTTTTTCTCCAATTTACGGATCTTTGGTTGACAAAACAAGTCAAGGTGTCCCAAGCCAAGATGTTTAGTTGATGGGGTGTGATTGTTTGATTTGAAACTTTAGTACAACCTTTGCTAGGGTACTTATAGTCATTTTTTTAGTTTAAGAGTCTCTTAAATAGTTCTTTTTTGGATAACTTCCTAATCATGTGTGTTAGAGAGCCTAACCATTATGTTACTAATTTAGTTCTTTTTTGTTATTATTTTTCTTGTATTAAAGAGGAGTTCTGTATTTTATGTTATTAAAATTTTGTTTTTTAGAAGTTATGTAGCAATTTGTTACCATCAAAACTATTGTGCCTTTTTTTGTTGTAATCTTGACATATATGTTCTAGTACATAGTATTAGATTTGATATTCGAAAATTCATCTTTTAATAAAATAAAATAAAAGTATAAAATTTGGAGCTTAATTTTAGAGTTTCTATTTGCAATAAATAATTCATTCTATTCTTGAATGATTTCTTCTCTAGTTTAATTTATTTATGATCAGATGAAGATACCTTAGTAATTTGTCGGGGGGTAAGTGGAGATGTGTGTTTTTATGCAAACTTGATCTCACATTGCTGTAAGTGGCAATCGTTACCTTTTGTTTTTGAGAGGGATCCTTCTTCTTGAGTATTAGGCAGCTTGCTTTGAAATGTCTTACTTATTACATTCAAAACGTACTGATTCGTTTATGACTGGATACTTAGCTTTTCTAGGTGATCTAAAATTTTAATTTCTATTTGGCATTGTAATTTGATTGAACTCTATAGAGAGTAGAGAAATATCTTCTTCTTCTTCAAAGTTAGACTTTGATTTACTTTGGTCATCTACTTTAAAAGGCCTGCCAAAGCCCAGTAAACCTGCCTATGCCCGGACTAAGGCGGGAGGAAGCCCGGGGCCAGAAACCACCCAGTCCAGGGAGGCCCGTTAACACCCTTCTTTCCGGTTGCCTATAACGGTTGTCCTGAAGAAAGGTCACTGAGCGGAAACTACAAAACTACAGCTTAAGAGCTCTCTGCGCTTGCTGGTTGCTGCAGCAATGAGAAGTATGGGGGATGCGGTAGTGGAGACTGGTCGGATTCCGGGCGCCAGAGTGGTGCCAGGACTCCTATTGTTGCTGGCTCTCTGCGTTCCTTCGTCTTCATTACCTTTACCGAATCTCGCGAGTGGATGGATGGACGGGATTGCCAGTAGGCTCGACAGCCAGATGGCAACATCTGCGGCGCAAGAAGCCGCCGCTAGAGGGGTCCTGGAGAGGTTGCTCCCCTCCCATATCTTCGCTTTCCAATTTAGGATAATTTCCAAGGTGAGGATATGCTTAACTTGGCTTGTCGCTCTTTTTCTCTCTCCTTTCTCTTACGCCTTTTCTCGAATACTTTCAAAGATCTGGTGATCGGCATTGTATTTCAAAAAATTTTGAAAGAGGATGCAGATCAGAGAAAATGGAACTTAAGTTTATTTCGGATTGAAACTCTCGTTCTGATATACGTGAATACTTTGCCGTTCAACCAACCCGAATTATTTCCCACTAGTCCGGACATGCTTGCTAAAAGACGCTGGGACCTCAGAATCTTATTGCCACACTATCCTGTGCACTCCGGAGGTAATTTTTTTGCAGAGGTGGGGCATTATTGTTGGTCAAAAGCTGAATGTAGGATAGAAGAATAATGAAAAGGCGAAATTTCTCTGTGATTAAAAGGTTCAAAATTAATAAATAAAATTATTTGAGTTTTTATCAAATCGTAGACGTTTTGGATTCCCTCAGTTTTTCTACTTTTGAAGCCTAAATGTTGAGATCATGCGTCCAGAGGAATCTGATTACCGTTAATAATAACCTGTCTATCATCTTTATTCCCTTATTCGATTTGACATTTTTGAAAAACCTGTCCTTTTATAGATTCTTTTGGCTGTATTAGCGGCATTGGGGTGAGCGAACATAGACACTTTTCAAGAATCTGTAATTCGCATTTAAGCAAAACTCTTCAAGTTCATAGCTCACACGTACTTTCCTAGGCCTGGCATAGGTGCCTCTTGAACTTGGTGCAGTGAACCAGATCTAATAACTGTTTTTTGTGGGTACAACATGCACTAGAGTCCCAGTGGCGTCCCTTCAAATTTCCTAGGTTGGACACACCAATGGATTGGATTTGCAGAACTATTGATTGTTCATTGTAGCAAACATGACCGTATGACTGATTCCAAAAATATTCTTTTTCTTTTTCAATCCTCCTATTTATCTCATATAGTCCCCATAGATTCGTGTGCTTTTGAATTGATTTCTGTTCATTTTTTATGATTTTAAAATTTAAAAAAATTCAGGAGTTATGTGATGGACGAAGCTGCTTTTGGATAAAAAACATAGACAACTTGCGGAGGAGTGGGCCAGCAATCAAGTATGTTATTTCTTTCAAGGCGAAAAAAAAGAGTCTGATCTGGAAACTTAGTGTAACTTTATGTCATTTCATTATCGTCATAAATTTCTCACTGCACCAAATTAGATACTTCCCTTTTTTGACTGACTAGACCAAAGCATCTGACATATTACGCCAGTTTTCTGCATCCTAATCATTGTGAGTTTCCATTGATTTATCGTTTTTTTGGGGGGGGACTAAAGTTCACTACAGAATAGCTAAAATGGACGCCAGGGTTACATAGGTACACTATTCAATCAAAGATATAGTTCTGCTATCCAGTATAGTTCAGTCGACTCCCTTCCCCTTTGTGGGAAGGAAAATATCTTTCTCAGGGTCTATACATTTATAGATTTTTTAGAATTAATTTCGCTGAAATATCGGCAAGTTTTTCTCACCATCAAATATTGAAACTTCCCTTCCAAGATTTTTTGTTTGACTATTTGAATGTTATAACGTTTTTTTCCTCTGGGTAGTATGGTTACGTCTTGAAGCAGATGAGGATTGTATGTAAATATCTAGAGTTCCCTATGCCTCAGCTGTTGATTGCTTTATTTTCTCTATGGTTTATCAAAGGTCAGACATAGCCCGCTTATAGAAACTTTGAGAAAATACATGGGTATCCACACCAGCAGCATAGGTTGTTAACCAGATATTTCGTTAATTAGGGAGTACTGCAGGTTAAATATGTTTTAGCAAGTATAGCACTACATTACAAGGCTTGGTTGATCTAGATTTACATGGTAAAATTGATCATAGAAAAGGCACCATCAGGTATATTTGCATACTGGAAGGCATCATTGCTATAAGATGGACACTTCAGTTATGATTTAGCTGAAGAACTACTGAGAGATGTGAGAAAAAAACGACAAATAGTTTGCTTTTATGACCGTGGGTATGTGATTTGTCTAGCAAAAAGACTAGAATTTCACTTATACAAAGCAGATATAATGGTAGTACTTTATTTTTGTACTTGATGTGGCATTGTCACATAAGAAGATGCTAGGTACAAAGAATCAGCTGATATGCTGACTGAGGTAGTTACTGCAGAGGAACTGTGCTTTATGTATAGATTTAAGCGGTCTCTATGATTAGTTGATGAGTAGACATCACTCTGAGGTTCTAAGTTTAATGAGGAGTCGTATCACTTTTGTTCTCTTGTTTCTTTCTTCGATCAGTTGCCAGGAGGGAGATTGTTAGATGTTAGAGTCTGTTTTCCCTCAGTAGTGTGCTTAGCCCCTGTTTTGTGGATGCAAGTTATCCATATCATGGCAAAATGCTTCTCATGTCTGCTTCGTCTTGTCTTGAAGTTCTTTAAGTTTCCCATCATCCAGATCATTGAAGAATTTTTGGTTGGAGATGAGGCACGCTTCTCTTGAATGATTTTTTGAAGTTTCACATCCTTGACTTTTGTATCAAGAGGAACAACCATCTTTCCTTACAGACCAAGTGACTACAGTCGAACATAGTTTCAGAACAATGTGGCTTAGTTTTGGGATGGAGGCGTGAAGGATGATAACAGGGGAAGCTTCTTGATATATGTTCATCTTCATCAATATGACAAAATAGCTTTGAAGGTCCAACTCTTAAATCCTTTCTAATCTTGTCATGGAAGATGTTACATAGATTCTTGTGAAGGTTGTATGCAAAAGTAAGATCTATATTTGATTAAAAACATTTTTATTGGACATTACTATCTGATGGAAGTTTATCCTTCACGACCCACAAAATATTATTTAGTATGAGTGTTAGCTTTGTAAAACCTGCTAAATGTTGGAAATGTCTACGACTTCAACCAGCTCCCAATTGATTTTATAGAGAATGCACTATATTCCTCTGCCTGTCAAATGAAATGTTTAATATCTATCGTGACATGAAGAGAATTAAGAATATGCTCATCAAAACATGAATGACATCACTTGGTAGTGAATACAAGTCCCATTCTTTCACCTCTGTTGATCACATCACTAAGCTGGGATAGTTTTTTGAACATATTGTGGTACATGTCAGCTGGAAGAATGCCATATTAGGTTCTCAACGAATCATGATTGTCTTTCTAAAAGAATACATGGCCGTTACCAATTAGACAGCTGTTGCTGTTAGTTATATAAGATTTGTGCTTCATGATACTTCTCCTCGTACATGATCTCCTGAAGTCATTTAAGTGTAAGAGGAGCATTACGATGGTACATTTTCCTTCAGCTATTTGATTCCATTTCCTGTCTAAGATGTCTATTTTTTAAATGAATTGTATTTTTTCACGTGAATATATGTTTAATTGGTCTGATGGCCACTCCATAATTAGAAAGTAATGCCACAATAGTTGATCTAATGTTGCTTCTTGTGATCTTTGTTGGTTCTTCATAATGTGTCAGCTATTATGCTGCCAAGAATAGTTATTACTGACTTTGGTAGAGTCAGAAACAAGGGAGTGTCGATGAGATGAGATGATAGTACACGTCTAAGTAATCTAAGTCTAATTCCAATAGATTGAAATTCATGGGACCAAGTTTATATCGTACTGACTTGTTTAATACCAGAAATCTTGTAAGGAAAGAAGTTGCCAAATAAAAGTGAGAGATTAATATGTAAAAAACCTGTGTCATTAACAATATGACCATGTTTTGGAAAAGCTTTTTAGACATATAATCAACTTTGTTTCTGTTTTCTATTTAGCTGCAACAAGCTTCATGTGGTGAAATAATGGTCGTAAGATTTAAAAACTCATTTGAGAGACATTGATATATCTTCTGGCATGGAATTTTTGTAATATCCAGGTGAAGGTCTTCTGTGGAACCAAACAGGCTTGGTACAACTCAAATCTTCCTGGTAAAGATCATATGGCTGGAAATAACATGTGCTGGTGTCATCCATAATAAGACAGATCTCCACCTAGTTCATCCATTAAGAATGGTAGAAGAAGGCCACAGTTTTCATGGCTGGTCTGATCAAAGACTGGCCAAAAGGACGAGTCCACTCCACAAATGCTTAGGGAGCTTTCCCACCAATTTCTACTGCAAATTTGGCCTTTCCTTGCAGTGTCCCTTGGTGAATGCAGTATTGAGATTTTTTCTCCAGTGGAGGAGGCTGCATGGTGGTTAAGGTTTGTTGATGAGGAGTATGTGATATTATAGAATCAAGAATAACAGGCAGTCGGGATTATTATCAGGCTGAAATGTACATTTTGAAAGAAAATCGTGGACGTGGAGGAGATACGTGTGATGGAAGGACAGCTTTAGAATTGCCATAGCTTCTCTCCACTAAGCAGTACTCTTTCTTAGAATTTGTTGGGTGATATATTTTGTCATTCTCATTAGAACTGCGACCTTTCATTTGCATTCTGTCCCGTCTGTTTGTCCACTTCGGAGACAAAGCTGAGTTTAGTGCATTTGCCTTTTGTCCCTTCTAAGGGACTAGGCTTGGATTTTAGTTCGTGTTAACATTCTTTTCCGAACTACCATCTGTCTAACTTAAGTCATGGAAAGCTTTTGTGAGGCTAATTTGGACCTCTCATGTTTTGACTTATACCATAAGTTTTCCATTGTCCTTCTATTTCCTCTTCTTCTTCTGCCCTTTTTGGCTGAGCCATAGGTGCAAGACTTTTTTGTTCTTTCTTTGATAACTCTGCCACTATTATAAATTGCCCTGATTTGAATCAGAACTGGTTCGATATGATTTTTAACGGTTTTAATGATAACAAAACGAGGACAGGGAATCAGTTTCTTCTTCATCTGCTCTCCTTTAGTGGGTCTTGATTTCTGCCCTCCCATGTCATTGTTTACACTTGTTCCTTTCCCATTAGATGTCTAGGATTGTCCCAAAAAGAATATTCATCCATGACCTTAATGAAACTAAACGGGGAAAAAATGGGCTTCTATACCACATCATGCATAGAATTAAATTTGTTCTAGTTCATATCTTTTGATCTAAATATCGCCCTCCAAAGTTGACATTACCACAGGAATGCTATGATCCTCTCTTCTGACCTATGGAACGTTATTTTTTGCTTTTTAGGAAAAACATTATTATATGCTTGTGGATTATTCTGTCATTAATACGGTTTATAGATATTTTGATATGTTGAGTTTTTTGAAGTGTTGACGTTTTTGGAAATAGGATTAAAAGGAAATGTAAAAGTCATCCTAGTGAAGTCCTTTGTCAAAGATACTGGCAAGCATAGAATATCGCTTAGGTTGCTTCTGCCATTTTTCTAGATTATTGAACCATGTTCTGGTTCTTCCTTCTGCATTCAGAAGCCTTAATTTGTCTGCCTTTTCCTGTGCGTTCTGATCTTCCAACTATCGTGTCGCTTATTGCAGTGTATTAGCTTGTGTGTTTTTTTCTTTGACAGAGGCCTACCATCTAATCTACTTTGGAGGATGTGTATAACCTTTTTATAGTCTGAAATGGCGAATGTTTATTCATGCTCTAAGAGAAGTTGTGTTCTTGCCATAATGGCTGTCCATTATTCTTGCTGGTTCCATTTAGGATTGAAGGTACTACTGGGGTTGAGCTGGCATCTGGTCTACACTGGTATCTGAAGTACTGGTGTGGGGTTCACATTTCGTGGGACAAGACGGGAGGCGTTCAAGTGTCTTCAGTTCCTCCACCAGACCTGCTTCCTCAGGTGGATGATAGAGGGGTGGTGATTAAACGCCCTATTCCATGGAGCTACTATCAAAATGTTGTTACTTCAAGTTGTAAGTTCTCTTTATAACTTGAACTCATTTTACACAACGGGGAGGATGTGACAAAACATATACACTTGTCAGATTATATTATTCAGATGAATAATTTAGCCGTATTTTTTTCCAATTCATGTAAAGATTGTGAGATTTTTGGTTCAAGAAGAGCGATTTTATAATTCTGCAAGAGGATGAAAGGTTTTTTTCCTGTTTGATGTGATCATATAAGGATGTTATGAATCAAATGGATTTATTAAGCTTTTACTTGAAAGTTTTGCTGTTAATTGTTTCGTGCTTGCACCTAAGAGATCGATTGTAAATTTTTGAGATTTTATGTTGAGATGCGTTAAAGCCTGTGTATTTATTTGGACTTCTGAACGTAATTTATGCATAGCCGTCCTACCTTTCGTTTTCTTTGTTCTCTTATATGATCTCACAGTTATTCCATTAATTCGTGCTACACTAGCCATTATATTTTACTTGTAACAGATTCATTTGTCTGGTGGGACTGGAAAAGATGGGAAAAAGAAATTGACTGGATGGCTTTGCAAGGAATTAACTTACCGCTGGCATTTACAGGACAAGAAGCCATCTGGCAGAAGGTTTTTAAGGTGATTTAGTTCTAGCTGTCTACTGTACTGTCATATTGTCATCCATAAATATTATATTTATATTTTGTTGATTGTTATCTCTCAGTGTCAGCCATAAATATTGATATTTACAGCATCCTAATATTACTACTGCATATACTCTATTCAATTAGTTACTTTGAATGAACTTCCTTACGAGGTTTATTTTTACACTAACCTAATACTTTCAATATCCTAATCCATAAATAATGTATTCACAACATCCTAATGCTCACGCAGTAAGTAAGCATTGATGCTTCCAATATGTCAGACTTAAATGGAATGAAAGGACAATTATGCTTGACAGAAATAGAGAGTACACAAAGGAGAGAGAGAGAGAGAGAGAGAGGGAGAGAGAAATGACCCAACTCAAACCCTAACTGAGAGACACTAGTATTTATACCATAGGCTCAAGGGACTAGATGGGCCAATAGAGCTCATACCCATATGAGCCAATGTGGCCATGACCTGGATGGGCTTATAACATTCAACATTCCCCCCTAAGCTGGAGCATTTATGTCATATGCACCTAGCTTGTTACATAGAAATTGTACCCTATGACCATTTAAAGACTTGATGAACACATCTGCATGTAGATCTAATGTGGACTGTAGTGATGAGTTGTGCCTAGATCTTCTCTTTAATGAAGTGACAATCAACTTTCAATGTGTTTTGTCCTCTCATGGAACACATGATTAGGCAAGATATGAATTGCTGCTTGATTTATCACATTTGAGCTCCATAAGACCTTCATGATGAAAACCAAGTTCTCCAAGAAAATGTCTGATCCATATAAGTTCACATGTAATATGTGTCATTGCCCTGTATTCTGATTCAGCACTTGACTGTGAGACCACAGATTGTTTATTACTTTTCTAAGAAATAAGATTAGCACCAAGGAACATACAATAGTCATGAAGATCTCCTGTCTAGATTGCAATCAGCCCAATCAGCATCTGAAAAACCCTGTACTGTGAGATGACCATTATTCTTGTATAGCAACGCTCGACCTAGACTGCCCTTAACATACCTCAATATCCACATGACTGTTTCGAGATGCTTAGTGCAACTTAACAGACTTTATTAATTGTTGTGCCACCACTCAGCACAACTGCTTGTTTTCTTCACTAACAACTGCAAGTTGGACAATTTCTAAGATTCTGCTATAGGTTTTGGGGCCTCCAGTTGCAGAGCTGATGCCATGATATATATCAGCTTGGGGCAGGATCTTGTCTGGAGATCTGTCATGAACGTCTTGTCCAATAGATTTCCATATCTCCACATTCTTCTATTGTGGGAAGCAGATGTATCAGGCAAGATTTCTTGCAGCCTGATGAGAATACTCACCTGTCTCTCTGTCTCTGGTGTATATGATGATTGTCAAGATGAGCCTGGGGTCGCAGCCTAGCAGGTGGCATAGATGTACTAGGATGTTTACTATGCGCATCCCAGTGTTTAACAGGTGGATGTCATACAGAAGCTTCTTCATCCCCATCTCTCCTCTGTCCTGTTGCTGATATATAAGATCCTGTACATTGTTATCTTTGCTTTGCTGTCTAGGGAAAACCAATCAGACATGGTTTTCATCGCTCTTTCTATGGGCATAGGGAGCTTTACTTCTACGCTATCACCATAGAATTACCACTTAACTCAGCTCAGCAAAGAATGTGGAATTGTATTGGTGCAGTTTTATCCCTTGCTTTTCTAGCATGCATCGCCTAGAAATTCATATCTGACCACCCTCATATCCACTGTAACTGCCTTAAACTTTTTGGACTGGTCGGAGATTGTGACAATCTTGTAGTTCTTTTGTAAATATGCATCGATCCATCCCTGGATTGGATCCTGTGCTCCATCTTCATGTGCTTTGGACTCTACATCACTTACTGCTTTTGCTCCGTTTTCCAGTTGCAACTGGCTTTTGGCAGCTCAGAGTTTCCGAAGCCAGTACCTCTTGAGTTCCCAAGCTTGTCATGATTGCTAAGGCCGTGTCCCATGGAAGTGTCTGAGGATTGTGTATGCTCCAAAGGGGGAATGCCAGTTGATTGGATGTTCAGTTTTTTTTATATAGTGTCTTGTGAGGAGTTCTCTCTAGCCTTTGACATCCACAAGTGCTTCTACCTTCACCTCTTGCCTGTCCAGTACAACCTCCTTGCCCACAACCATGAGGTCTCCGCAGCTGCCTAAGTAGACATGAAGGTAGTGGTCTCACTAGCTGCTGAACTAGTTTGGGTACCTTCCTGGTTTAGAAAAGCAAGAGAGATATGCTAATACATCTCAGAAAGTGATGGTAACTCAGCTCCTGATAGAATATGACCACAAATGTCATCATATTCTGCTTGAAGTCCTCCAAGAAACTTCATGGAAATCATTTGTGCATTATCTGAATATGACTGGATATGAGTTATAAAGGATTGAGGTCATCACTAAGTTGTGTTATCTCACCAAAATATTTATTCAAGCTCTTATCTCCTCACTTCAACCCATAATATTTAATAGTCATATCATACATCCTAGAAATATTATTAGAGAAATAATAGCAAGATGGTCCCTTATTGTCTTACATGTATCAAGATGATTTATTAAATCAGAAACATTCGACTTCATAGATCTCCACAATATATTCAGAAGTTTTGCATCTTGTTGTTCCCAGTGTTCTAATCTAGCCAGATTGAAAGGTGCCAGATCAATGAAGTAAATCTTGACAAATCTACTTCAGTGAGTATACTAGTCATTTAATATTTGAATTTATAATGATATGACTTTAGATTATCATTGCTAATTTTAGAGTTATAGAGGATTTTGATTCATTAGCCATCACTGAGAAACTAATAGACATAGTCTAAGTTTGACTATTAACTCTCAATTGAATTGTTCACTTTTGACTATTGACCATTGATTGATGACTTTGTGAAGAGAGCATTACTTGATAGGAATGCTGGCTGTGGGAGACTCTTGTCAGAATCAGATGAATGAATGTCGAGATCCCTCCAATTTTTGTTGGAGGATGGCACAACTAGATGGACTAACACATCAAAACTTGAGAAAAGGATGGCTTAGGCAAATTGTGATCAACTCTAGTGTTGTAGGGGTTGAAGTTACATCATGAATCCTTGAAAAATGTGCTTCAGTTGTCCTTTTGCCTTGAATCCATAAGTTGAAGAGGACAAGTCTCTTGAGTCCACAAGGGGGTGATTCTGAATCCATAGAATCAAGAACTGGGTTCCCTAAGTCCACAAGAGAACTAGAGTCTGCCAGTAGAAGGAGAGAACCTCAAGAGAATAAGTTCACAAAATTTTATTGATAGAAAATTAGAATGCCTCTGGGACTACATGGGAGTGCCTTTAAATAGATTGAAGGGTCTTGTTTTGGTGCCAACATTTGAATTTTGAATAAAATTTGAATTTCAAAATGAAATCTAAAATGAGAAATAAATTTGAATTTAAAACGAAATTTAAAATTCAAAATTTGAAGACATACCTCAGAACTATGAGTCTTGAAATCAACAAACTCTAATTTTGAAATCGGGCATACTTCAGAACTTTCAATGTCATTGATGTGAATCAGTTTACCTTGTGACATCTTCAAAATCCAAATCTAGAATGCTAACCACTTGACATAGTGAAACTTGAGAAAAGGATGGCTTGGGTAAGTTGTGAACAACTTTAGTGTTGTAGGGGTTGAAGTCATGTCCCAAATCCTCGAAAAACATGTTTTAGTTGTTGTCTTTTCATCTTGAATCGATAGGTTGAAGAAGAAAAAGTCCCTTGAGTCTACAAAAGGGTGATTTTGAATCCATAGAATCAAGAATGGGTTCTCTAAGTCCACAAGGGTATTGGAGTCTACAAGTAGAGAGACAGAATTTTAAGAGAAGAAATTCACAAAATTTTATTGATAAAAATTTAGAATGCCTCTAGGGCTACATGGGGTGCCATTAAATAGGCTGAAGAGTTTTGTTTTGGCATCAACATTTGAATTTCAAATGAAATTTGAATTTGAAATCAAATTTTGAATGAAATTAAAATTTCAAAATGAAGTTTCGAAAAGGAAATAACATTTGAATTTCAAATAAAAATAAAAATAAAAATATTGAATTTTCAGATAAAATTTGAATTTAAAACTAAAATTCTATTTTTGAGGTCATTTAGTTGCTTTTCATAGTAAGAAATTAACAGAAGCAAGAAGAAAGTATATTACATACGAATTATAATTTTATATTGTGATTAAAGCATTACATACTTAAGAACACTATATGATTTAATGAGAATTTATTTTATTTACTGACCATCAAGTTTTGAAATCAGTCAACGATCAGACTACTATCAATAGAATGTATGCTAGATGAATTTTGTTTTTGTGATAAAGCATAAATTTAAAAACTCAAATAAAGTGGCTGATGCACTAAGACTAAAATCAACATTCTTGATTATAGTGTGAGGTGAAGTTAGTGATTTTAAATATCTGACGTAACTCTATGTAAGAGATGAAGACTTTGTTCAAATTTGGTGTATGTGTAAACAAGACAAACCATTCAAAGGATTTCACATTCTTGGAGATTTCTTATTTCGAGAAAATCAATTATGTATCCTTAGAACTTTTTTTTATGAGAAGTTAATTCAAAAATTACATGCATGAAGACTTGGGGAACACTTGGGATATGGCAAGACTTTGAAAATGATAGAAGAACGTTATTATTGGCCACAACTTAAGAAAGAAGTTGAAAGTTTTGTGTAAAGATGTCAAATTTATGAAGTTAATAAAGAACAGTGCCCGAACATAAGTCTAGACGCTCCATCACCCATTGCAGATAAAGCATAGGTTGGCATTTATATAAAATTGTTTTTGGGATTACCACGTACTCAAAGATGAGTAGATTCTATTTTTGTGGTTGTGAATTAATTTTCAAAGATGACACATTTTATTGCATGTAAGAAGACTAATGATGCCATTCAAGTAGCAAATTTATTTTTTAAGAAATAGTTTATTTGCATGGAGTGCTTGTGATTATTACATCTCACAAAGACTCAAATTTATATCTCATTTTTAACATGCTCTTTGAAATAGATTTGACTCATACCTAAAATTCAGTACTACAAGTTATCTACAAACTGATGGTCAAATAGAAGTGGTTAAGCTTGAGTGATGGCTTGTAAATGACTTGTAGTATTGAATATAGGCATGAGTCAAATCTGTTCCAAGAGAAGAAACTCATGAAATTTTATTGATAGAAAATTAGAATGCTTCTAAGGTTACATGGAGTGTCTTTAAATAGATTGAAGAGTCTTGTTTTGGTGCCAACATTTGAATTTTGAATAAAATTTAAATTTCAAAATGAAACCTAAAATGAGAAATAAAATTTGAATTTAAAACAAAATTTAAAATTTAAAATTTAAATTTTCTAATAAATCTGAATTTCAAGAGAAATTTAAGTTTCAGATGAAATTTGAATTTCAAATGAAAATTTAAATTTCGAATGAAATTCGAAAAATAATAAAAACGGAGATATGGGCCTAATTTTGTAATTGAGCCAACTTCAACATGAAGTGGGCTTCAAGCTGCATCAGTAGTAGGCTTTAAGCTGCATCAAGAACGGTGGTGATGGTGGCCAGAAGATTCTGAACAGATGAGTAGCTCTGAATAGGGAGTGTCTTGGAGAGGAGCAGTGGTTGGCATGGCAGCACCAGACTAGGGCGACACTGGACAGGGATGATGGCAGGCAGAGGACGACTTGCCCCACCTATAGGGTTTTCGTCAAACAGAACTCAATTTTGATACCATGATAGAAATAGGGAGTACACAAAGGAGAGGAAGGAAGAGGGAGGGAGAAAGGATTCAGTTCAAACCCTAATTGAGAGACTCTAGTATAAATGCCAGAGTCCCAAGGGACCTAGATGGGCCGATAGGGCCCATACCCATATGAGGCGATATGGCCATGACCTGAATGGGCTATAACATTCAACAATGCATAATGAATGTAAAAGTCCCAAGTTATGTTCAACAGGCTTTTATTAGAGAAATTTGAGTAAATTTAATATTTGAGCATCAATGTGAAGACATCTGAATGGATTTAGGATCTGTTTTTAAGATTGATTTCAAAATTTAGAATATTTGTAAGATATTATCAGTTTCAAAAACATCTTTATCACTGTCATAGACCATTGTAGTTTTCAAAAATAGTTGAAAGCCTTGCCATTTGTTAATGGTAAAACATTAAAGCTACCCATTCTTTTGTGTTGGAAAAGGGTTGTCATGCAGCACTGCTTCACGTGGATTCTGTATGTTGTGGTTGACCTACAAAAGAATCCAGGTTCCTGTTGGCCTGACTATCTTTGTCATGACAAGGTCAGAACTTAAGGTTAGGGCCTTTATTATCCCCACACAGATCTTGTGTGAACTTCATCATGCGATTTCAATGGATTTCTTTAGGGAGGTGCAAGAGAAAGAGGTGATGTTGTTATCCTAACTATTCGCAATCAGGCCCTTGAGAAAGGGTACTGGTTCCTGTCAACCAATTTAGCTCCAATATTCTTGTTAGTGTCCTTGAAATAACTCCTAATAGTCTAGGGCATGGTCAGTCATCGTATTCTAAAGGCTGATTGAGTGACATACAAAAGAATCCCTTTATTCATATGCTTAGTCTTGACATGGTTCTCTCAGTTTTGGTAAAATATTACTCAGGTAACATGATACGAGGTTCCAAGTAATCAGTTATTTATGCTAAAACACAAATAAAAGGGTATTTCTCTAATTGATGATATTTTAAGGGTCAATGTCTAAACAAGTTATTCTTAAATTTTGTTGGAATTGGTCTTCAATTTTACATTGTGGTTAATATAATCCCTAGTCTATAAGTTCGGATTCTAGTAGAGTTTGTAGTTGGGTTACATATATGATGAATTGGACATTTGGGTCCCGAAATCATGATAGTTTATGAGGAAGGAGGTATCAGATTTATGAATGATGCTATGAGCTTCATGATTGAATTTCTAATTTATTGTAGTGAGAGTATCGCATGTTTAAAGCTTGTCAATCTCTTAACTTATTAGGAAAATGCTTGGTTATTGAGAATATGAGTCATGTATTCTTTTGTTAAAGCATTGATATTTATTTTGATCATTCTACAGTTTTCTTTCAAGTTATTGATTAATAGATCTATCTTGAGTACGGTTTAGTTTGCTCATTGTGGTACATTGAACAGGAGTTTAATGTTAGTGAAGTAGATCTGGATGGATTTTTTGGTGGACCTGCCTTTCTTGCATGGGCACGCATGGGGAATATGCATGGGTAAGTTCTAGTGTTAGAAACTTGGTAACACTCTAGCTTCTTTTGTATTTCATTTTGATTTGAGAAATTATATAAAAAATCTGCTATTTTGAATACGACTTAGTTCTTGCTGAAAATTGCAGATGTTGAACTTTTAATTGAATGCTTGTTTCCTTTGTGGCAGCTTTTTGGATGCCTTTTTCCACCTTTGCTGAGCATGGTTTTTACATTTTGTCAAATTCTTTTTTTAATACTATTGGCGTCAACATGTTCATTCATTGAAAAGCTGCTATTTGAACTTTCCATTTTGTTCTTTGGTGTGGTAACAAATTAAACAGTTTACTCTTTTATGCTGTATTGTGCATTATTCTTTATTGTTAAAGAATTATGGTTCATTCATCAAAGCATCTGTTTGTACAATTGCCAAAGTTGATAAGTTGTCTTATTGAGCTCATAGAAATGAATGGTCATCTCAATGTTAACCTAGTCCCACTCTAATTTTTATGTAGAAACTGATGGATCCTTGTTGAATTACATACATAGGACATAGATGTCAACTAGTCGAAACAAGAAATGTATGTTGCTGATCTAATATTATTAGAAATAATGACCAACATGCTCTCCTCTAGTTAGGGCAAGAAATTTCGATTTTTTTGATATTCTAATAAAATTGAATTAATAACGTAGATGTGTCATTACCAAAGTGCACCAGCACTATGACCACTGACTAGATCTATATCCAAGTTAGATAGCGTGTTTCCATAGCATGTTCATAATAAATGATAAATAATTTGATGAAATTGAAATTTTATGTGAAAGTTTTTGTTTGAATATAGTCTATGTTAGCTTTGCCTAAGGAGAAATGCACCCTGTTTTAAGGTCTTTGACTGGATTAGTTGTGATGGTAAGTGCTCCAATTTTTCCTCTGTTTATTTCTAATCTTCACGCAGATTAGATTGGAAGCACACCAATTTCTATCACATTGGTCTGGTGAAGCAGAATAGTTAAGTATGCTACAATGCAACAAAGGCTATGGATTCCTCCTCTACTATTTGCATTGATCCACCATTCAACTATGGATAAAAGGAAGAAAATTTAACCAATGAAATCAGCAGCCAATTTCAACAACTTCGTAGCTTAGTGTCTTAGAACATAAATTCGATTATTCCAAGCCTAAGAAACAGTGTTCGACAACTGTCTGTAGCTGTTCAAATGCTTGGAATAGGGAGAGGAAGTCTTTTGTGTATTTCAATTGTTGTTTTTGCACTGGGTCGAATATGCCTTATTCATAATCATATCTTTTGGGATTTTGGTTCGTTCATTTTTACTTTCAGAACTGCACAAGACTCCTTATTAGTAGAACTTGCTATCTTTTACTTTCCGAGCTCTTTGCACTTCGAGTTTTTTCCACCTCTTAGAGTTTCTTCATTAAGCGTCTATTTAGACCAGATAAGGATATACTGACCCTTAATTTGTACTGCGGATAACATGTACGAAATTACTCTTGTAACTAGTGAAATTATGAATGATCTGATTCCTACTTGAGTCGCCTCCTTTGTTTTATGGTCGTTCATGGTCAATCTGATTTCACAGTAGGGAATTTGGTTTCCTTTGAAATTGAGAAAAAAATTAAAAAAATATAGTTACCCTTTTAGAATTGGCCGATTTCTCATGGATAAGCTAATTAACGATATGCCATCTGCTTCTACGATAATTGTTGGATGATGGAAGAGTTACATGATCTTGCCAAAGGGAGGGCTGGGAAAGAAGAAAGGAACAACAAGAAGAAAAATTCACCTGTCTTGTTACTGTCATCTGCTGCTGATTGTGTTTGACCATCACTGACTGTTACAACTAAGTGGTGATCAGAGACCACTATCTAAACTAAGTGTTGGGAATCTCACTACATCCTAAAAAACCTGATTTTGAAACTTTTTTCCTTGACACACTCTGTTAGTTGAAATTATTGACATGCTTACTTCTTAAATTATAAATATTTTTTCTTTCTAAACCCGATCTAATTTGTAAGACATGTGACAAATGGCATTTATCGAGTTTCTAACTACTGACACAAACCATAAAAGGATAAAAAATCGGGAAAAATCTCTTCTACTTCTCAATTATATGACAATTGTTAGTTATGTACAATTACCCTTGCCACAGGAAAAGAAACTACATTGGTTAAGCAAACTGACTATGGACGTGAACAAATGGTACACCCAAAATCCTTAGGATAAGATATTTCCTTTGGACTCTGGAGTATTAAGACTCTAGAAAGAAAACAGTTTATAAGATGAGTGGCTGTAAGAACTACTTCTCTCATGAAGAATTTAGGCACGTCGTTTTGGAACAAAGAGGCATGGGTTATCTCAAGGAGGTAAATATTTTTTCTTTCTGCTGCTTCGTTGTGCTGTGCTGTATTGACATACGATGACTCAGGTGCTATCCTTTCATTTTGAAAGTATGTATTTTGGATTTGATTGAAATAGTTCCATGCATTATCTGACCTAAACCTTTTGACATTGACCCTGAATTAATTCTTAATCATGAAACAAAATTTTTGGAGAACAGTGTTGACATCAGATTTCTATTTGAACAGAAAAAAAACCAAGTAATACGAGTACAATCATTAATGAATGATACAAACCATCTAACCCCAGAAATGTTCGGAGGGGCTATTTTCCTACACATGCTACAATATTCTACACATGCTAAAATATTCAAAGAACCATCAGCTGTGGCTATTTTCCTACTGCTTGGGCAAGGAGAGTATGTGGAAAAGACATTTGGTGAGTTGGTCATATGGTTGGTAGCTCCTGAACCCATTATCCATGAGTCAACAAAGGTTGTACCTGAGACATTCACTCCAATAGAGGATGGAAACTCACCTGAATATCCTACACCTGCTAATGAACGATCTCACTCTCTTGACCTCTTCTTGGTTGATTCCACTTGACTCCTTTGGTGCTGCGTCATTTTGCTGTACTGTTATGGCATGTGCTCGACATTGTTCATTGGGTTCTCTCTTTTCCGTCCTCATTCTTAACGCAGAGGTTTCTCACAGATCTTCCAACATCATTCACGAGTATGGTGTGGCTTCTTACACTAAGTGTACCATAGACTACCCATACGGTCACTCTCTGGAACTTATGCTCTCTCCATGTTTGTGGCTGAGTTATTGCTACCTCTAGCCACCATAGCTGAGCTGTACATTGTGGCTCAAGTATCAAGCCTCTTCTGCTTTCCCCTCCTCAAATCAGTGCTGCTACAAAATTAAAGCATGAAACCTCCTCAATGCCCAGAATCTGAATTCTCACTTCATCAAACTCTGGATTAAGCCCAATGGGAAAATCATAAAAGTCCTGGTCAATGAAATCCTTCAGAATAGCTGTATCCTCAGAAAATTTGGTTTTAATTGACCTATAATGGTCAAGCTCTTGCCAAAAAGCTTTCCACTGATTAGCATATTCCAAAACTGTTTTCTCTGTTTTTGTAGCAATTGTCTTCACCTTAACTTCATATACTTGAGCTGCGCCACTAGTGTTGGAATAAGTCTGTTTAATTATATCCCAGATGTCTTTGGGTATAGCCAAGGGCGTACGCATGTTGCTAACCTCTCTAGTGTTGGAATCATTTCCATCCCATGCCTCAAACTGAGTATCCGCTGTTTTTTTCCCAGTATCTGTGTAATGGCTGATCTTTCCTTTCCCTTTCAGCACAGTGCAAACAAGTTGGAACCACTTCAGTTAATTTTTCCCATCCAGCCTATATGTAGGCTGAATATTCTGCAACTCTTTGGATTGTTGAAACCGTTCACAAGGATGGAAAATTAAATAATGTATATTTTCACTGTTCACAAGGATTAATCAATAAGCATGTGCCCCCTATTGATCATGTTTCTCTTCTACACAAATTATCATTTACTTTTCTGTTCCAATGTTACATATAATGCAAGTATCTTTGTCGACCGTCATCATTGTACATATGTACTTGTATATCTATTGATATAATAAATCAATGAAGACAAATGAGAATTTCCGTTTTCTAGTGAGTAACATTTGTCTAATTACATAGATAATATGAAATTCTCGCTATATGGCTATATGTAACTGCCATCAATTTAGTGGTATATGGTAATTTGGAAATTGTTTTTGATGATTCTTAATTTGAGGATAAAACCGATCATTTTATTGGTTTTTGAATCATCTTTCAACTTTTCAACTTTTCTATAAATTTCGAAGAACTCTTGGGGTCATCTCAGTTTACTTTCTTAATTTTGTTGTCTTGTCCTCCTTTCCTCCTATATTGGTTCCCTCTCCTTCATCTGTTTGGTGGTTGTGCAAAGTTGATCAGAGTGGGGGAGGTGGCAGCTTCTTGTCTTTTTTTTTCTTTATTATAGCTCATATTGGCTTGGATTTGCATTTTCGCTGCTACAATGGAGATCAGAATTAAAAGAAACTACCTTGGGGGAGTGGAGATGGTAGAGGTATGGAGGTTAGCCTTAGCTTGGGCCAAGATTCCAGCCATCTCAACTATTTTCATTTTCAGAGAGAGGTTTAACAGAAAATGACTTTTTTGGAAGACTGGTTGATTGGCCCAAATAGATCTGTTTGAGAAGGATTTGGTGATTACTAGCTATGTTTTCAGCAGAATTTACAATTTTAGTGGAATCTATGCGATTTTGTTGTATAGGAAATACCTGGGATTTTTGGAAATATTTCATTTCTTATCATTTTGATGTTCCATCATTCTGTTTCCTGTTTTGGAGACGACTTACTATTTTTGGTGGATTACATACAGCTGGGGTGGCCCTCTATCACAAAATTGGCTTGATTCACAGTTGTATCTACAAAAGTCCGTACTGTCACGAATGAGAGATCTTGGAATGACCCCAGGTATTATACAAGAAACTATGAAAAGTCCATACTTCTCTTGTAGATTGTTGTGTTCTACATTTGCTCATTGGTAGGTATGATTGTCTTTCATTATCTACCATTAGAGGCTCGGGATTGTTGTGTGACCATTGATGCTATTAGTTTTTTCATGGGAGTTTCTTCTCAACCAATCATTCTTTGATTTCTGTATGCTTTCATTATTATTCTTCCTTGTTTTTTTCTTTAAAATCAAGAGGTGGAAGTCAACTTTCTCAAAATCTTTGTGACGATTGCATCAGATAGCTTCCAGATTGTTACACATTGCTTGTGTTATCTAGTCGTAGAGGTTTGTTGGTGGTAATTAGGCAAATATGGAGTAATTCCTGTAAACTGGCTATTGGTGAAGGATTATGTGGAGCTTAACGTTTTCCATAGTTTCTTGTATAAAGTTGTTAGAACCACATCCATTTCCAGCTCATTCAGATTCGAGTTTAGTGTCTGGTTATGTCACATGGACAATTGGATGCAGTTTCTGTTGAATATGTGGTCTATATGTTTATGATGTCTCCAAATGGTCCAATAACTTTTTGCTTTTCATGGAACACGATTTTTGAGAACCATTTCCAGGAGCTGCATTTACTAGAAATAAAAATCGGTGATGGTCATACCTATATGCAAATATATGCATCCAAATGTATTCTCTTTTTATTAAAATAAATTTTATCATGAGCTTTTAGGGTTATGACTAGGCTTACATTGAATTCATAGAAGGAGCATGTCACAGACGATAGGACATTGATGAGGACATAAATCAATGCATGTCAAGATGAAAGAGGGGAGAGAGAGAGACGCTTGATGCTTTGTGGTTGAAATCACTGATGCTGCTGTTTTCTGTTTTCTTTCTTGTGAATTTTGATTCTCGCGCTGCCTGATCTTCAAACTTTTGTCTATGTTCGTTAACAGACTTAGCCTGATGACTTTTTATTAGTTGACTCGAATATCATTTCAAATAGTCCAAATAATTGAGACCTTTGAGATATATGCTAGGCTCATTGTTTGAATTCAGATAATTTATATTGGTATACCCCCTAATTTTGGTATATCCTTTGATTACTTCCTGTGGAAGAGTATTTAAATTGTTAATTTAACCAAAATGAAAATGAGAAAAGATGAGTCAGCTTAGGTTTATTAACTTATATTTTTATGAATTTTGTTAAACTCTGGAGCAATGCAAATACATGATAATACCGATGCTTATTTTATATTGTTGATAGAAGTGGAGAAGAAGAGATAGAGTTTGATGTGCCAGAGCCATTGGAAACTGAGATGGAGCTCATTGAGTGGTGTTTTGTAGCTGATAAATGGTAAGTGGGTCTGCCCTTTAATGGAATGTCGGTTCCAACCATTAGATCGTTTTAAATTTATTACGTGGTATGCTAAAGTCCATTGTGGAGGTACTAAGAGATCATCAAGTGGATAATGATTTGATTAGAGCATATTAGATAGAGTGAGCTTCAGTGCACCAAGTGTACAGTGGGTTAGAACCCATTTGATGGAGATTCGTTGTGGAGATTAATTGGAAGGTGGGTTGGAGCTGATCAAATGGAAAGTGTCCTAGAGGCCATTAGATAGTGTATTTGAATTCACAGGATTTGCGGGTTGGAACCTGTAATGTTTTCCATGGAGAGGAACTGAGTAAAAAGCCTGAGTGTTCTGTGCTGCTACAAGTTCTCTCTATTTTCACTAGTAGCCTATCCCAAGGTACGAGGTAAAAGGGGTGAAATGCATATTCACCAGGTTGACGTGGAGTGTGGGAAAAAACGTATTATTAAGAGTTAGTTTCCTAGGTTAGTTGGGCTGTTGGTCAGTTTCCTAGTTTGGTTGAGTATCCCATAAATCGTAGGATTTAACCTAGGTAGTTTTCCTTTTTTGGGGCTTGGGTAATTGTATCTAACTGGGCATTGTTCTATGAATTGACAAGACAGAAAAATTTCCCGACTGTTTATCCTGGTTTGGTTTGCATCAGTATGTGTAGTTTTGTCTCTCTTTTTCAATTGCTTACCAGAGGTTGTCGGCACTTTTTACTCCTAACAATGGTAATCACTAATGAGACATTTCTGGGAACTGGATTCTATTGAGGTAAATGATCTACAGATCTATGGAGTCAACACATTGTTCTCCTAACAGAATTAAGTGAAACACCCTGGTAACTGATGTCTTCGGGGAATGTTTTAGGAGAAGGAAATTTCTAGTCAACATATGGATACTGTAGACATCATAATTTGTCTAATCATATCAGTAAAGGAATAAGTTGTTGTGACTATTGCGGGACTTTCTCTTCTGTGTCCTGTTTTTCAGAACCTTCAAACAAACCTCAATTTATTAGCTTAACTAATCAATATTTTAGAATTGGCAACATGCTAAATCTTTGGAGTCACTTCTCTTATTTTCCGCAGGTGTGTAGTGTAAGTAGGTTGAAAGGGAAAACTCTACCAAACTGTGCACCATTTTTTATTCAGTACCCAAGTAATTTAAACAATTAAAAAAATTATGTGTTACGAACCTCCAGAGATTCGGGCGAATGCACGCCCTAATCCTACGTTAGAAGTGGCTCCTCTCGCCGAACTAATAATTCTCTTCTATTAGAGAACCAGATGGAAGAATTAACAATGGAAAATAGAAAGAACAAGTAGAAGGTTCGGAGACAATAGGAAGTGTTTCTGAGGTTGGATCGACCCTCAGGAACAGGAGAGCCTGAATTGGACTCTCATTTTATTTAGGGCCTTCTCTATATTTATAGGTCCTAGTACATTATTCTACAGTGGTCCCCTTCAACGTAGGGGTCTAGGTCATCTTTTGAAGATGATGGATGCCTTCGTAACATTATGTTTTATCCATATTAGTGGTGGCATGCGCTAAAAAAACGATAAACATGAAAATGGTCAATACTGTGAAAAGATATACCTGTTGTTTTTTAAATTTGCATTACTATTCTCTCCATTCATTGCTATCCTTTGGATGGTGATGTGGTTGGCCATTGGTGTAAGTTCCTTTATTACGTGAATGGGTACTAGAAACTGTTTATTTCTCCCATTTTTTGTGTGTGCGGTCAATGGTTCCCCATTTATTGTGTCTATTTCGACGGTACAAAAAAGGTAATTCGCTGAGGAGTTTCCTTCAGTACTATGATTCTTGTCATGAAAGTTAGTTTTGAATCCCTCTTTCTTCTTTATACTATGAATTTCTATTTTTTTTACTCATGTACATTCATTCCTTTCCTCCAGTGCTACCTGCATTCTCTGGGAATGTTCCAGCTGCACTTGGAAAGATATTTCCGTCAGCAAATATAACTAGACTTGGAAATTGGTATGATCCCTTTTTGAGATAATTTATCCATTGCATTTTTCTGTCCCCAAAGAAAGAAGTTACTAAAAGAATGATGTTTTTGTCTTATTTTATGGTGATTAAAGTTAAATCTGCGTTTCTTTTTAACATTTATGGTTTAAACACTATATTACTGTGGGAAAGAGCACAAATTAGGAGTTCGGTTCTTAGTTGAAATGCTTCCTAGTTTGTCAGTTTTCTAGTTGTTAGGTAGCTTAACAGGGATCATTGTACATCGTGAATAACCAAATTCCAATTGAAGTGAAATCTTTAGGAGGAATCAATGAAACCCTGTTTTGTGGCCCTGGTACTTGTATATAACAGTCACCTATGATCTGAATACGAGTTGATTTTTTCCTCTGCATATCCTCCTTGTGTTTGGGCCATTCTTCATGACAATTATCATTGTGCTTTGATATTATACATGCCCTAATAACAAATATCATGTTTGAGTTGTGGAAAATGTTTCTTGTGATTAGATGGTTCCAGTTGTAAAGTCTAAATTTTTTTGAGCCTATCTTGGGAGGCTTCCCCACCATTTTGTGATGGTCGCTACTGATCTATGATGACAGTTTGCGCCAACTGATCTGCATACATAAGTGACAATTCATTTGCTTTCATTGAAGGATTAAGAAATTTTCCCATGCGCTTTAATGCCACTCTAGATCCCTTTGTCTAAGTTGAATATTGGAAACCTGTTTTTTTTTCTTTAAGAATGAATAAATGTAAACATATACATGTACATTTTTTTTATGCTATGGTACTAGTTCTTTTATATTTTCTCCCTTGCACTCATGACTGCCTTGCTACATAGATTGGAAGAAAGTCAAAACTCATGTGGAATGGTGTTGTGGGAATTTTCTCATATTTTTTAATTGTCAGTTTGTGTTGTAGAAAAAAAAAAGGGAAAAACCAGACTGCTTTATCTGACCTAAGTTATTTGTAAGGGCATTTGTTGATGAGTTTTAAAATTTCGTATAAAAGCATTCTGCTGCCTTTGTTTTCCATCAGAAAACTTGGTCGATTATAGTAGTTCTAGCTTTTCTTTTGACTTGCTTTCTCATCTAGCTTCTGACAGGAATATGTTACGAACCTCTTGAGATTTGGGCGAATCTATGCCTTAATCTTACCTTAGATGTGGTTCCACTCAGGAAATCAACTCTTCTATAGTATAGAAGAACCAGATTGAACAATTGAAAATGTAAATTGGAAAGACAATAGAGGTTCGCAGACAGTAGGGTGAGTTCCTGAGGTCGAATTGATCCTTAGGAATAGGAGATCCCTAATCGGACCTCCCCAAGGACAGATCTCCCCTTCCACTCTCTGTTTTCTCCTCTTTTTCTTATTTCGGCCTCTTCTATATTTATAGGCCCCAGTACATTATTCTGTCGTGGTCCGCCCTCAACGTGGGGGTCTAGGTTGTCATGTGTAGATGGCGGTTGACTTCGTAACATTACTTCCCCCCATGGGTTTCACCTTGTCCACAAGGTGAGATGTAGGAAATTGTTGAAGGAATGTTGATACTATCATCCATGACGATTCAAACTCTAGAAAATGTTTCCATGAAACTAATATCTCTGTGCCTTGAGGAGTCGACCTATGAGCTTTTATTCCATCTGGAATTAGTATCCATTCCTGATCTTTTGATAGTGTCGGGGGAATTGGTTGGCTCCTACAGTCTGTTCTGAGTGTCTTCCTAAGTTGGGATATATGGAACACCAGATGAACAGTTGAATGGTCTGACAATTGGAGTTTAAATGTCACTGGTCCAATTCTTTCCATAATAGGATACGGATCAGGTCCCTACCATATACCACTGGAAAATGAGTAATTTTAATGGAAGAATGATAGGAAGTATTGTAACTATGTTCTGTCCAATGAAGCCATAATTTCTACTATTTCGGTTTATCAAATGTCGCACATCTCAAGTAATTTTATAAGCATCTATTGACTACTTCAATCTGTCCATCTGTTTGAGGGTGGTAAGAAGACCTGAATTTGAGTTTAGTCCCCTGTAGTGTGTGTAGCTCACACTAAATGCACTTAAGAATACTCATCTCCTATTGGAGACCACTGTCTTTGGAAACCCATGGAGCCTTACGATTTCCTTAATGAATAATTGAGCGACCTCCTTGGCTGAGAATGGATGATGTAGGGCAATGAAATGACTATACTTGCTTAATCTATCCACTACTACTAATATGACATTCGACCCATATGATTTGGGTAAACTTTCAATAAAATCCATTGAAAGGTCTTCCCATATTTAGGTAGGTATAGGCAATGGCTGCAGAAGTCCTGTTGACGATAGTGAAGAAGATTTATATTGTAAGCAAGTAGGACAATTGTTGATGCCTTTATATCTCTCTTCATTCCTTGCCAATAGAACTGTTGCGAAATTCTATGGTATGCCTTCTGAAACCCAACATGACCTTCCACCGGGCTGTCATGAAATAATTGTAACTCTCTAGTAACTAAAGAGGAATGTGTTGGAAGAACCAACCCTTTCTGTATATAGCAGGGATCCATCTTTCAGATCATATAATTCGTTAGATGTATCTCCTTAAGATAAAGAGGTTTTAATCTTTGTAAGCCTAGTGTCTTGGTCCACTGCTGCTCAGACAGCTTCGAGATAAATAGAGTATTGTGCTATTGCCTCATTTACTTCATCTTATAGTAACAACGGACATTGGGGTATTGCATCTGCAACCTTATTGTTCTTCCCTTATATTTAATTTCAAAACAATAGCCCATCACTTTCACCAGCCATTTATGATATTCAGCATGGATTTCCTTCAGTTCAAGTAAGAATTTAAGATTGTATTGGTCTATTTTGATGATAAAATGCTGACACATAAGATAATGTTTCCATTTCCTTACTGCCAACACTATGGCCATCAACTCTTGCTCATAGGCCGATTTTAATTTGGCTCTTATTATAAGTGCTTGACTGAAATAAGCTATTGGGCACCCTTGTTGCATGAGAATGATCCAAAAGCATTGGTTTCCACAATAAATTCTTGTAAAAAATTTTTTGATGTTAATACTGAAGCCATAGTCATTGCTTGTTTAAGGCTAGAAAAAGCGGCTTGTGCTTCTCCTGACCAATTGAATGCATCCTTTCTTAACAATTCCGTTAGTGGCCATGCAATTGAAGCATAGTTGGCAATAAATTTTCTATAATATCCAATGAGCCCTAGGAAGTCACGGAGTTCATTAAGATTTCTAGGAATCGGCCAATTAGTCATGGCAGATATCTTCTCCTTATCAACTTCTACTCCTTCCGCCTTCCTCATATGATGCAGATGTTTGTTAGTTGTGACGCTGTACACAAGTATATCATCAAAAAAAATCAATACGAATCACCTCAATCGATGTTGAAATATTTGGTTCATAAGTGATTGAAAGGTTGCCGCTGCATTTGATAATCCAAAAGGCGTGACTTTAAATTCATAATGGCTGTGATGAGTCTTGAATGCAGTCTTAGGTACATCTTTCTTTTTCATTTTGATCTAATAATATCCTGATTTTAAATCAAATTTTTTAAAAACTGATTTCTCATATAATTCATTTAGTAACTCATCTACAACTGGAATGAGGTATCAATCAAGAACTATAGTTCGGTTCAACACTCTATAATCTATACAAAACCTCCATCCACCATCTTTTTTTTTGACTAATAATGCAGGGCTGGCATAAGGACTGTGTGAAGGTTGTATGACCTCTATTGATATGAGTTCTTAGATTAATATCTCAATCTCGTTCTTCTGGAAATGAGGGTATTTGTAAGGCCTCAAGTTAATAGGTTTTGTTCCTGATAATAGATGAATGGCATGGTCAACAGGCCGTTGGGGTGGCATTTCTGTTAATACTTCAAAAACCTTAGGAAATTCTTGTTTCAGGCTGATTTCTAAATCATTAGGTGCATTAGGGTCTCTATTTGAGTGAATATGATGCAATTCCACCATGTATGTTTTGTTGCTCTTAAGTTCCTTCTCTGCTCTTCTTGGTGACATACTGATTTTTATAATACTAGGGTCCCTTTTGAAAATGTGAATTTTGCCTCCCATCATGAATCTCATTATGAACTTCTCATAGTTGAAAAGGATCCACCACCCTAAAGTTCTCAACTACTGCATCCTTAGGATCATATCCGTGCCACTTAATTATAGTGGTAAGAAATCTTGTACTATCAAAACACCTTGTGCATGGAGAGGAATGGCCTTGCAAATTGCTGCACCTGCCACTGTGCTGCCGTTGGAAACTGTTTGTGCTGTAGCCACTGTGTAATTCCTATGGTCAAAGTCTAGTGGTTCTAGCCTTTCTTTTGACTTGCTTTCTCATCTGGTTTCTGACAGGAATACCATTAGTGGAGATCCTCGTTGGTGTTGCACATATCTTCTTGATCCATCTGACCCCTTGTTTATTAAAATAGGGGAAGCATTTATCAAGCAACAAATGAAAGGTGTTTCTTTATAATATTCTTCTAATTTCAATTTAGTATGAAATGCATGACAGGTTGCTGTGCTAGCTTATACATTGCTTTTTGATGTTATACATATTTGGCATAAGATTTGTGTGAAAACTAATAGGAAAGGTTTTGCACAAAAATCCCTGATGTTGGAATATCATTGATTTTACAACGTACATATAGCTGTGGTATGTTTTTGCTTATTTTCCTGAGTATCATCGATGTAAATGATTAAGAAAAAGATATCTGGATTTGCATCATATAATCATTGGTAGAAAATTCAAACGCTTAACACTGGAAATTTCTTTTAAGTTAGTAAAATTAACTGAATTTGGCTGAGAAATTTTGCATGCTGACATGTCACCATTGGGTTACATTAAGATGTTAATTTACATTTGATTTATCTTTATTTAAGTCACCTCCAGTCACTTTTTGTGTTTATTTTTCATGGCATTGATCTGCTTTACCCAGGTATTTAGGATTTACTAGACTTTGACCATAGGAATTACATAAGGTACACCAAACCTTTCTGGATAATATTATCTTGATCTATATTTTTTATCTTGGTATAGATATGCATTTTGCAATCTGTGAACACATTCGAAATCGTCGTGAAGATATAGTTTCACTTTGAACTTGATGAAAGCTTTTCATGCGATGTAACTTTTCTTGGATTTTATGGGGAAAATTCTCTGGTCCGCAGAGTCAGATAGCAGTCATGTTGTCTGCGGAATACATTCTGAGAGATAAGGGAAGTTGTCCAGGGAGTGATTTAGGGGGGTAGCATCTTTACCTTTCATTAATTTTTGAATTTATTCAAAAGTTCAGAAGAATTTGATCTGGTATTAGTTGCTCATAATATAGTATAATGTCTCTGCAAAGCATGTTCTGGAGAAGTGTGAAAATAATGTCTTTTACACTGTTGAATGTAAAGCCTTCATCAACCTTGACAAAATCTGAGTGAAAAAACTATACAGTGATGATTTCAATAATAGATTCTGTCACTAGTGTTTCCTAGTCAGGTATGGGGGGATCAACTCAGAATCCTGAGCTTAATGAACTACTGCATAAATTCAGCAAGCCAATTTTTACTAGACGGGATATTTTAGAAAACAAAGACTGAATTTTTTTTCTGTGGAAATGTAGCTAGAGAGCTTAGGATTATAGGTTGCTGTCTATTACAAGAGGCTTTGTGTTATTTTTCACTCATTCTTCCAATATCCTAATCTTCTATTTATTTTTATAAATCGTGTTATAGTTACTTTTAAGTTTTTTATTAATCTAAGCATCAAAATACTTTCTTAATGAAAAGAGCAAACATGGTAACCTAGTTGGTGAAAGTTGTCAGAAGAAAATTATGGGCGAGCTAATGAATTATGAAATAGTTAATCGTGATTAAGCAACTTAGAAATAATGATGTAGAAACCTCTCTTATCTTTTGGATCGTTTCTTGTATTTTTTCTTGTGATAATGGATAACCAATTATTCGTGGCCCAACTTGGTTCTGGGTAAATTGCTCCTGAGTTGGTGGGATAATAAACGGTAAAGACCCCGGATTTGAAGAGGCTTTTCTCAGATAGATATGTGACACACTCATACATTAATAATGAATTAAAACTTGTAAGAGTTGACCCTGATATGCACGACAGAAGTGGATTTCCATAATGGTAGACATGGAGGTACAGGTTGTTCTCCGAAAAATGTGAATCATGTTTTACTTGGGCTTTATAACCTCTAGATCAGGTGTTGAAACCTAGAGAACAAAACTGCACAAGAACCAGGTCAACACCAAGTGAAGAAAAGTGAAAACTTTATGGAAAAGTGTTGGCTTCCCTGACAGACCATAAAAGAAAAATATATGGAACAACACCCACGTACCAAAGGTTGACATCTAAATTTAGTGGATGGTCTTTAGGGGTTGACCCCTGAGCCTTACGAGTTAACACATTTAGTTTTGTAGTGTCATTTTCCCAAAATAAGAACTTGAAAGAGTTATTTATCAAACTTTTGTAAGCCGTTGAAGGAGCAAGCGTCTGAACAACTATTCCAAGATCTTTAGCTGTAAAGTACCAAGAAGAAAGAGAGATTCTCAAGGGTTTACAATCCAAGATCTCTGACCTTAGAAGTATTTTCAGTTTACAAAGCTCTTAAGTGCATCTGACATTCTTATGACTTGTCCCAGGCCGTCAAGTATCCTCAAATGTGCTTGGAGACTTGTACTCATGATTCCTATTGAATTTTGGTATGAGCCTGTTGAGCAGGGCGTGAAAATTAGGGTAACAGGTTTAAAATAGAACTCTGTTGGATAATGTTTCATTTCTCTTGTTTAGGGAAAACCCAGTGGGCATACCTTAGGGAAGGCTCATGGACAACTGAACTGGGTCCAATTTCGTGGTTTGTGCTTTTATGTTACATTGTATTCACTTTTAGCCCTATTGTTCTTCTACCCAAATTAAAGTTCTATCAACTTGAATGCTCATAAAGTAATTTCGGCTATAAAGATCTTCAGTTTCATATTCCCAGGAAAAAAAAAATTAACAGTACGATTTCTTGATTATTATCGCCTAAAATTGTCATATCATGAACATAGTTGATGAGAAGGCTAAGTTTTTCGTATTAATACTTTAGAAATTAGGTCTAATTCTATTTACTTTCTTACAAATGAACGTGAACATGGTTTTTATTAAGGATATTTGAATTATAGGTCTTCTTGAATTGACAAACTTTAGAGGCACTGCATACATCGAAGAGGATATAACTTGTAAACTTTATTTTGAAGGGTCCCAGTTTAAGTCGTCATTTTTTACATCATGTTGTTGGAGAATCAAGTTAAAAAAAAAAAACTTTAGATACATTTCAGTTTGATCACAATTGTACAGGCCTCTTGACAGCTAAGGCATTAAATTTGTGTAAATACGTTTGCTAGAGATCATGCCTAAAACCCTTGATAATTCCATTTACTTGATAGTTGACTGTGAGCAGTCACTTGGAGCTAATAGACTTCTGTCTGTAAAGATGTAACAAAAGTTCCCAAGTATCATTAGTATAAGCTCATGCAGAATGTTTTCAGTTTAAGAAAAATATATACTTGTCCCTCATATATTCTTTTGTTATTAATCTGCTGTCAATATTCCTTTTGCCTATTTTTCATAACACATGAATAACATAATGAAATTGCTTTTCTTGTTAGACTTAACCAGAAAAATTCTGCTATAATTACTTTAGTCATCAATAAAACTCGTTAGCTCTAAGCAGTAACTATATCAACAAAAATGGGGAAATGTATCATACGCAAGGGATTCATGGTGGTTGGATCAGAACCCAAATGTACTCCACTCTTAAGCTCCCTTTGGAATTTTGATACGATCCCACAAGTAAAACTCTTGATTTCAAAGGGAGAAACAAGGAAAAACAGGAAACAACTGAAAAGCAGACTTAAGGGAGGAAATAGATCCCAAGGGAATCCAGCCTCCGCCTGGGGAGATGGTTTGAGAGGTCTACCTCCTCTCCTTTTATGACTCACCAAAGAAGGCTGGTCCTTACAAATTCGGGGAAACCCTAATATCCCCATTTTCAAAATTTAGACCAATTTACCCTCCTGAAAACTCTACTTCTTGTGGGCTTTTTGGGGTTTTCTTCCCCCTCTGGCTGTAGGTTAATACTGGGGTTATAACAAATTTCAACTAGGTAACATTACTTAGATTTTAGCCTCTTGAAGGAACCTTTTGTTGCAGCCTATCTATCAAATTCCCAGGAATTGATGAAAGATTGGCTGGTCCTAATTCTTAGAGGGAGCAACTACTGCTATCAACAGGTCCAACACGTCTTTGACTGTTGATGAACTGATGTGCTTTAGACACCCAACTATTGCTGTTGTATTTTCTGTCATTTGACAAATCAAGCTCATTGATGAGCTTTAGCGACCCATAGCCTCTTCTAGGGAAAGTTGTATGCTATCATTGGTCCAACATAATAAAAAAGCACTGTAAAACATTTTTTCGCTCTTTATTCATCTCGAAGTTTGTATTTTTAAGGTAAAATGTTTGAACAATATTAGCATTATGATAGACGTTTAAGATTGTTGAAAAGTAGTTCTTACAGTAGTAGCACTCTCTCTCAAATTCACCATTCCACCTTATTTCTATTCTTTGTTTACAAAATTGAAATTTCTGCTGAGTGGCTATGAAGATTTTTTTTTTCGGAGATCTCAGCATTTGGACTAAACCGTGTGTTGAATTTTCTCAATCATGATGAATTTCAGAGTATGGAGACATAACGGACATATACAACTGGTAAGTTATTTGTCTAATGTGTTGTTTTATTTTGTTACCAATGGCATAACTGAGTGATATCTGCTTGCATGTTAGTACTCAACCCATCATAATATAGCTGTGACCAAGCACGATCAACGCAGTGAACCTTGTTTATTTATGTGCTTTATGCATGTACTTTCTCCCATCTTTTAGTCAGTAATCATATTGTTTTAATTTGTGGTTTCTTCATTATAGAATTAAATATTCATCATTTTGTACTTGTCTAAATAAAATTTGCATCAAAATGTATTAGAAGACTACAATTAGTTAGGATAAATAACTAACACACTTTCTAATGGTGATAATGGCCAGTGATACATTCAATGAAAATTCTCCTCCCTCAAACGACCCAGCATACATCACCACCCTTGGAGCTTCTGTCTATGCCGCAATGTCCAAAGCTAATAAGAATGCAATATGGTTAATGCAGGTATCTTCTACATTCTTGTTTTTCAGGCTTCATTCTTTCTTTGTTGCACTTTGAGCATGTACCAATCTCCCATATATAACATTGTGATTCAGGCAAATACTTAGTGCCATCTATAAATGAGGATCATTTCTAGTATCCATCTAGACTGATTAACAGAGAAGAATATATAAATGAATGGATCAGCAATATATGATTGACAATGGCTGGAATTTCTCCCCTGTATGTCAGCTCTTGCTACCTTAATCGGTATTTGTCACTAGAAGTGAAATTTGGCCTCCACCTTCTCTATTTTTGTTGGTGTCTTTGGCAACCATCAATACTGATATGTCAAATGAGAATGAAGCTGGACTCTGTCTCGTTGTCTCTCTCATTGCTCCAGATACGCTTCGAATATCCTAACATCTTCCTATTTTCACTAGGAGCTCATGTTATGTTCTCATTCTTGACAGGTTCTTTGTACTCCAGTCCTTTTGTTTGAGTCTCTTTCTTTTCAAAGAAGGGCTGGAAATATTTGGTGAGGTGAGGATTTGACAGTGTGGCACAGAATCGTGCATCAGTTTTGACACATTGGGAGATCTTATGGTCTAAAACCCGTGTGTCCTCTTTAGCCTAAAAATGACCATTAGGTCAAATAAAGTTTATCCAGTTCTGTTTCAGTCCATTTGTTCTCATTTTCTTTATCATGGAGGTTTAGGACATATTTTTGATAAGCACTAAGTACGACCCAGTCTTAGTTCATTCATTTCTGTTTTCTGTTTCAGTTTTATGTGTAGAACAGTCAACGGCATAGAGTTCCAACCTTGGATTTGGATTCGGCATTGGCAATTCTGATCGAATTGGTGGATCTTTAGTATAGTAGGTTAATTCCAAAAGAAAAGGTTCTATCTGATTAGCTGATGTATCTGATCGAATTGAGTGGGCAGTTGACTCCGGAAAAATTATATAAACTAACTATCACAAAATTGAAAGATATTAATAAGAAATCTTAAATTATATAATCATAATCTATATTTTCAGAAAGATTGCCTCCTTTTTGGACCTTCCCACTGAACTTTCAAAACACCTATTTTCATGCTTTTAGATTGCCTTTTCATTCTCGTGGTTCCTCTCTTTTCTTTTGTTGATGATCATGTCTTCCGTTAATGTTCCTTTGCCAATTTCAGCTCCCCAATTCAATATTTTTTTATTATTTTCTTTTTGTTTTGACCTCTTTTTCTTTGGAGTCTTCTCCACTGTACATGGTGGGCAGAATCGGAAGACTGAAGAGCTTACAAATCAAATGCTTTGGGATAGGACTGATTAGTTCACAAGGGGTAGGAAATTATGTCCCTTACAGTTTTTATAAGTTGCATCATGTAAAGCAGGAAGACTAAATCGATTTTAATCAAGGCGCATCTCAGATTTGAACTTATTGAAGTCGAGGTGGATGAAAAGAGATATATTTATGGATCGCTCCTCCTACCTCATTGTTACCTTTTGAAAGTGAGGATCTTTGGTAGTCATTTCCTCTCACTCAGAAAGAAGAGGAAATGTGATTAATTCGTCTTCTGTCTTCTGATGGCCAACAAGTTTTATTGCGCTTGGAAATGGTGATGTCCTTGTTGGCAAAGGTGGAGCAATTGGAATCAGCCAAAGTTTCCTTACAACGTGAAGGGGAGACAGACCATCAACCAATTCTTTGTGGTGTCTGTGGCCAGACATGTCACAGTTGCACAAGAGGGCGGATGTAGTGGTGGCACCTGAAATGCATGCATCAATTTAGGTAACATGGGATGATATAGTTTAGAATATTTTGGAGACTCTCATTCTATCAAGTTGATTGGATGTGATTGAATGCCAGACAATGTATAGGCAATAGAAGTTAAGGTGTATCCTGATTTTTGGTTACATACTTTGAGATTGATGTACTCCAATGAACAAGAGTGGAGTGCTGACCATTGGGAATTTTTGCCTCCTTTCTTTCCCTCTGTTTGAATAAGAATCATTGCATAACCTTAATGTTTTGATGTATTGCTGTTGTATGAGCAACCATTCTCAAAGGGATCTCTGTGTACTTCAAACTATGTTTTCATATTCATATGCATATGGTGTGTTTTTGTTCCATAAATTACTTTGTTGTTCCAACCATAAAATTCTTAGTTCCCTCCATGATATTCTCTCCAAACCTGTTCTGTGAGTAAGGTCTCTTAATTGTCCAGGTCCTATCCTCCTGATTCTTACTTGAGGGCCTTGTAAAAGTTAAAGCACCATGTTGCCTATTCCTCTCTCAGTTTTGCTCGTCAAGAACTTTAATCTTTGTTGACTTTTCTCCTTAGTCGGTGAAAGTACTCATGCTAGATGCTCTTTTTTCTTCTAATTTAATATGTACACTTAGCCTTCCGTGTATATTTATTCTAAGATTACTATATCACAATGATCAGAAAAGGATATCGCGTGAATCGTTTTTTATGCGCAGGGTTGGCTCTTTTCATCTGATGCTGCATTTTGGAGGCCACAGCAAATGAGAGTATGTCACAGTACCTCCTTAATAGGAAACTGTGTATTAATCATTTACATATTAAATGAAGCCCAACTATTTGCGTTGTGCAGTCAATAAGAATTTTCGTTACATGTAGCCAAGCTTTCTTTGTAATGGCTAGATTCCTCTGATTATCAATGGCTCTATTCTCATTAAATACAACCGTGCCATTATTGCTGTATAATTGTGAAACCATTTTTCTTATGTATGGGGACATTACTAAGTCAATGAGTCTTTATGGTGAAAATAATTTATGCCAAATAGAATAGTGGTACACAGACTATATTTTCTTGGCTAGATGTTTTTCTATGAGGGCTTCATTGATCATTTTGGTGACAAATGACTTCTCTTGAATGTAGACCACCAGAGGACAGGACAACATTAAGAGACTTCTTAAACAATCATTTTTCATGCTTGACTATTTTCTTCTTTATCAACTCTTTGATTCACCAATAAACAGTTTTTCCTTTTATTTATTCAGTTTTAACGTCACTAATGTTTCACAAAAAATTCTTCAATCTGTGCATCATAAAAAATGTCGTGCCCTGGTCCTTGGGAGATATGTTACATGATGAAATTGCGCTTGCGTCTCAACAAAGTGTCTGATGATTACCATGATACCGGTTTTTTGTCATCTTTCTAATGTAAGGGAGTAACAGACCTTCGAATTGAAATAAGCAAATGTGATGAGAGAAGTTGGAATGTAAAAGAAGCAGGTAAAAATTTTCGTTATCTTGATGTTTCTGCCTTCATCTGCCTGTTACGAAGTACATTGAACTCTTCATTTAGAGTCAACTAGTATTTCATCTCCATTCATTGCCCCCTATGGTTTTGCATTCAGAATGTTCAACATCAGCCAATGCAAGTTTTGAATGATTTTCGTCTAACCCATCTCTCCTTTTGCCCGTCTATGGAACACATAAAACTATTGTTGCCCCCTGTATTATAAAAATACAACAGGGAGGAGGTTTTCATTCCTCCTCTCCCTTGTGGTTATTCTTCTGCTGCTTTCTTAATATTCATCCACTGTAGATGGTAGTTGTCTCTTTGCCATCCTTTCACGTCTTGGATCTCTATTTTAGCAATGTATGTAGTGAGGGGGCTCAATGCACCATTAGTTGAGTTAAGATGGTTCAACTTCATATGTCAGGTTTTATGGTCATTCTGTTTCCCAAATTATAACTGGGCAGCGGCTCTTCAGCAATCGATTCTATGTTTTTGCCCAAAAACAGTTAACTGTCAAAACTACAACTTTTAAACTTCATCAAGACTTGTGACCGATTTCAAGTCATTTATCATAAAATAATATAAAATAAGTTTAAGATACATATGAACTCACTTCTCTGTTGTGTAGGACCCTCCATAATCGTAATATGATATTATAAACAGGAATTTCTGAGTTTATCAATGACTTGTAAAGAGCCTTTGGAAGCCTGTAGAAGTGTTTTTGTACTATAATTGAAATGAGACTTCTAAGTAATACTATTGTATGGTGTATCAATGAAATCTGGCAAAGATGAAAGTTGAATCCTGGATAGGAGTCATGCAACTAGAGGGGTAGAAATGAGACTTCTAAGTAATACTATTGTATGGTGTATGAATGAAATCTGGCAAAGATGAAAGTTGAATCTTGGATAGGACTCCAAATACGAGTTGAATGTACAGAATAAAAGAAGGTAATCAGTAATCATTCAATATACAAGAGATTCATAGAGGTTTGGTAAACCTCACACCTACCCTTCTCCCTAAGCTGCTTCTGGAAATCTTACTTCATTACCTAACCAACAAGTTGGCTTATTGAAAGTGCTGACCAAACCTTATGCAGCCAGCCCAAGATTTACCCACTAGAAGTTGTGCTTTTACATGAAAAGGATAAAGGAAAGTAGAATACCAACATACTAAAATTATCAAGCAATGCTAGAGAGATGATTCGGATGTATCTGAAGGTCTATTCATTCGGATGAGTTGAAAAAATTGTGTTCTTCTCACTATATTGGCGTATTTATTAGATTCGATCCATAACACTGTCAGTGCGTCTGATGGAAATATTTATTTAGTTTTGTTATTCACATTTGGGATTTTTCAGGCTCTTCTTCATTCTGTTCCATTTGGAAAAATGATTGTCCTTGATCTCTTTGCGGACGTGAAACCAATATGGAAAGTATCCTCCCATTTTTATGGTGTCCCATATATCTGGTAACTTTCAATCCTTAGTCTTGTCAACGACTTGTTTTTCGGTTTATTGTTCAGCAAAACTTTTATGACTAATGAGTAGTGGATAATGGCTAGGTGTATGTTGCACAATTTTGGCGGAAATATTGAGATGTATGGCATTCTGGATGTCATTGCTTCTGGTCCTCTAAATGCTCATGAGAGTGAGAACTCAACCATGGTATGTCTTGATAAAACTCTATCGACTCATAGAGTTATGTTTTTCCATCATGTAAATAAGCAGATGACCTAAAGCGATTGAATTCTTGACAGTTTCATATCTTAAAATTTTATTTCAACAATACCTAAATGAGCATGTTTTTTTGTTTGTTTCCTTCATGAACAGGAAGCTTATCAGATGGCTTCTCGTGTCTGTCTGCTTCTTCGTATGCTTTTAGTGATTTATGATTCTATGTTGAATTTTGGTCCCCATGCATCCTGTGCCAGCAGCATCAATTGAGTACCGTCGTCTGCCCCCTGTGCTAGCAGTAGAATCCACTACTGGCCACATTTCCCACTTCCATAACCAGCCTTTTTTATTCGGAACTTAATTAGAAAACGATTTGCATTCATCTTTTATTATGACCGTTTCATATATCTCCAAAGTTAAAAGTACAGTTATTAATTTTTTATACATTGATTCAACCGATTGTTAGACAAAGTGAGTTGCATGCAGGTTGGGCCAATTCAGTCTTGAGTTGGCTTCACATGTTGGAACTTCTTTGAAGCCCTATAATCAAAACTTGAGCTGACTCACAGATTCAGGCCTGTTTGGCAAAACTTAATGTGTGCCTATTGTGCTTGTGATAGTAGCCTCGATCCAGGTAAGCAAAAGCAACATAAATATGGAAAATAGAAGAGAGAAACATATAGCTAACATAAATATGCTAAATCCCTAGACTCCTGAGGGGCATTCGAGAAGCCCTCTCTCTCCCAAAACAGACTCCCCCTCTTCTCTCCCCTTCCCTCGATTCTACCCTATATGTGTGAGTGGGTGGGTTGTGTTGTCCTCTGCTGCAGTAGCTATTGGGCCTGACGGGCTCACTTTCTTACGCCTTGAATTAGTTAGGCCCACTGGGGTCCTAACAGCTTCATATTGAAAGCGAGTCAATCATAGACTCCAGGGCATATTGGGTCTATCTTCTAATACGCTTCTAAAGCTAGGGCAGATATATCAGTTTACTCCAGCTTGTTACATTCGGCATAGAGAACTATTGCTCAGAAAAATGCAAAGGACAAGAAATAAATGCTAATTTTATGCCTAACTAGGAGATGTTGGAATGAAGTCAAGAGTTGTCCAATGCTGCTTTAAGTTAGAGACGAAGTTGGAGTCGAATATGCTGAAGTTGAAGCAAGAGTAAAAAAGTCGGAAAGGGACATGATATTTGAGGTCAGAAAAAGAGTGGCCGAAGCCAAAGCAGTAGCTGACACTGTTGAAGCCAGAGTACTAGGAGTTGAAATTGAGGTAATGGGTGCTACAGTTGAAGCCTCTATATTAGAAGGCGGAGTAGTAAATGTCATAGATTCAGTGCCACCAGCTGTTGGCAATGAAAACCCCGTGGGACATGCTCTAAGTTACAATCAGAAGAATTGGGATAGCTGAAATAGAAAGAAAGAGCAAACAACAGGAACGTAAGGCTATTGAGAGCAGTAGAGGTCCTGAATTATGACGGCAAGGCCGTGTGTCCATATGAGGCTGCAAATTTATTGCCAAAGGACTAGGACATACGGATCATGTATGTGTGCAGCCCCATATGTGGGTGGACCCATCACAATGGGTTGGCACTATCAGATCGAAACATGATCATTTTTCATATCGGCGGAAGTTGTTCACAGTGAAGTGGGATGATTATGAATAACAAGGCAAGATGCGAGTGAATCTAACAGAAATACAGTTGAAAGCATTATATACTGGTGCCACCAGAATGACTGGAGAAGTGATAAAATCCAGCAGGGGTAGAGCAGCACATGAATGGGCTCCTGCCACTGCCTTCCTCACCCTCATTGTCCAGCAGCAAAGGCAGCAGCTGCTTGAGAAACCCATGTAAACTAGAAGGTAGACCAGGATAACGTTTGTGGCTTTCCTCTTCACCTCTTTGCACTCAGAGAGATAGAGGTTGCAGTATTACATAAGAGCTAATATGACCCAATTGAATGCATATTCTAATTGAATCACAAACACACTATCATGCGATGTCAGCATTTTAATTCCATATTCTAATTTGACTTACTGAACATAGAATTTTAGGTGATGTTACTGCTTTTATAAATTTTCATGCATTTGCTTGCATCCTGTTTCAATATTAATAACAGAGTGTAATCATTTACTTATTGTGTATATTTGTGTTTAAATGTTGAACTTCACATTTTGATATATGTTACATGGTAGTAGTGTTCTTCTGATTTCTCAGTATCAGAGAGCATTCTATGTTACAGGTTGGTGTTGGAATGTGCATGGAAGGTATAGAACAGAATCCAGTGGTCTACGAACTGATGTCAGAAATGGCATTTCGCAGTCAGGAGGTTCAACTTAAGGTGAAAGCATCAGATTTGCCTTTTTAATGATCACGGACATAAAGAATTGTGTCAAAATTAATGTTTAATATCACCCTGTTAATTTCATCCATTGGATTATGTTATGTTTTAGATTTTTTTTGTACAAGCATTGCTATTGTAAACTTTAACGTCTAATGTTATTCTTAAAGTTCTTTCGAAGTTCTTCCAACTTCTTACTATGAGATTGGGGTCACATACAGTGGATCATGAGAACAATATAGTATCCTAAGATCCGTTTGTCGAAAATATCAAGAAAAACTTTTACAACTAAATATTTTTTTTGTGCCCAGCAACATTTATTGGCAAAGTGATTCCATGTCCTTAATGAGCTCGCAGAAGAACAATGGATGGGTGTCAAGATTATGAGCCATTCCGATCTTTTTATTTCTCTCTGTATCCTTAACATCACGAATAACAGGGATATTTCGTTCTTTTTAATCTGTTGGGTTTGCCCTCTTTATGAATTGATAGAGGAACTGATAGACCCATCTTTTTGCCTGGGTATCTCTCCTTCATTGCAATCTTCTTCTCTTTCTGGAGATGCTTATGACATTATCTGTTAAATTAGATAGACAGGAATATGATAGTTATAATTAGAAAAATTATGATAGTATCAATGCGGTTTAAATGTTAAGGAAACTTATCATAGTTTATTGCTAAAACTGTTGGGATGCAACGAAGTTCATTTTCCTCTCTAACTGTTTATAGAAATGGTCACAGATGGAATATATTTCTAATCGCTATTTTTCCTTATCCAACCTAAAGGGTTATCTTTTGGGATGCCTCGATATATGAGAGCTTCTAAAGATTTTTTATTGAAGAATAACGACAGACAAAGGGTAATTTGTTTGGATGGTTGTTTCAATTGTGAAAAAAGCTCAAAAAAGGAGAATCAAGTCATTCTATCACACTTCAGAATAGTTTGTGTTTTATATGCTCTATGAAGCTTAGTTTTTCGTGCTTTTTGACTCAGAAGGGTAAAGTCTCTAGTAATACTGTAATATTCTCTAAGGCGTCAAACATATTTTGTCTTCGTATGTTTGTTGACTATTTCCTTTTATCTAATTATTTTTCTGGCTAAGCAATTTTTTTTGTCAGATCCTATCTTTATGAGATGTTGAACTACTTTTTACCTCTTTAAAGAGGCATGCATTGCTGATGATGATGGTCCTTCTAACCCAAAGTATTTTTTTCATCTATTTTTCCCTCGTAGATTCAGAGATCCACTTACGGATTTAAGGGCCCCTATTTTCTATCCTTGTGAATTCAATGGTTTTACTTATCATTCATTGTAAATTCACGATTTCCAATTTTATTGCCTATTAACTTCAGATGGGATTTATATATTTGCTTTGTATCATGTTCTACAGTGATATGTTGTTTTGTAGTCGCAAGAAGAATATTGTACTCCATTAAGTTTATATGAGCCTTATGAAAAGTGATTGATATCATGTTCGATTATAAAGTTGACGATTTTGGAATGTAACATATATTCTTCAATGAAATTTTGTTTTGTAGCCTCAAAAAATATGTATAACGGTTACAACTTCATATCCCATGTTTTTTGTAATTTATTTGAGTGTTTCTCTTAACTTTACCCGAGCTTTGGCAGTGATTATTCTTGTCCTGTTCATTTATTCTCTTCATCACTCTGACATCTGATATACCTTTATTCCAAAACCAGGGATGGTTAAAGAGCTATTCCAAACGAAGATATGGGAAATCTGTCCCAGAGATTGAGACAGCATGGGAAATACTATATCAGACGATTTACAACTGCACTGATGGAATTGCTGTATGTTTCCTTCTGAAAACTTTTATGATGATAGTTTTTTAAAAAAATGCTAACTTTGCCATTAATACCTCTTAGACCACTTTATGACTGTATTATTCAGTTTGACTTGAAAAAAAGCAGTATGTAGAATCACAGAGGATGTGTTTTAATTACTAAATGTTTCAGCCTTTAGTAGGCTACATGATCTGTAGAAATAAATATAGCTCTGATTTAGTCGGTCACAAGGTTTGTGCATACTCAAATTTATCGTCATGTAGCTGACCGCAAATTTCTATGATGCAATAACAAGGATTATAGTGATCATGATGATACATTTTACTACGCACCAATGAAGTTTTATCCATGTCAAATTGAATCAGCCCATGAGACGAAACTGGCAGACTTTACCTTTCACATCTATATTGTCTTGCTTTTTTGTGGGGTTTAATTCATTTTTTTGGATAAGATAACATAATGTTGACATTCTTTCATACTTCGCAATCCAAGACCTGTGGTTGGCATCAGAAATGCGTTACCCCTTTAATGTATCCTATTGCAACGGCTTTTTTTATAACAAAATTTAACACATACCTGTGCAGGATCATAATCGGGACGTCATAGTTCAGTTCCCAGACAACAGTCCATATAGCTTGTTTGAGGAAAACGTAACGAAGTTCCGTGGAAACCAGGTTCGTAGATTCTCTTTCAGAGAAACAATTACTGACAGCCATTCTCCTCATCTATGGTACTCGACTGAAGAAGTGACCAAGGCACTTGAGTTATTTCTTATTGCTGGAGATAAACTTGAAGGAAGCCTTACTTACAGGTAAATGCTGTTTTCTTCGGATTAAAGTAAATCTAGAGAAGAATAAACATCTCGTCCAACATTAATTCCTCTGTAATTTATTCAAACAAAGTCATCTATATCTTCTGTGTTACAACGCCTAGGATCTACTTTTCTATTGAAAACTGTCACAGTTCTTTCATTCGTTGCGTAAATGGAAGTGAATTGGCATTTTTGAAGGTTTCTTACATTCAGATGTGCATTGGTTTTGTTTATTCAGATATGACCTGGTCGACCTTACAAGACAGGTATTGTCCAAACTAGGGAACCAAATCTACCTAGATGCAGTAAGGGCGTATGCAGAGGGTGATGTGGATATGTTAACTCATCAAAGCCAAAGATTCATAGAACTCATAGGAGACATTGACACACTCCTATCCTCTGATGACAATTTCCTGCTGGGAAGCTGGCTAGAGAATGCAAAAACTCTTGCAACCAGTCAAAACGAAAGAAGGCAGGTTAGTCAACTAGTTCATTGCTAAATTAGTACTATCCATGTATTGTCTTCGTTCACCATATGCACCCAATACACATGTACTGACTCATCTTCTTCCATAGTATGAATGGAATGCGAGAACCCAGGTGACGATGTGGTTTGATAATACAGACACGAATCAGAGTAAACTACATGACTACGGTAATTTTACACGAGAAAGGTTCCAGCTTTTTAGGTCTTTGTTTCCACTTTCCTCTAACTCTTAGTTTCGAACAGCAAATAAATACTGGAGTGGCCTGTTAGGCAGCTACTATCTGCCACGGGCTTCCACGTATTTCAGCTACATGTTAAAGAGTTTGAGGGAAAACGTGAAGTTTCCACTGGAGGAATGGAGAAGAGAATGGATCTCATACTCTAATAAATGGCAAGCTGGAGTGGAGCAATATCCTGTTAAAGCTATTGGCAATGCTCATGTTATTGCTAAAGGTTTGGTCACCAAATATCTGAGCTAATATGCGCCAGTCTCAATACTTTGGTCTATGCTTGAATCATGTTCGTTCCTTCCTCTCCTTACCTCAAACTATTTCAATTAACTGGTGCTTGTAACAGTCAATATGACCATGCTACATACTTTCAGAGGGGACATTTATTTCTGTATTTTTTTAGCATAATTATGTTATTTTATGTTGTATTTGAAACAGAAAAAAAAATCGCCATCTCGTCTGAAGTCAACTCATGTTTTAAAGGAGGTGGTTTGTTAATATCAATGCATGCATTTTGAGTGTAATGAATCTGGTGGTTTCTCTGCCTCTTTTTTTTTTCAGAAGAATTATTAATACGTGGGTTCATATTTAGGCTGGGTCTAGATTGACCTAGAGCACCACAAGACTGCACTCAGGGAAAAGCCTAGGGAAGGGTGATCTAGGGATCCGATAAGCCTACCTTCTTTGCTCCCTCATGCTGGCCTAGACCATTGCTCAGCCAACATCGAGCAGCTGCACTACAAGATGGAAACGCCCTAGGACTGCAACAAGGTGTGTATTCCCCAACACTAAAGATCATGCACTTTGGGTAGAATCTTACCTATTCTCTTGATGATGCCCCCTATTTATAGAGTATGCCGCTCACACCCTTTTAACTCACATAACTACCCCAAATAGTTATGGAGGGGTGCTCACATCTCAGGTGATTAGGGTAACCACCACTCTCACCATTCAACACGAGGACACACCTCTTCAAATAGCTGTGCTCACTACATACCCAAGTTGCATGTCTTATGTTGCATTGTGCTACTCACATATTGCCCCGACAAGCTGTGTCATGTTGCACCATGCCACGTGCCTCTATACTTGCAACATTTGTGTCGTATCATTGCTATGTTGCTGCTGCACCACATTCATCCATCATCATGTCACCTTGTGACACTGCCTTTCAAGGCTCATAGGATGCTCCCGTAAACCTTGTCTTGTACTAGTGGAGTCATCTAACTTGAGACACATACCCACATGACATGTGTCATGATGTATTGTGATACTTATTCTTGAAGCTCATATGGATGGAATACTTAGCAACACTCGACTAGAAGAGCTCCTCCATATTCAGCACTAGATATTTATTCTTCATTGTGACCTTGTTCAAAGCCTCATAATCAACGCACAATTCGAGTGATCCAACGTTTTGGAAGAGGTTGGATAGGATACCTTAGAAGAACAGATGAGGCCCACCTCCAAGTGCTCCAACCATTTGCATAGTTCCTTTAAGTGCATCAACAACAATCTTATATTACATAAAGCATTGGTGGGTTTGTGGCCAACATGAGATCAACCTTGTCATCTATTGCTCGTGGAATGCTCATGCACTCAACTCGCTGCCTACTCCACTCGTTACCACCGAACGACGAACTATACACATTGAGATGGTAGTCATATAGTAGAAACTTCAAACATCATGTCATGAAACTCTACGAAGAGGCAAGAAACTCCAATCGGGAGTTACCTTAGTGCACTGGCCTAGATTTCTGTGCATGTCTGGCTGGCCATCTACACACTTAGTGGCATGGCCACATGTGTGCTCTGCGACAATTGGCACCGTGCATCCTAGCTGCAGAGCCAATGTAGCCCCCCTACATGCCTATCCTATCCTATCAGGTTGAATCCACATAGGAGCCACTCTTACTCTTATATGGTCACAAGAGAGGTTTCTTCCCCCCTCAAGGGAGACCCACACTCATAATGCCAACAACGTTCACAGTCCTCATTGTGTCTTAGTTACTTCATTCACAAAATATAGCCTTGATCCCCTTTCAAAGACACCACACAACTAAGGACCAATGAATTCATGCCTACGATAACGTCAAAGTCATCCGTCGATAATACCATAAAATCCATCTCGTCCTTGAGTCAAAACACTCTTTCACTTGGTACCATCTCTTAGGCAAACCATCTTGCTGCACCGATGCAGCAAACTTAGGCCCTCCTTAGCCCTGCTCATAAAACTTCCCATGGTCACCACGACAATATCAATAGTGACAGACACCTCAAGCCACAACCACACTAACGGCCTTGTTTGGTGTTGTCTCTCATTGGGCACCAATGTTGAAAGCTACATACGGCACTAGCACTCTAATAACCCACCAGTATATTGGCCATTGCCATAATTGACTGCATATCTCATGCCCTTTAGCATCATACCTTTGCATGTGCTCAACTCAAGAGACATGTTATGAAATCTAAAAATTTGTGATCCGCAAACAAGTCCTTGATGTTGAGGAGTGAAGCAAAGAACTTCACATATTCTCATACCAAACCTGTGTGCTGTTGCTAAGAGAGGTCCTGCCACATCTTCCCTCACACACTTCGTCATTACAACTTGGAAATGGATCTCTATGATCTTTGTAGAGGTGCCCCACAACACAATCTACTCATCCAGTCATTCATTTTTCTATTCATGTGTCACTCTTTGCCCACCATCTCAAACCAAACTCTAGTCACAAGGACCCAATAACCTACCTACCTTTCTCCCACGTTCAAGAGATGCTCAGCCAACATCGAGCAGCCTCACTCCAAGATAAAATGCATCAAGACACAAGGTGGGTATTCCCAACTCATAGGGCCATACAGTATAGAGAGAATCTCACCCACTTGCTTAAGGATCACCTCTTTTACAAAGGATGCAACTCACCTTTTGACTCACATAACTACCTCAAATAGTTCTGGAGGGGTGCTCACATCTCTAATAATTAGGGTAATCACCACTTTAACCACCCCACCACAAAGAGACATGCCTCAAAATTCAACAATTCAATCTTCACTTAGAAGTCTTATGAATCCTTCTCCTCAGGCCTATCTTTAATATCTCTGGATACAAATAAAGCATAATTATTTATGCTCAAAACTTCCACTAATGGGCGGCTACGTGAAAGATGTCTAAAATTACCTGTATTTTAGGCCACATTGGAATAACACAGAAGTTTAAATTGTGATCCTTGAAATAATTTATTTCAATGTATAACATAATCTTGAAAGTTTAGATAAACACTTTATTGAAGCTTATACACTTCAATACATGTAAGCTCGATATACATGATTTATACTCTTACATGTATAACACGTAAGGAATGATATTGTCAATATGATTAACTCTTACATCAATACATCTTCATGATTATACATCCTTCTCCTCAGGCCTACTTTATTGATGAATTTAGGATTCAAAACTTTACTCTGATACACTTGATGAGATGGAAGCTGGATAAGAACAAAAATCAGACATTAAATTACTACATGAGATCTTCAAGCATTATGAATGATTTGAAGCATTGTTACTTCACAAGAATCCAAATCATGCATTTTGAATCTACAATAAGAGGAAAATATTTACTAGTACAAAACTAATGACCCATAATACACTTTGAGTTTTCTAGGTGAAATTGGAGTCTTGAATACATTTTGATCCTTCAAGACTTTAATTAGAGTTTTCCACGTTTTTGGGCTATCTAGGTCACAAGTTCTAGACCTGTTTTATTTATTTTGTTGGAGTTGTGTTCTACATCACCAGCCTACAAAGTTTGTCCAAGTATGAAATTAGTGGACTCGTATATTCAATTTCAAGTTGTGTTTCACCACTCAATTCTTCCTCTTGCTCTGAAGGGAGTTTAACGTTATCATTAAACAATTATTTTCACATGCGTGCAGGGCAACTCAGTTAAGTCTTCAATATGCTGAAAAATTAACTATGAATAGGTCTTCAATTCCCTAGAAATTTTCACACTGATATGAGATAAAATCTCCAAGTATTTCTTTGTCTTCTTGGATTCTAAACCTCCCAAGCACTCAATCAGACATATCATCCCCAAGTCAGACATCTCCATATTAGGCAAACTTCTTCTCCGTCAAGCTTTCAATGGTCTCCTTAAGGCTTACATCCAGAGGAATGTAACTGATGCCCAAGCTTTTGGCCTTCTCCTTGGAAACATGGTATGTCCGCACAAAGGGCTCATCATCCACACACCTGCCAAAAACATGTGCGACACAAAAAAGCTGAGGCAAATTGCCACACAACATTGTAGGCAAATTAGAGCTAAATATTAACAGGTATGATGAACTTGAACACATTCAATCACCAAACAACACAATAGGTAGCATGTCATTCAATAGAAAAGCTTAGGTAGAAGAGATACAATTTACAGCACAACTGATTATTCCATAAATCTAAGATGTTTCCCTAGTGAACTGTTATTAATGAAAGGCACCTACATGCTGATGAACAGCGTCAAGTGCCAGAATCCCAAAAGAACAACACTCACAGACACATGGGATGACAAGAAAAACGAGAAAGATATTCAAAATTCCTTATGATGAAAAAAATATCCTATTTGGACGTCTGGCAATACCGGAAAGAGATGGGAAAAGAATAATAAAATTTGTTCAAAACACACACTTCGAGTGTAAAAGACACAGAAAATGGTTCCGAAGACCATGAAGCTGCATAGAAATGCAGATAAATGTCGGAAAAAGGATGTAAGTACTGACAGATAAAAAGAATCCCGTTAGCTACTGCATTTCATCATAAATAGAGTGGTTATCACTTTCGTGCACATTTTATTATGTTTTCTTTGAGTGATAAGATATGTCACAATATAGTAGAACCTTTTAGTAGGATGATAAAGATGTGAAAAAAATAAAAGAATAACTCTCTATGTTCTCATACACAAAAATATAAAGGTAATGATAATGGAAGTTCGTCCCCAAATGCCAACTCGAAAACAACATCTTCTCTAGAGAAGAATGCTGAAAGCATTAGATAACACAAATATAATGTACAACTGTATTCCTTCTTGATTTACAGAAGATGTAAATAAAAATATCCAAAAATATAAACTGCACAATCCCCTCACCCAAGGCAGGCAATTGATCAGCAAGAAACAACGAAAGATAAGCCCTCAAAACACAAAATAAACAAATACCCAAGTGTCTCTTGTCAATCATAGGAAAAACAATCCACTTCATAAAATAAGGGACATAATCTAATGAGTGCCTCTCAGTAATTTTCCTTGAAGCCTTTGGAAGAGATATTACAGTAATTAAAAAAAAATTCTTGATCTGGAGCTCTAGTTTACTCCAGGATTGCACTAACTGTTGTGCATTTCATTCATCTGGAGGTGCTAAAGTTAAAGGATATAATTCTGTCATATAAATTAGTGAACTTGGAGGAAACGATTTCTAAACACAGTAGAGAATCTGGTACCAGAGCAGAGGATTTTAGGTTAGAGTAATGTTGAATTCAGTCCTCAAAGCATAAAAACATCGGATGTGAAATAATATCATACAAAGGAAATCAGAAATCAATTTACATTTTCTATCAAAACATAAATCAATGGACGACAGAAAATAGATACATGCAATAATGAAATTTATGAGAGCTCAATCTGTTGTCATTGGCATATGCCAATTAGGAAGCTTTCAGGAAGCTTGGGGTCTGAGAATCGACATTAAAAAGGACAGATTACCTTTCAGGAAGCTTGAGGTCTGGGAATAGTTCTCGAATAAGATTCACGACCTCTGAAAAATGGATAACCCTTTCAACTAGGCAATACCTTCCATTAGCTGAAGGGACCTCAAATGCTAGAATATGTGCATTTGCAACATCTTTCACGTTGATCCAACCAAAACTGGCATTTGGGAAAGTTGGTGTCCCTAGAAAAAGCAAGGAGGTACTTCTAGTCATTTTAAAATATACAATAGGAAAATGACTTGACTCAAACGTTAAAAATCTTCCCTTGAGATTAAATCTCTCATAAAATAAAAAAAGTAAACACATGGTTTCAGAATGACATCACCTCAAGCTCTAAGAAGTTTTAATTTATTCATGAAGATTATTAACACAAAGTTGGACTTCAAGGACCCAAACTCTCACCCATAATTGTGGCTGCTGGTTCATCTCATGTCAAAGGCGTCAAGAGTTAGTATGTAGCATAATATTGAACCGTTTTTCACTAAGTAGAACAAGTTATTTTTTCTGATGCAATGAGAGTGAGGTTTGCCACCTTCGGACCTCTCTCTCTCTCTCTCTCCCCCACAAACACACACACAGGGAACATGGACCTGATAAACCAGCCTATCATAATATCTCCGTTGGGGCCTGAAAAAATACGCCCTTAAATCCACAAGGCCTGTTCTGATACCACTTGACGCAGCAGAAGTTGCAGAAAACGGAATGTCAGGCCTTCAAGCCACAAGGTACGAAATTTCTCTACCCTTAAATCCACAAGGATTGGTTTTTGGTGATCCTTGAATCAACAAGGGTTGCTTGAATCACTAGTGCTCACAAATCTTCCAAACAGAACAAAAAATTATAATACTCATCTACTCTGAAGTTACAGCATGCTAGCCTTTAAATAAACCCAAAATCAATCTTAAGTCTCCTAGAAAATTGGACCAGTTACAGAAACAAATTTAAAACGACCTAACAGCGAATGGTGACTGAAACTAACGCATTATTCACGCGATTCATTTGGGCTTAGTCTCAGTCTCGATCTTCAAACGTCTGCAGTCCACATTTTTACGTTTTCTAGCCACCTGGGTCAAAAAAATTGGGCCTTCCTTGGTTCTGTGGATGCTGTTCTACATGAGTACCCCTTTTTTATTTTCTTCCTATTTTCTTTGCTAAAAAGGGATAAATTGATCAATGGAGATGGCACCAAGGTCACTTTATCTAGTGAGGAACAATTAGCTTATGGATTACCTAGTCTAGTCCTCTACAAATCATGTCCCCCCACTTCTTATTGGCCTTCTTCCAATCAGTGATCTAGCAGAAGGGTGAAATTGTCTCAGAACTTTCTTTCCTGATAACTATCCTTTCCAAGACATACGGATCGAGTAAACAATTGGGAAAGATTGTGAAACAGGAGGTTTCATCATCTAGAACCTCACTGAATGCAGCTTACCCATCTTTTCAAGTTGTATCCTCCTCCATATCGTCTTCTTATCCTCTTTTAGTATGGAATAATATTGGCGCCGAGGCAAACTTGAATATACTGGACCCCAGGCTTCTTCGGGAAGGGCAAGAGCTGGGCCCTCTTTGAGATAGGAGGATTTCAGTCAGATTCTAACCCCCTCGTCTTGCTTTACAATGGCTAACACCTAGTGCATTGCTTAAACCCAGAATGGAGCCTCTTTACAATACTTTGGAAATGTCCAAAAGGTAATAACAACCTAGGCACTACATAAGACAAAATTGGCCATTCAAGAAACCTCTAATGTGAATGAACGTGGGAAATGTTTGAGACAGGGAGCCCTGGGTGTGGGCGAATTTTCTTCCCCTTCAGTTGTCAACTCCTCTTCTACTGTGTTCTCCTAGTTCATTATGCCAGGTAGCTGTCTCTTCTCCTCCAACGGAACTTATTTCACTTGGTTTAACTACTTAGCTAATGTCACATGACGGGGACTCACCTTCTACTTATTTTGTCGGGGACAAGTCTACATCTTTTTAAGCAAAAGGTGTTGGGATCCAATATTCTTTCCATAAGAGAACTGCTCGAGAGTTCGAGGATGCTAATCAACTCCGCCAGGGTTCTATCTACAACAGCCCAGTTTCTTCTGCTTCCGAATAGAAAGCACTTTTTAGGGCCAATTTTATACATTTTTTCACCTCAATATTATTCAATGCTTAATGAATTCGTGCTTCCATACACTTTAAAATATATATTAGACAAGAAAAATAGGCATGAAACTCTTTTGCAGATAAATACACAGAATGAAATTACAGATCATATAGGGCCGCACATCTATATAAATGAACTATCACATTTTTCTCCATACCATTTATTAAATTGAGAATTGAAGCAGCACTTGTGTTGAGTGTAGGCTGCAGAAGAGGGCCAATAACCATTGCTGGGTTTATGGTGACGATATCAATCCCTTGCTCCTTTGAAAACTTCCATGCAGCCTCCTCAGCTAAGGTTTTCGATAACAAATACCATGACTAATAGAAAACCAGCGTTCAGATAGAGAAGAGTAACGTAAGGCCATCAAAAAAATTAGTAAGATTTTCTAAAAGACGGAATAATGTCTTCCTTCCAAAAAAGCATATTTGTCATCTAGCACCCATTTCCTCGACATCTGTGGACGGGGACATCTTCAAATATCATGCAGTGAGAAGGCTATTCTACCTAGAATGATGTTACCAGAGGGATACAAAGGTATTCCATTTTATTTTTTTTATCACAGCAGGTTCAGAAGGTTAAGAGAGCTCTTACAAAATAACAGATCAAATTTATTGACCTCTCGTGATAGTTACAGTAGTCTGAAAATCAGATAGAGGATATAGCGAAATGATTCGCAGAATTCTTAACATTTTCCAAATGTACAAAACTTCTACTCAATCGTCCAATAAAACTCAGAATTGGACATCATTCACAATGAGAAAGGAAATAACTTCAAATGCCTTGTGATGTGGTATTTGCTTAGGGGAAGAATCTTTAATATCAAATACGTTGAATAAAGAAAAATTAGGATCAGGATCACATAATCCACCCCTGTTGGCCAATACTTCCTAATGTAGATGAGCGTGCTCAAACTAGCCAGTAACTAGTGAGATAGGTTTGTTGTGTGTATGATCATTACTTTCTGAACCTATTATTTTGTGTATTCAATTAGTTCTCGCTAAATATGTTCAGAAGTTCAATGACAAGAAAATTCAAAATTCGCATAAATGTTCTTACAAATAAAATATCTTTGCCCAGTAATCAAGATGACTATTATTGTGTACCTTATTTTTCTTGCATAATTCTGCATTGGAGAACCAAGTTTCATCAACAGTAACATCAGGAGTCCTCGATCTTTCATTATATGCAACCGCAGCCATAGAAGAAGTTATGACCACCCTTCTAACTGAAGCAGTTTTTGCACATGATCTCAAAACATTAAGAGTACCCTTTACAGCAGGCTCAATTAACTCGACCTGAAATGCAAACTCAAACATAATCATATATGAGACATATTGGACGATAGATCAGAAAAAAAGGTTAATGGCAACCAAGAAAAATGCTTCCAAGATATTTTTACTCATTTACTTGAGTGCTAGCTACTAGCACAACACGCCAAACTCTAGCACTCTCTCAACATAAATATCTAACAGATTTGTTGAAAGATACAAGGAACTCTGCATGGTAACCAGCTAATACACCTATTGATCTGAATCATAAATTATGCCTAGTAGAGGAAGAACTTCTATTGACCATGAGATGTATCAATGTCTCATTAGTCGATTACTTTATATAATGCACACTCAACCAAATATCCCGTATGCATTAGGTATATTAAGTCACTTTATGAATCAGCCAAAAGAATATAATCTTAGATGCAGACTATCAAGTATTACATTAGTAGAAAGGCACACCAGGTAGAGGAGTCCTCTTCAAACAAAGTAAGAATGTAGAAGTTGAAATGTTTACAGATGTTGACTATGCAAGGTCAATGACCAATCAAAGATCAACTTCTAGACATCTCACATTTATTAGAGGCAACCTTATCACTTGGAGAAGTAAAAAACAAAAAGTGGTTGCTCATTCAAGTGCTGAAGTCGAATTCAAGGCACTTGCCCAAGGTGTATGTTAGTTACTTTGAGTGAAAAATTTACTTGATGAGCTAAAAATCTCCTTTATTGGTCTTATGAAGCTCTATTACGACAATAAGTCAGTAACTAATATTGTGCATAATTCAGTACAATATGATGGTACCAAATATGTAGAGGTTGATCGTTGTTTCATCAAGGAAAAGATGAAGGCAAATCTAATTTGTATGCCATACATCTTGACACAGAATCAATTGGCGGAAATGCTTACTAAAGACATCTAAGGCACTCAACTATAGTACATTATTCCCAAGTTGGGAATGGATGCATCCACTGGCCAACTTGAGTCGGAGTGTTGATGCGATGTGTCTAGTATATTCCAAGTTATGTGACTATGTCTAAAACCTTCCGGAGTCTGTTATAAATAACAAACCCCACTCTCTTTGAAATGTAATTTTGGTGTGTCCCTTCTTCAATAAGAGAATACTTTTCTCCACAAGCTCTGGCATCACTATTCACCACAACATACTTGATTTTATCTCCAACACTTCAAAAAAAAAAAAGTCTACTTCAACCAAGATACTCCAAAGCACAGCCATAAATAACATTGAAATCACACTTATAAAAAAAGGGGGGGTATCCAAAATGGCCATGATTTTCTGCTATTTACAAAAATCAGATCTGACACATTGATCACTTATGTTCCATTACTTATTTGCGTTTATGCACCTATTACCACTACAAAATATGAATCACAAGTTGTATAATTCTCATTCATTCAAATCTCTATCCTTTAGATCATTTTTTCCTTTAGTCTAGGATCAATGTCCTAGATGACATGACTACTCAGCGCACAGCAAAAAATAAAAAGCGTAGTCAAGTTGAAAACATGAGTGGAAAACTATTATATATACACTAACCTCTGGATCGCTGACACCATGATAAAAAGGAGATGCTGTATGGAAGACACCTTCACACCCATCAACCGCCTTATCAAATGAACCCTCTTCCAATAAGTTGCCCTTTAATAGATGTAATCTTTCATTGGCACCCTCTAATTGACGCAAATGCTCAGTTTTCTTAGGATCTTCTGCAATATCATATCAAAAATGTACAGAATTACAAACCAAAGCAGAAAATTTGAGTGGATGTCCAACAAGGGAATCCCATTTTTAGAAAGTAAAATGAATGCATGGCCAGACCGCATTAATATCAGTGGGGATCAAGTTACATAAAAAAGTATCCCACGGAGGAAATTAAATCTATGCAGAAGGAAAGAGAGAAACAACAAACAGAGCATGAAAACTGCAACATTTCTTATGCTTATACATTTAATGATTCCTTTGACTGACCATTGAAGAAGTCCAAAGTGTTGGAAAAATTTTCTGCTCTCTCAATGAGCAAAACCGATCTTAAGGACTAACAGAAACTGATGCTGATTCTGACTTGCCTGCATCACCGAGCAAGGGAAATATCTCTGCCTCCTGTGGAATTAGGGAGAGACGGACAAGCAAAAGAGTCTCCACATCTGAAAGATGGAGTCTTGAACTCATAAAGAATTGCTCCATATGATATGATTCGAAGGATCCCAAGGACGTAAAATAAGGATATGCTTGGTTTAGCGTGGAGCTGAGGTATTATCTTCTTTCTGGTTCTGGATAATTTTATTTGATTTTTAAAAGCTTTACCTTGATTTGAGCTGCTCTCTCTGTTTCTGGCTTGAAGAACTAATCAAAAGAGCAACCAGAACTAACAAGACCAATAAGAAAACACAAACACAAAGGCAGAGCCAACATGTAAGAAAAAGCATACAGGATTCCCTTCTTATAAGATAAGTTTGCAGATATTATGTCCTATCCTTCTCAAATCGAAGAAAATATTTCTCCTATCCTTATGGACGTTGAATCTAGAAACTCCAACATGCAGTGTCCCATGGAGCTAGGACAAACTTCCAAGCACTGATTAAAAATGTCATGACATGTTCATGTCAAATGGCATCAATTCTTCCAATGTAATTCCTGTCAGCAGACCGAAATGCCATATAGCATCATCCCAAGTTCATAATATCCACCATAACATCCAAAAAGTCAGAGGCACATCAGAGAGGAATGGTCCTAGAAAAAAAACACCTGGTAGCCATGAGGAGAAGCTGTGTAACTGATGGAAGAAAAGATTCCAAGCAAAGGGAAAGATCACTCGTGATGCATGGTGACATTATCCAGGGCTCATGAGGCCATCTCTCTTGCGTTTTACTCAACGTCCCATCAAAAGGGAAAGCATGGATTGTAATTTATGAGCATTAGATAAACGAGAAACTATTGCCACATATGTCCTTGAATGTACAGAGCTAAGATATATACTGCCACATATGTTAGAGAACATAAGAAAATCTGTCAGGGTTCAAGGCAGAAATGCTCTGATGACAATTGCTGGTAGTTGGAAAACAGAAAAGTATGCATACGACGAAATATTCAAATCAGGTTGAAAATGGAAATAAGCTGGCCCACATCAGGACAGATAGCCTAGGATACTATTAAGAATATCTTAAGTAAAGGTACAGTTTGAGAACTGTTATAGTCACTAGATGCATCAAATCTGGCTCCACAGACTATGAAACCTCCTGAGCTAGATTCCAAGCGAATGAAAATGAGTGCTTATTACGAGTAAAGTGACAGAAACGATGACAATAATCATGAAAAAAAAAAATAAGAAAAATAAAACAATGAGAAAATATCCCTAATAGGTATTAGGTAACAAGGAGAGCTGTTGGGCCTGCCTGCGATTCACCTAATATGTAGACTAATAATCTCTAAGGATAAGTCTTGAATAGAATCTCTTCAACCAGTGCCTTATCAACTTATTTGTCTTCTCCTATTTGTCCCTTTTATTTTAACCGCGAGCTCAAATCTAAGACTCCATCTCGTAAAATGATGCCAAAATCTGATGTAAAACAACGACTAAAAAGAAATTTCGAAAGAACAAAAGAGGTAAGTAGTGTTGATCATCAGATCCAAAGCAGAATAGACCAGGATGTAACAGAGCAGAAAGGTCCGGAACCCCGTCCCCAACCCAAAGCAGAGTAAAGAAGGAAACTTCTGTGACCATCTCCGGGATCACACATGACGGAGGGCGGCGCACGACTTTATTGTTGCCAGAACCAAAGAAAACGGACAAAATAGACCACATAAGGTAGGTTTCCTCACCTGGATCACGCACGGTTCCCTTGACGGTGTAACCCTTCTGAAGGAGTAGCTTAACGAGCCACGAGGCGATGTACCCCGAGGCGCCGGTGACGCACACAACCTTGCCATTCATCCTCGCCCTCCGAACTGTACTCCACCCCCCACCCCTACCTGGCCAAGCTGCGATGTTCCGTCGGGGAGAAGCCGACAGGGAGAAGACCTGTCCTTTATGGGCCGCCCCACACAGGATGGTGGAAATTTAGACCTGGAATGTCCTCGCAGTTACTAAAACCCACGATTTCCGCTTCAGCGGATTTGGTGTCTCCTATCTCCTCCTTTACATCTCAGACAAACCGTCTTCTTCTCCCATTAACCGGTAGGTTTCTCGATAAAAAAACCAAGATTATTCAACACTTTTACAGAGAAGATAGAAAAAATCAAGTGATCCTGAAGAGCACTGCACTAGAAACATACATGCATGCATGCATCGGCATATATCTGATAGAAGTGTGTTCAGGATGACTCCAGATAAACAAAATTTGACCAGCTCTTTACATTTGCAGCTCTAGGTACCCATCCTGTAATAACATCATGGGAAAAATAAAATTATTGACATCAAAAATACATGGAATGCTAGTCTTTTAACAAGGTATAGCATACACGAGTATTTATTAGACGTTGACACCAAAGTCAACTGTCACTACACTGTAATGCTTCCATAGAACAATTATGAAGATAATATTGATTTTTTACATTAAAAAAACTTTCTTTTTTAATGTTATAGTTGCAGAATGGAAACCATATGCGGTGATGGAGATCTGCTATGTGGAATCTTATGGGAAAAAGAGCGTTGACTTGTATGAACTTGTCAAGATTACTAGTATCACTAAATTCTCATTCTACCTAGTAAGGTTTTTCCTTATTCTAGGATCGGTAATCTCATGTTGTATGAATAAACATACCCCTAGCTGGTTTGCTCGTCACAGTTTCATGTGGTTTTGGTTTCTTAATCTACTGATAGCAAAACCCACTTGCTCAAACTTGGAATCCATAGGGCATTCATAAAATGATGAGCCAAGTATTAAAACTTACATTGGGGAAATTTGTTGTTTATCGTTGACTTTAGTAGCTTTAAATGTTTTCATAATGACAAAGAGCAATATGATAATATTAAAATGAAGGGAATTATGTTGCATATTTTACTGTTTTCATCGAATTAAAGTCAAAAATCAAAACAAAGAAAAATCGTTGTTTACTGTTGACTTTAGTAGCATCCAGTGTTTTCATAATGACAAAGAGTAATATGATGATGTTATAAAAATGAATTATGTTGCCCATTTCGTGTAAATCTCAATAAATTAAAGTCAAAAATCAGAACAAGGGAAATCCATTAAAAGGACATTTTTTTCTAAATAGAGGCCTCAAATAAATAATAAAGAATTTTTTGGATGTAAGTTTTTATTGCAGGTCTAGGTATGCATGTGTTCATTAGATAGATATTTGTATGGAAACACTATGCAACGAACAACTCATCTACTGAATGAGAGCGAGAGGCTACTGTGTCTACCAACATGCGAGAGAAATTTATTCAAGAAGCTAGTATAATTGAGCGTAGAAAAGATGGAAAATCTATCTACTACTCAAGTCATCAAAGTTCTTCCATGCATCAGTAGTACCAGTACTGTGGCAGCCATCTCTGTAAAATCTAGCTACTGCCCAAGCCATCGAACTTCTTCTATGGATCAGTAGTACTGTTGGGAGGCGGCTACCTCAATTCACCAACATCAGTCCTCCAGCGATGGCAGTGGGTCCTCACTCTCTACCGTAAATACCCGTCTTTTGCGGCAGTAGGGTAATTTGGGCCGTTCAAATCCTCCTTTCCCACTGGCCCGCCGCTCTCAGACGGCCGTCGTCGACGTCGTCGTCTGCTTGCCGACCGCCCGCCGCCGCCGCTGCCGCAAGGAAGCAATGAAGAGCTGGGAGGTGTTGGCCGGCGAAGTGCAGGGTCTTGGTCGGGTCGCCAAGAAGAAGCAGAGGAAGACGAAGAAGGGGTGTCAAGGAGCGCCCGTGGATTTCACGGCCGGGGAGGAGTGGAAGGCCGAGGATGGGGAAGTAGAAGTGCAGGAAGAAGACGGCGTCGGCTTGCCGTCCGCCGCCCGCCGCCGCCGAGAGGAAGCAATGAAGAGGAGGGAAGTGTTGACCGGCGAGGAGGAGGGTCTTGGAAGGCTCGCCAAGAAGAGGCAGAAGAAGACGAAGAAGGGATGTGAAGGAGCGGCCGTGGGTTTCATGGTCGGGCAGGAGTTGAAGGCCGAGGATGGGGAAGCAGAAGCGGAAGTAGAAGCGGAAGTAGATGTGGAGGAAGGGGACGCCGGTGCGCTCACTGGTTCGGTTTCCGACATGTGTCAGTCTCTGATGGAGCGGTATGCCCGTTCAGCCGCCCCGCAACATCGACACCTCTGCGCATCTGCCGCTGCGATGCGCTCTTACCTTCGCGACGAAGGGATCCCCCTGACTCCCCCCGCCTACTTCGCCATCGCCATCGCTGCCGTTTGTGATGCCAGCAGCAGCGACCGTGAGACACTATCTGCACTCTCGGCTTTCCTCTCAGTCCTGCTTCCGTACGTTCCACCGGGGTCTGTACCTCCTCACAAGGCCAGAGAAGCTGTTTCATCCCTTGTTGCTCTCCTGGAGAACTCAACTCCGGAGAGTATGGCTGCGCCGACTGTTCGCTCCCTGGTTGGTTCTTTGGGTCTTCTGGCGCAGTCCGTTGATTTGGAGGACTGGAGTGCTGTGAAACTGCCTCTTAGGGTACTTCTCAGATTCTCTGTGGACAGACGTCCCAAGGTATTCTGCCATTCTAGTACCCTATCCTACTTTCCGCTGGGCAGTGCACTTGTATTCATCATGAACCCTGATTTGCTTCCATTGTTCAAATCCAGCTGCTGAACTCTGTTAAAACAAAGATATAACTCTACTCAAGTGAAGACTATCAGCAAGATCAAGAAATTACCACCTAGAGAGAGCTGTAAGAGGGAAACAAAGGGTTAGGAAAGTAATGACAAAGCCCTATACTTGTTCAGAGACTGTATTACAGATAGAAATTCAGGACTACATTTGATTAAAATGATTCTCTTCTTGTTTTTAGCTGAGAGAGAGAGAGAGAGATAGGGCAGCTACGCTCTCTAAATAGCAACTAAACTGATCAGGTCAGTTAACACCGAAAAAAAAACTATTATGGCAGCCATAACATGTGAGAAAGGTGAAGTGATTGGTGAATGGCAGACGTATTTCTTCTAAGATACATATTTTTGGCCATTAATTTGTATTTTTCCCGGAGGAATCAAATCGCCCTCTGTATATTTAGAGACCTGTCTCCTAATGATTTTTGTTCAATGTAATGGATGGATATTGGGAGTCAATTTTTATATTTATAGTCAATTTTGTGAAGTCAGCTGAAAGGATCCTTACGGATTCTGAGTATTTTGTACTTGTAGAATAATTCCTTGTTTTGTTATGTGGAGTTCTTATAAAGGTCTTATTCTTTCATGCATATTGCAGGTCCGTAGATGTGCCCAGCTATCAGTCGTAAAAGTGTTCAGAACACTAAAAAGTTCCATTATTATTGGAAAGGCAAGCAAGGTTGTATTTTCATTGTTTCAGAGTTACATCCCTTTGGCAGTGAAACTTTGCTCAGTGAGACATGATTCCAAAAGTAAAAAAACTTTGGAGAAGCCAGAGAATATTGAGGTTCTGCATGTGCTAAATATAATTCAACATCTTGTTGCACATATGTCCCTGAAATTCATCAGAAAGTGTCTCCCTGACGTTTGCAAGCTATTCAATGGCAAGTTTTCAATGTTGACAAGGAACATTATTGGATTACTTGAGGTGATCCTACAAAAGTTGTCTGTTGATGTTCTCGAGCGTGAAGCAGAGAATGTCATTTCTGTACTTACGTCTTATGTGTCTTCCAACAAGAAGATTCCTGTTGACACTATCTGTTCGGCATCAACATTGCTCAAAGATACTATGAATACACTTCATCATGTGCAACCGGGGATGTGGATCAAACGTTTCACTTTAGTATTCAGATCAATAGCGGGTTTGTTCTTTCAATTGTCATAAAGTGCTTTCTACTGCCTCTAGTATTTGACTATTTGGTACCTTTTCGATAATTTCACTGTATTTCTGATATTTGTATAAGAAGAATATAACTGGATTCAAAATTGACGCTTGACTGGTCAAACGAAGATAGTTCCGGCCTGTATATCTCCTAGATACTTCGTGCTTATTTGTACAAAGCGGTTTGGTTACAATGTTCATGAGAGAAGTCAACTCTGAAATTGAGGTTCAACCAAAGAAAACGTTGTTTTTGACGGTCAAAAATGGAACTGGAGTACCTAATCGAAAATGTTGTTTTTGGCATTGTCTCTTTGGCTGCTTTTCAAACCCCCTAGACAGTTGTAGGCCTTTTCTCTGATCAATGGTGAATGATAGGCTGTGAGGTGGCCCTCAATCGTACTAGCAGCAATGATATTTACAAAATAATGACTTCATTTAGTCTATGGTTTTTTTTTCTGAAGTAGTAGTTCCGCATAAGCATTTAGTCTAAATCAAAGGGAAAGGAAACCCATTCAGGTATACAATGATCCCTCAGAAAAAAAAGTAGAAACTCCCCTTTACGATGCTTATCCATTTGAATTCAGCTATTTGTTAGTGTTATGCGGTAACCATCAATCTTTGTCGTAACGCCTTTATTTGAACTTTCAGGTCTTTTAATCTCTCACCCTAGCATTGGTAAATATTGTGCTGATATTCTGAGAGAGTTGATTAATATGGATTTTTTTAGTTCAAATGAATTATGTGAGGACTCCACAAAGTCAGTAGAAGCAGATATAATTATCTCTATGTGCTCCTCATGCGAGAATGTGCTCTCTACTTCCAGTTCCGTTCCTAATGAGCATATTTTACCAGTCATCTCAGATTTGTTCCTCAGACTTGGTATGTCCTTGACCTTTCTTCAGATGGGATTATTACATTACTTCTATATATCACACAGATTTCATGTAAAATTATATGGATGCCATCTATTGTTTCTCTCTTGTTGTCGTGCTCAATAAAAATAATATTTATTATTTGATGTAATAAAGAGGATTTTCCAAAAACAAAAACACATGAATTGTATTCATGTCCCCCAAATTGACTTTTAACTTCTACTGTTTGGGCAAAAAAAATATTAATAGAATTTATTTATTTTTACTAATACGATTCTTTTTAAAAATATGAAACTCTATTAACATATGTTGATATTTAATTGTTTTATAAATTAAAAAATCAAATGTTTATATTTATTATTAAATGATATTAATTAATTTATCACTCTTGTTCCTTGATCGCCTTGAAATACTATAATGAAAATATTTTCATTCATTTGTTTTTTATCTTTTTCATTTTTCTCATATGTAGTATTAAACATTGTTTTTGTGATGTTTACCATTAACTTTTTATGGATTAAAATGAAATTGATTTTTTTTATTTCAGTACTTCCTCTGTTTATTGAAATTTATTTGCTCATTCTCTAGGCTTTGAGTCCATAAACATATCACTGACAATCTTTTGTGTGTAGGAAAACATTCGTCTTTATTTATGAAGGAAATAGTGCTAAAACTTTCTATGTGGGTGGCAAGTCTAGCTGAAGGCAGGATCGAGCTACAACATGTGAGTACTCTCCTTTGTGTCATATGCAATTAAGAATCAAAGTTAGACAGCACGCCATTAAATTTCAAGATTTCTTTCCTTTTCTACACGGAAAACACATCTCATCTCTCTCTTTTTGAGGCATTGTTCATTATTCAAGACATGTATTGTTGTGATACGCTGAGATTGTCGGATCACTTCATAGAACGAATATAAGGTTTTTGGAAGGAAAAAACGTGAAAAATGAGAGCATCTTAGATAAACATATCATAAGCCCATGCAATGTAGCTATAGGGTCAAAAATCTATGAAGGATATGAAACGTAGTTCCAAATATGCTAGTTCGTTCTCCGAGTACCAGTTACAGTCAATATCTTCTCTCCTTGGGAAACTCCTTACCTGCCTTGTGCTTGGTAAAAGACTAGCTTTAGGGGTTGAGTGGCCAGTCTAGGGGAAAGAAACCTCAACCAGGGCCTCTAAAAAATAAATAGGAATGCCAAAGCAGTTCTGGACAATGCCTCCGCGAACTACTGTGGGAAAGAGAATGTGATCCACAACCCATGGGGACAGGTTGCTTTAGGGAATGTGGCTGTTTGACAGATAAAGAGATGCTATTGCCGACAACCTTCTCCGGAGTATAACTGGTACAGAAGATTAGGTACTGCAATCCAAACCCTGAGACGGCAGCAGGGGAGCTGGATAGAACAGACGCCCAGAAACTCTGCAAGCACATGAAAATCCTAGAAAATATCCTCCCAGGAATTGCCACCACTCATCTATGATATGTTTAGGCCCTACATCATTCTTTCTACTCGTTGCTGTCTTTGACCATCCATGCAGAGATGGCATGAAAGTCTGAAACATGTAACTCGACTAACTTAGTTCCAAGAAGTTGGCCTTTGACCTCGTGATATTCTCTTAAAAGTAAGCCATTCATTTCAGTCACCATTGGCCTGGTGAGGAATCTCAGTGAGGTTTATTTTGTAACTAAATCAGTGAGGTTTATTTTGTGTGGAATCTCATAGAAAATCAGTGAGGTTTATTTTGTAACTAAATTGTGCAAGTGGTATAATTTCAGTCATCCACGTAAGGCTTCTATGCTACTATGTACTTTTGAACTATCATCTTGATAAATAAGTATACCAATTTGACTTCTTGTAATGCTATTTTATCTTTTAAAGTAATATCAACTCCGTAAGTATCCTCTTCCAATTTCACCGTTAACATAGTGGAGATAGTGCATATGATTCCTTTGTCTTCAAAGCTTTTGTAGTTGTGAAGAACCTGCTGAATGTTGCGTGGAGAATAAGCATATGCATGCATCGAATCTTTGGATAAGTAGAATTTTCATTCCCTATCGTGTCATAGCCTCTCAAAAGACGATTTTCTTTTGGTCCCCTTCTTTTTCTTTTTGGATATATAGAAAGGCATGTTTATAATCATGTGGCTTTCAATTTTTTAATAAGTGGACTGTGTTTCTGTTATAATAATCACATCTACATGTCTTCTTAATCTACAGGTTCAACAATGCCTTGGATCTGCTATAGTGTCCATGGGACCGGAAAGTTTTCTTTCAATAGTATCCATTTCATTTAATGCAGAGAAGCAAACTTATTCAAATATGTGGCTGATTCCCATCTTGAAGAAATATATTGTTGGAGCCTCATTACAGTATTTTTTGGAGCACGTTTTGCCTCTTTCAAAACCTGCTGAGGACATATGTAGTGAAGGTACGTTCATCCATATATTCTCGCTTGTAATCCTCTTAAACTAAATGTGGTTATTTCCTCAGTGCGCAGGTCATCAACCAGAAAGAAACTCATGGCACATGTTGATGCCCTGTGGAGCTTGCTGCCAGCCTTCTGTCACTATCCAACAGATACAGCTGATCATTTTGATTCTTTGGCCAAGGCTCTCATTGAAAAACTCAAGAAAGATCAAAGTAGTCATGAGCTTGTTTCTGTAGCAATAAAGGTATAGATTCATGATTTATGCAAACCAGAAAGGTTTATTTCTACTTGTTTTGAACTATTTTGTTTTTTTTTTATCCTACAAGATTTGAATAATGTTCCTTTATATTAGGAGCTTGTGAATGAAAACAAAAGTCAGCTCGAGCTTAATGTGGACCAAGCAACTGGCTTCATGAAAACCAATTTTGGACAGAAGGCTGGTTGTGGACCCTACTACTACCCTCAAAACCTTGCGCAGAAGAACATTGAAGTGCTGGCTTCGAATTCCATGGAGCTGTTCAAGTTATTTACTGATATTTTCTTTGATTCTCCTCCCGAAAAGCGTGCATCTCTGAAGGTCATCTGCGTGTATTATTAATCTTTACTCTTTTTCTTCCGTTATTTATATAGGTACAGAATTTGAATTGTAGTTTTGCAATATTCATTTGTACTCTCTTTCTTCCGTTATAGCTTCTGGTATACCAGAAGCTTTGGCAGAATTAGATTAAGGCCTGTCAGGCCCAAATTAGGTCTTTAAGTCTCGCCCCACATTACTCTCGATATAAATATGGGTGATGGTGGCTATGGTTTCAACCCTACTTTGTAATCCTTTTTCCTAATAGTTTTAAGCATCAAAATAAGGGCTAATGGATTCCCGTATGTAAACTGGTAGTTTGTGTATTGTTTCGTAACCTTAGATTACATGATTCCATAACGTTTTTTTCTTGAATTGCTAATGCAGTGTAAACTTTTGCAATTTATTCTCTATACTAGTATCTCCATTCAAAAAAACTGAACGTAAAAACTCTTCATTTTATTTACAGGACGTCATAGGATGTTTGGCATCCATCCTCGGGAGTTTAAATCTGCAAAATTTCTTTTCTTCCTTGTTGGCCAAAATTGAATTAACTAATAAATATGATAACGGGAGAAAATTGGAGAATCATGTTCAACCATCAAATGATAAGATGGAAGAAAAGAGGTAAGGAATGTGTACAACACCACATGCTCTTTCCAAAGTCATTCTACATTCTTTCTGGCAAATCGCATGTTACACGTTCAAACATTTCCTAGTTGTTTGCTTGCTTGTTAATTTATAGCTAACCATCACAAATAGGTATTCCTACGATATACAATGTAGTTTAGTTTTTAATGTACTAGCTGCATGCTAAATTAATAGTTCTGTATAGGAATTTTTCTTTTCTTGTAATTTTGAAAAATTATATTACCGTGACTATAATTCACCTTCCTGTTGGGTCTCTGCTACTGGCATTTATCACGTTTGATAATTGCAATAACTAGATAGGGAGAAAGCATTTCAGTTGTCAATAACTTATGTCTATTGAGAACCATGGCAAATCTGTACGTTAGATTCATCCAACAATTTTACCTGGCACCAATTTTCTTCTAATGCAAGCAGAGCATTCCAAGTTCTCATTTTTCTGAAAGTTTCTCACATTCCCTTTTAGAGTACTTTTATGCATCGTGTGTATGAATACATTTGTGAACAACTGAAATTTTCCTTGCAACTACTCTTGACGAATGTTCTTCTATCCTTGGACGAAATTTTCCTTGAAGATAAGTATAGCTTCAACATTGCTTTCATCTATTGATGAATCTTGTTGGATGAATGATTTCCGAATCTAATTAGGCCATCATTTTCTACTAGGGAGGGCATCTTGGGATAATCTTACCCTTGTTGTGTCCCATTTAATTGCTGCTTAAACAAATTTCATCAAAGGTAATGGGAAAAGGTCATCTGTCTTAGGGAGTTGGAAGAAGTTTAAATCATATCAGAAAAAATTGCCTCTTTTCATGTTTATTGGAAAATTGATCCAATTTTCTGGCTCCTAATCCAATTTCAGACGCAGCATCCCTAAACCTTGGTATCGAAGCATGGAACGTCTGGAAATCTGCCTAGGAGGGTCTATAAAAAGGCCCACGATCCTGCCCTCATAACTGGAGGAAAACAGCCCCCTGCACATGGAGAAGAAGTGGGAAGGGTAGCTGCTGCACCAATAGCAAAGAAGATAAAGTCGTCAATGTCACATCTCAGAAATAAAAAATGACAATTCAATGCCCCATAAAATGTCTCAGAAAATGTCAATTTTTTACTGCTTTTACAAAGCTGCGTTTTAACACGTGCATCATTTTTTCTCCATCACGGACTGCTGAATCTCGCACATAGTAAGATTGGCATGCATCACCTTTTTCAGATTGCTAATGTAAGCTCCTGTTTATAGAAGGTTTAGCCATCTTTTTTTTAGCTTTTGTAATGTGAAATCGATCCCTTGTGCCACACTTAAGCATCAAAATGGTAACATCCTATGATAAATTAATGTGACTTGTTTTCATGTGCTGTCAGTGAAGCATATTTTTGGTGGCAAGATGTATATACATATATATTTATATATCTATATATCTTCTTCTAGTCTACCATATTTGTAACGACTATTCGCACATGGACCTTTTCCCATTTATGCGTTATTTCATTAGTTTCATTCTTTCAGTCATATGCAGGCACATAGTCCTGGGGCATTCAATATATTCCCTTAGAATGTAAACAGCATGTAAACTATTTTTATCTCAAGTTATATAATTGGTATATTTCCTTCATTGTGGTAGGTGTCTGATGATAGAGCTTGCATCAGCTTTTGTCGATGGAGCTGATGAAGATTTCATTATCATAATGTTCGATTATATTAAGCCTCATCTTTCGGTATAGTTATACTTACCAGCTCATGGATCCTTAGTGCTGAAATTTGATCCGTGTCATTGTTGGATGCTAAAAGCAATATGTTTTTTGGTTTTGTGTAGGTAGATGGAATTTATCAATGTGAAGCATTCCAAACATTGAGCAGAATTTTAAAGGTCTGGAGATGCACTTGTTGTAATGTTTGTTACTCAAACATATTTCTCATTTAGTGCTTTTTCTGTAGGACAATTCTTGGTTTGTCGTTGCTCAATTTGACCAGTTGATGGATTTACTTCTTGGCCTTGAGTCATCAGTGGAAGTGCGCACCCTAAGAAGCTGCCTCACATGCTTGCATTTTATGTTTGTACATTTATTAAAGGTTAAATTCTCTTTCTCATCCTCTTAGTTATATTTTATGTTCGTCAAGTTTCCGACAAAAGCCGCAAGAATTATTTACTACATCCCATTTATTTTTACTTCACAGATAATTATGGTCGAAAGTTCTATATCCAAAATCTACTTTATTTACGTTTTCTTTCACAGTAATTGAGGATTTGTTGCCTTCTTCGCGTCTGTTGGTTTTAGTTGATTCTCTTGTGAAAGTAGTTTGGCTGCCCTCGAGCTACGTCTGGGCTCCTTTTAACCTGTGTTGTTGCTTGTAAACTAGCATCTGCTGAACTTGATTGCATACTTTAGTGTTTATGCTGAGTTTTATAAGTCTCCAATTCTTCCCAGCAGATAAACATAGAGAGCAATATTCCTTTATTGACGTATTTTATATAAATATAAATATTTACTCCACATGGCCGATTGCATTTTTCTGCAGGGAAATCCAGAAAAAACAAACAAGCACGCTTTGTTGGTGTTGAATGAGATCATGAGACTGCTGAAGGATGTATGTTTCTTTCTTTCTTGAAACCTTTGACTTGTGAAGTTGGCATATTATACGTCCATATTTGATTGCATATCAATATACGTCAGATTTTTTTTTCATTTCATCATTTTCGGTTCATGTTCCTAATTTGAACGTATTTGATCATTTGTTAGCGTAACTGTAAGGAGTAAAATATTTTAATATTTTAATGACCACTTGTTCAATGGCTTTTACATGTCTAGATAGATTTGCATGATAGGAAGCAATTTTACAGTATCATAACAAAGCTGTAATATGCAAGAAAGCGGAACCACACTTGTTAGGCTTTGTCATTCTGCTGGACCTAAAAAGGCAAGTACTTTGAGTAGTGGCTCATGTACGACGGACAAAATAAAAGTGAAATGTATTCCATTTGTTATCCTGGTGCAACAATTTATGTGTTATACATGTACACGGCCATTCTTGAGTAAAATACATTCCTATATTTAAATACAGGATTCTGTCTTATCCTATTCAATTTGGAACCATCTTAACACTTTTACAGGTGCAAGTTAATTTCTTAGTACTACATGAATAACACAGATGGGTTGCACAAAATATGTCTTAGTAAACCTCATATGCCAATTGAACTGGCATCAGCTATTTGGAGTGCATGTGTCAGATTTGGTATACAAAACCTTATCTAATTTGAACAATAGCAAATAAACTCATAGACTTCTGCAGATGGCCTATAACTCGGTATACGAACTTTAATTTATTACAAAAATAAATAAAATAAGTAAACTTACGGCTGTCTTTCACTATGAAATGTAAGAAGTCTTAGAACGTAGTGGAATAATTTCATTTAGTAAATTACAATGATATATATAAGTTCTTTTTAAAGGCAATGTTTCCTATGAAGGAAATTGTTACTTTTAAAGACTACCTTATACTTATGTCCGTTGAGTATTTATTCAGTGGTTTTTATCATCGTTGAAAAATCCCTAAAAGTCTGAATACAACAAACATTAATGCAAAGTGAAACTTTTGTGCCACTTGCTATCTGACTTTAGAATTCAACTTTTTACCAGGCCCTAGCTCACCTCAACCTAAGTTGCTTTTGATGCACTATTGATTTAACTTATTTTGATTATAAAATTCAGCTAATCGTAGCTCATATGATTAAAACTGCCAATATGATGTAGATTTATCTTGTGATTTGGCATGAAGCAGTCTTTTGTAGATGATTTCTCAACTATATAATCTTGCTTTCGTCAGTGTCAATGCTTGAATTTGCTAATTAATGTAACTGTGATGTACCTGGGGCATGAAAATGTAGTCACTAAAGGTTGGTTAGTATGCGAAACATTTGATAGCTTGGCAGTGAAGTCTAGACATACCTCTATTGTTTTCTTCTTAGTGCCATGTTTCAAATTTCAAAGTTGGGCAGTTAGTCATTTCTTCTTAGCATCAGAAATGACATCTGAGATAAGATAAATGAAGGGGATGAGTGTTATAGTGAGTCTTGATGTCATTTATGGCATCAATATCTAGTCATATAGGTTTGGTATTCTGAATTCGTCGAAAACAGTACGTTGATGGTAATACATAGATGGAAAATTAAGTATCATGGTGATTATTATCAAGTACGTTGCCAATATCAGAGTTTCAAAGAAGTGGCATTTTATTTTTCATTAAGCATCAACTATTCTCTTATTCATCTGATGTTCTGCACATGATACATGACATAATATATATATATATATATATATATATATATATATATATATATATTGTGCAAATTGTGTTTATGGTCACTGTATTATTTTATCTATTGATCCAAGAAGAGAGTGACACAATGCCTGTCTTCTTCATCTAAGATAATCTGTGTCCGGTTGCCTCGTTATTTGCTTTGTTTCAATGTTTCACCTGTCTTGAATATAAATCAGTCAATAAAATAATTTTTTGCATGAAGCAATGTTCATCTCCCTGGATGATGTGTAGTTCTGTATTGCTCATGCTAATTCTATTCGCTCCATTTTTCCTTTTTAGTCAAGGGAAGAAGTGAGGAAATCAGCATATGATACACTACTTGATGTTAGTCACAGTTTAAAGAACTCTGAGTCTTCTATCTCACAATCACATCATCAGCAACTTTTTGAAATGGTAGGCCAGTTTTTTCTTAATTCTGTTTCATGTCTGTTTCGTCCAAGTTGTTGCATTTCTATAAATTTCTTTTGGATGTCAACATTCATTGTAAACATTACTACTCTTTTTACTGCATCTTTTTCTGCTTAATCGTGATTCATGTGGTACAAATATCATGCGATCTCCTTTTATGATGGTTCTGTATAGGTGTTTAGCTTGAAGTATTGACCCAAAATTGATTTCTTCATTCATATACTCATTTTCTCCATAATTTACTAGGCTATGTTGACTGGCACAGTTATTTCACATGATACCAAAACTCCATCTTTCATCATTGATAGTTTGGCCCATCTGCGTCGTCCATGCAGCAAAGCCTTTGACAAGTAATTTGCATGTGAACATAATTTGTGATTATAGTTCCCATACCTGTTTTTAATGTTTTAGCCCTACTCCATAGATTGCAGCTTGATTTTGAGTTCATTAGATCTATTATTTCACACATTTAGTTGCATCGACTATTGGTTCAAATGATACCATTCCGTTTTAGGTTAATATTGAAGACACTCAAGTCATGTGTATTATTGCTCCAAGTTGTATATTTTCTTACAAGAGTATAACTAGTTTTACAAATTATTCGCAGAACATGTACTTTGGAATATTGAGAACTATTTCTGATATGATTGGACGATACAAACTATATTTTTACAGCAATCGAAAGTATTTGTCCTAAATAGACGACCATCATGGATATTTGGAAAAGGACCATTAACAGGGAAGTTATATACCGTGTATGAACTCTGTTTGTATTTTCTTCTGTGAGACTGTTGAAGATGGGATTTTCTTGAACTTGTTAGGAGGTACCTTTTCTGGACCAGAGTAGCTTCCTTGTTTCTAACCTGGGATCAGTTCATAATCAGACATAAATTTGTGCACATGCTGAAGTGACTTTTTCCTGTCACTCGGTGAGATGGTGTTCTTTCTGAAAATTAAACAAGTTTGTAGGGTAGACCATCAAACTGTTTATTTGAAAGTTAAACAAGTTTTCAGACCATCGAACTATCTGTTTATGTGAGATTAAAATGATGCATCACTTTCCTTGAAATCGTCTGCATTAATAGCATATTTCGAGATATATAGAGCTAAGCATGTCTGAAAGGGAAACATAGAGCTAGAGTTAATCAGTGGATATAAGGGTGACAGGTCTAATCTAGGAATCATCAAATCCTTGCCCTTACATTGACTCCGAGGAAAGATGCGTTAGGACATGAGCTTTGTGGCCTCAAATTTATTGATAATGTTTGTTCTTGTGGCTTCCCTATAATATAGCAAGTCGTCCATTTCAAATTGCAATTGTCATACGTGCTCCATCATAAATGATAATAAAGAATCTGAATGTCCGAGTTGAAGCTGATCACAAAGTCTTCTCTTGGCCAGATAATGGGTTACTTTTCTGGATCACCTCCTCAAATAATGAGCGTTGCTATAGCTGCAATTTCATTGCTTATCTACAAGGATGCTGATCTCTATTTTCTTGTGCCTGATCTGATGCCAACTGTCCTTTTCTTGCTTCAAAGCAAGGCTAATGAGGTTATAAAAGTGAGTAACTTGTCAAATCTTTAGTTTTTTTTTTCTTGAAAACACTCTTACTTTTTTCTATTCATGGAGAATGTCTTTATGCACAGGCAGTTTTAGGATTAGTCAAGGTGTTAGTGTCGTGCTTACCAACCTCTGAGATTAGGAATTTACTTCCTGACGTTATGAATGGGATACTACCCTGGTCATCTGTCTCAAGAAATCATTTCCGGTCAAAGGCACGTACTTTATTCGATTGACTCTATGAGTTCTGTTATTTTTTTCTTAAATCAGTTGTCCTTATCATGCTTTTTGTTGTTTATAAAATAACTGCAGGTCAGGTCCATCCTAGAAATTGTGATTAGAAAATGTAGTATTGATTTAGTTCTGCTTCATGTGCCTGATGAGTACAAGGGTTTCATCAAAATGATAACTGAGGTACGTTACAGTTACTGTTTTGCACTTACTAAAGAGCTGATTAATTTTTTCCAATTTTTACTAAAGAGCGAATACAAATGTTATTTGGAAAATTAAAATTAGCGGGTCCGAAACATTGTTTTCTGAATTGATTGATTTCGATTCAAATGGTTCAACTTTAGTGGAAGTATTGGTTTGTGGAATTAGCACAGGTGATGTAGTTATTTTATGAGTAAGACCTGTGAATCATTCGTAACAGAAATCATGGAGCATGTAATGAGAACCATAACTGCCATGATACAAGTCACGTTTCCAATAGCATTTGTGATTCCTCCTGGCTGTACCTTGAACTCATAGTTTACAATTTATTCAGTGTTAAAACGTGATTCCGACTTCTTAGGACATTGGTGGTAATCAAATAACATTTGAGTATCTTGAAAGAGAACAATAGGCGCATTTATTAAGAGTTTTTTAAGCACAGAACATGCTTAAATGAGACAATTGATCGAAATAATCATATGGCTTCCCGAGATAGTGATGGCAAAGAGATCATATCATATTAGGTCTATGTAACACACGATTAGCCTGATATTTGAAGTGTTCCTGTCATGTGGCACGAGTTTCGGTCTACAAGATCATTGCAACATATATTTTAAATTTTCCCGTACCCCATACTCCAGGCTCATTCTTTCTCCATGAATATTCATCTTCTATTTATTTTCTTATTTTCTTCCATTTTTAATTTATTGGAATCTAAAGTAAACATGTCTGCTTTCTGAACTTTGTCAATTCAGCTCACCGGATAATCAATGAATCTACCTAGTGACAAGAACAGTAGGTTCCCTTTTGTGTTTATCATGCCTGTGTTCTTCGTTAGATCTCTTTATAAAATTACATCTTAGAGCAGATTTTTATGGATCCTCAATTTATTGTCAAGGGATGTCGGAATTTGCAATTCAATGTCTGAACCATCAGATAATAGTATTGTTAGCATTACTGTCTTCTTATATTTTCTAGAGTAGAACAATCAAGGCAGAAAATCCACTTCCCTGGAAACATGAATGGATAAGATGTCCAGAAAATGTGTAGAAAGTTTCTGTTTTGTGAAGATATATGAACAACAAGAACCATTTGCAAGAATACTCGTTCAATCTTGATAGGTCAATGTGATACTTCTTACTTGAAGCATCAAATACCCTGTACGAGGTAGCTTGACTCTGATTTAGCCAATTATTGCAACATTTTTTCTGTACGATATGCTTTTCCTACTTATAAACGTATGCAGTACCTGACTCGATTTCTTTTTCCATTAGGAGAATTCCGAGCCTAAAAGTGTCATCGAATTGGAAAAGATTGTATGTAATGATTTTTTAGTTAGAAGTCATCTGTATGACTGGAGTGGGGTGATTATCAATGCTATATTGATGCCATCCTTCTTTTGTTGGATGGTAAAAAGAGTAACCAGTAATCTCTTTCGAATCAGTTGCGAATCTCATGCTACCTAGTGAATCGGTCTAGGCCACCACCCCGTTAGGCAGGCGTTCATGATTGTAGAGTGTCTAGATTCCAATCTGAAATAGTCAAATCTTATTGGAATCAGCTACTGTAACAAGCCCCCTCCCTTCCTTACGCCTGAATGTCTTCGTAGTAAAATTAGTTGGCTATCCAAGCAGGTTAATCTATGTCAAAAGCTGGAGACAGGTTGTTTCCTTTTTCCGTTTTTATTTGCTGAAACTGCAGAGCAGAGTTTCATTGGCATTACTTTCAATAAAGGCAATGTCTAGTTGATCCAATAAAGCCATACTCTGATGGAGTTTTCTCCTGTTGACGAATGGAAGCTATAATTCTGGTACTATAAGCATGATCACTTTCTATTGCTGTACCATTGTAAATGGTACAATTGCAGCATATTCAGCTGCGTGAGTTCTGCAACATTGTTCTTTCTTGATGTTCATTTTTTAGATGCTGCTCTCCGGTACAATCTTGCTGGCAAAATATTTGACTTCTTTGCCTAATTTATGCTCCATGATGTCACATTTAATGCAACAGTCCAGACAGAAGGCAAGGTCAGGAGGTACAGCTCCAAAGACTGAACCCAGCCCTGAGGATTCATCTAGCAGAAGGTTTGCACCCACGTTTGAATGCTTCTTTTTAACTAAACGTTATTACTTGGGGCATGAAGGTCTCACCCTAGAACTCTACGGTCTAGTTTGCTTAATCTTGCTGATTCAATGCATGAATACGAAATATGTCCGACATAATGACTGAACTGTGTGAAAGCTGAGAAAATGCTCTGGTTTTGGCCATGAGGCAACACAACATAAATACCAAGTAGGTCTGGGTTAGTCTGTCTGCACACCATTTGAGACGGCTGAAGAATGTCCCATGGTTTTGGATCTATGCTAAAATAATGATCAGCTGATACAGCTTCTGATTGCTACCTCACATGTCCATTTGAACAGGAAGTACTCTGGAGCATCTGATTCAACACATATATCAAAGGGGCGTAAAAGATGGCAACAAGATTCCATCAGAGGTAAATCCACAGAGAATCCAGGTAGAAGTGGCCAAGTGCAGGTGATCAGTAGGCCGAAGAGGAAGTTTGATTCATTGGGTGGGAAACAATCTGGCTCTTCAGAGGGCTACAAGAAGGGATCCAGTCGAAAACAGCATAAGACCTACCACAAGAATAAGGGGTAGAGAACTGATGAGAAATTAGTCAGGGGGAGGTCTCTACATTGCTGTGAATCCTGTCTTCTGGTCTATGAATATGATGCATGATGCGCGGCATTTGGCTTCTTAACAAAGCGAATGGGAAGAACAGACAAAGGAGATGTTGTACAATTCGGCAAGATATGGACTTGAATCATGATGGTCCATAACTGATTTTACACGCTGAAGTACATCTTACACAGAAATGGATTATTGTAGAAATTCTTTGTCAGAAACAGTCCTGGGAAGTTAACGTTTTATTTTTTATTTTTTAAATTATTATTATTATTATTATTATTATGGTAGCTAGTATAGTCCTCCTACGGAAGCATCAGTCCAGCTTTGTGTTATACAAATATTTTTTGGTTAGATAGTCTGACTCTTTTTGTGCGGACTATTATGTTGGGTTGTTCATGATCTTCATGGTGAATGGATTTATGCTGGCATAGTTTTTTGGTTCTTTGTCTCCCCAGGTTAGAAAGAGGTGTTGATTATTGAGTTGTCCATCTGTTCTTCTTCGGATTGTACCCTCTTGTCAATCTCTGGTTGGCAAGATTGAGGGTTAAAATTGAAAGAGAGATAGTGAGAGAGAACTAAACCAGCAAATCTCTTCATTTTCTTTGATAAATATGAAGCATTTGGCCTCTCATAAGATGTCAACGAGAAAACATGTTATAAAATAATCAGAAAACAACATGATGTACTATGAGCCATAGGTATCATAAATATGTGTCATTATCTCTGCAAGTTATCACTAAATGCCTTGGTTGCTACGACCTATCACTCACATCACTCAATGAATTATAACGTTATTGCACCAATTAAACAGGTATCCTAACAAAAAAAATAGTTAGATGTTATTGGCACCAAATAAGGAAAAGTACCCATCATTATCGCTCTCCACCAGATTAATTACATAAAATAATAAGAAAATGTAAAGACAAACTTAAGCTCCTTCAAAGTCGTCCATACCGAATATCAAAACTATTAAGCCACTAAGTGTTCCTCATCAAATAAATGGGTTGGATTCATCATGCTATTTTGGATGTGTTCACCAGACTACGATGTCTAGGCATATCTGCATATTTAATGAGACCTGGGACTCATTAGCAGTTCTTTCCCAACGTTCTTAGCTGCATTAGGTGCATACTATCAGATCTCGTATAAGGTTTGGTTTTAATATTATTAAAACTAGGCTCCCCTTTTGATTACTAAAACGGGTTCTCCATTTTATAGTTTACTATTCATTTTGTGGCTAAAGCTTGGTCATTTTTGCCCCCATTCAGGCATTACTTGTGTTTTTGACCCCTTTGTGAATACAGTGGTTTGCTTGGTGAACAGTCAGCTGCTCTGCCAGTAGAGTGTCATCTCCTTAGTTGTTGGAAGCCCCGGGAGTGACGGATTCATTGCCGATATAGTGCCCACTTGAAAAAGTCCCAAAGTATTTATTTACTGAAAATCTCAGACCATTCGTGCCAAAACATTTAGAAAGATTTTCTGATGGCAGCAACCAGCACAAGAAATACAGGGGAAACAAGCAGCAGTAAATACGGTACAACTTGCCAGAGCGTGGCATCATCTGGCTCTGCTGCTGGTGGTGGTGGGATGGAATTAGTCCTGTCTGGTAAAAACGCATCAAAGTAAGTCTCATACCCTGTTGAGCTGGATGAGGAAGAGCTTGCAACCTTCATCATTTCCATTGCCTAGAATTAAACCGACTCTGAATTAGCCATGTGGAAGATTGATTTGAGAGGAAACAAGCTTGCTTGAGAGGATTACCTGAAAGCCGAACATGAATTGCTTTGCTTTCTTGCTCACTTGAATATTTGGGTGTGATTGGAGTTTCTCATACATGATTCGGGCATCATTTGGCCTGTCATCGCAGTGAACGCATCATCAACTGGGGCAAAGTTAGCAGGCCAACAAATCTTGAAGACCCCCTAAAAGAGATTGCTTTGCAATGGGTTTAATTTGATAATGTTAGCCAGGCAGCCAGATAGGTGAAGAAAAGCGTATGACACCAAAGTCTGTTTGGTGCTAGTTTCTGTGGTACTACAACTCGCATCTCAATGACCTAAACACGCTAGGAATGGACAATCTGATGCGTTGTCATGAATGGTAGCAGATTGCCATCTCGTAGTCTCTTGTAGACTGCTTTAAAACTAGAATACTTTACTCAGTAAATGATTAAGATAGAACATAGGACCAACCTCTTCATGGATTTCACAGAAATGGACTCATTATGCTCAGTGTGTTGCGTGATAAATGAAATAACATAAAATAAGAAGACAACAACCATATACAATATGTAAATCATATATAACATACACGAAAAAGGACTTCCCTTTTCAATAGGGATTTGAAATATAATCAAAATACTTCAGAGTTGGGGGCAATATAAGCCCTGCAGTGGGCTTTTTGAATTGTGGTTCACAGTATGTTGAGATGGCCATTAATACAGAGCAATGCCTGAGCCTTCTTCTGATACACATGTTTCACCTTTCATCTG